TAAACTGCGCTGAAGGTAACCTCCTCCACTTCCAAGGAAGTGATGGTTTCTCGCTGTTCCTTCTGAACTGTGCCTTTGATATTTGGAGCTTCCTGGATCCCTGTTGACCTTAAATACTTAGCCAAGGATAAATCAGGTTCTGGCTCTGAGACCTGATCAGCACTGGGCTCTGGACCTGCAGAAACATCTTCCCACTTTTCTTCTCCATCCAGGCTGTTCTCAGAGGCTTCTGTAGTGGAACTTCTCTTCTTGGCCCAAGAGTCCCTTTCTTGTTCCTTCTGTGCCACAGAATTATCCACTGTTAAACCAAGTATGAGTTTCCCAAACGAGAAGTCCTTTGTTCTGTTTGGTTCCTGCTCGGTGTCCCTAGGCTTCCTCTCGGGGGAACCTGTGCTTTCTATCTCACTAGTGGATAAGCTCACACCTTTTTCAAAGACCTTTTCTATCCTGAAGCTGCCTTCCTCCTCTGCCTGATGCCAGGTCTGCGGTTTCTTCTCCTGTGCAGCTTTTTTCAAGTCACTGATGAAGGTGTCACTCCCGAATTCTGTTGGCTCCAGTCTCTCCTCACTCTCCCTCACATGCATTTCTTGTACTGTTCTTTGGAAATCTGCAGAGGACTCCAACAGATAACTGTGAATCTGTCCCTCAGGTGAATCCCAACAAACATTTGCCTCTGATTTGTGAATTTCTTCAGCAGATGTCCGCTCTTCAGCAGATGTGATACTGCCAAGGTTCCCATTAGAAATTTGCAAATGAGGTTGCCTGATTTCTTCCTGAACACTGACTTCCTCCTGCTGCATACCATGACTTGGACACGGAACCTCACTCAGAGACATTTCTTCCACAAGCACTTCACATTTGTGCACAGGGGAGATGAGCCCAGCTTCTCCCACCTCCACACTCTCTAAAGCTGTGGGAATTTGCACCTGCTTTGTGTTTTCCTCAGCTGGAAAAGGCTCCACAAACTTCTTCAGATCAAATATGATACTGGTCTCATCAGTCTCAGATGGCAGTAACTGCTCTTTGAAATGTACGTCTGAATGAACCTCAACTTCTTCAGTAAATTCCTGACCTGAATTTTCTATGTCAGGAGGAGGAAGAATTAAATCCAAAGAGTAGATGTCCACATCAGACTCTCTTTCTAGCAGTAGTTGTCCATCAATGTTTATTTTATGTGCAGCTTTCCCAGCATCAATCAATTCTTCCTTATGAAGACGGTCATCAACCTCAATGTCCTGTTCAATATCTACTGATCTCTCTTGTTCCTTAGCCCATTCCTCCTGCTGCTCCTCTTTTAGGAGACCTAATGAGTCTTTTGAAGGTGTGCTATTGTCCTGTAGGAGGGGCACACTTGGCTCGTCAACAAGAGACATGTCAGAAGCCATTGCCTCCCAAGCAGAAGCATCACTGTCCTCCAAGTAGCTGTCAGTCTCTTCTTGCATCAGTGCTGATATAGCAGCAGAGAACTTTAGATCCTCATGTTCCTTTGCCAGAGTAGACTGCTCAGAGGCAGGCATTTGCCGTTTCATTTCTGTAAGAGGTGACTTCAAGATATCCCAGGATAAGCTGTCTGTGTTTTGTGCCAGCTTGTCACCTTCAGCCTCCAGCTCCTCTGAAAAGTGGCCTGAGTCCTTGGCCACAAGTTCATACTTTTCCCTGGATGTGCTTGGGTATGGGACAGTGGCATCAATTCCAAAGTCATGTTCCTCAGAGACTGCTTTTTCACTATGCTGTTCAGTCTTAGAAATATCACCAGCATCCCTCACACACTCTTCTGCATAACCCACTTTCTGCTTTGCACAAACCTCCCTGACATCCCACAGTATTGTTTCCCCTATCTTACTTTCTCCAAAGTCCTTTCCCACCTGCTCACCAGGTGAGGGAGACCACTGCAGGGACCAGGGTAGGTGGCCTTCTTCCTCCTCAGAGCACATGATCTGTTCCTCTTTTTCCTTCCCAGGTGTACTGAGAAACAGGGCAGGGTTCATGGCAGGGAGTACCTCAGTGTCTCCATCCTTGCTATACAACCTTGATGCACTAGGTTGCACTGTAAGCTCAGAGGCTGACTGTGCTGTTCCAGCCACATTCTTGGCCACACAACAGTACAGTCCAGCATCTGAAACAGAGACCCCTCGGATGTGTAAACGGTGAGTGCCAGCCTCACATTTCTCAAAACTCAGCCTCTCACTGGCAGAGAGGTTCTGGCCATTCCAGGACCAGGTCACAGATGGTGGAGGCTGCCCAGACACACTACACTGCAAAACCACTGCCTCCCCTTCACAGCAATGGATATGTGCTGGGGCTTCTAACACAATTTGGGGTGGCTCATTTCTGACATCAAATGAAAACTTGAACTTGTGTTTTATGGCAGGCGCAGTCTGGCCTGGAGAGGACTGCATGGTCTCTTTCATCTCTGTGTCTTGCTCCGGTGTTGGAGTAGGGGCAGTGATTTTGATTTCTACAGGCAGTGACAGCAGGTCTGAGTCTGGAAAAGTATTTGGCAGCCCCTGCTCTTCTGTAAAAGCCAGACTTACTTCCCTCTCCTCTTTCTCCCCTTTTTCTTGTTCCTCTTCTTCCTCCTCTTCCTTTTCTTGTTTTTTCTTTTCCTCCTCCTTCTCTTTATCCCCTTCTTCCTCCTTCTCTTTTTTTTTGTTCTCCTCTTCCTTTGCCTTCTCCTTTTCTTTCTTTCTTTCCTCTTTCTCTAACAACCTAACAACCTCATAGGCCAGCATCCGCTGCCTCACATGGAGTGCAGCAGAGGTGCTAACCGAGCCCAGAGGGTTGGAAATCACACAGGTGACTGTGCCACTGTGCTGTGGGAGCAGGCGCGAGAAGGTTAGTGTAGAGCGGCACTCTGTGGTGTGTACTGCAGTGCCTCGGATGCGTCCCACCGGATTAGTGTTGTTGTACCAAGTGATCACTGGCTTTGGGCAGCCATGGAAGAGGCAGGAGAAAGTGACTCTCTGTCCCTCTACAGCCTCCTGGGGCCTGACTCCCTGGACGAAGAGAGGTGGGCAGGGCTCCAGGAGCCCACCACGTGCTTTCCACTTCTTCTCTGCCACCTTGGGCATGCTGTATTTTTCGACCTCCTGCATCTGGAAGGGCTTTGAGCCATCCATCTTGCCAGGTGCCTCAGGCAGGCAGGGCTTCCCAGGATGACCCCCCTGTGGCTCGGACAGGGAGGACTCTTGCTTCTTTTTCAGAGCTGCCCTCTTTGCCTCCCGCAGCCGCTGTAGCTTCCAGCGGATTTCCTCATCCAGCAATTCCTCAGCATTCACCAGTTTTCCACTGCGCTCCCTACCACGTACTATCTCCAGACGGTGAGACTCCACTGATGGCAGTCTCTGGAAACATATGGTCCGTACCCTGCCCCGGGCTGAGAAGTTTGGCAGCTGCTGCTCAGCCTCCTGGCCCTTGTCAAAGGGCGAGCCAGTGCAGCGAAGCACCACGCGCAGCCGGTCCTGGTGCCGCTGCTGCAGCAAGCATTCCCACCTCTCCTGCACTAACTGCACCTTCCCTACATGGCCCGAGTCCCGCTGCTCACTGCTGCGTGCCACCAGCAGTGAGGCAGCAGACTCAGCTGAGCCCTCGCTGTTAATGGCGAACACCCTGTAGCTGCCGGCATCGTGCTCTTGCACGTCCTGCACCTCCAGGCTGGCACGGTGCGTGTGCTCCTCGCTCTCGGTGCGGATCACCTTGCGGCAGTCCTGGTGGACTGGCCGATTGTTGTGGAACCATGCCATATGAGGTGGCGGGCATGCCACCAGCTTGCATTGGAAGACAGCAGGGTCCCCCTCCAAGACGGACCTACACTTGAGGCCCTGCATGAAGGTGGGTTTGCAGTTCTGGGAGCAGCCCAGCACCACCCTTCCCCCATGTCCCTCGGTGTTCGTCTTGCTGTGCCACTCTGGAAGAGAAGGGAGGAGACTGGGTTACAGTGTGCCTCGCTCTACCCATTGATTGATTGAAAAAAAAAAAGCAATTGAATTAAAAAAAAAAAAAGGGCATGCAACAGATTTCATCACACACCCAGGAAAAAAAAAAGGTAATTCACTCACCATATTTGTTCGAATAAACGCAACGCCTTGCTCTGTTTTAAAGATTGACACGAAAATCGTTCGTTGTCTGTTCTTTCTTCAGACTGTGGGAATTTCTTCTTGAACAAGCAAAAATGAATTTCAAAACAACACGTTCTTCTGTGTATGTTTTTGCTGCCTGGAAAAGCTGCGTGTCTTTGAGTGGCAAAGAAGAAAATCTTACCTGACTTGCAGACAGTAGAATAAACGCCCTTTCTGACCCCTCTGCTTGTAAATTAAATGCTCAAACAATTGAGAAAAAATATTTTGAAAAGATATACAAAAAACATAAGTAATTAGCTAACATGAAATGAGAAGGCGTTTATTCGAACTAATACAGCCACTAACAGTGTTATGCACAGGAAAAAAAAGCAAGCAACATGAACCACATATGCTATCTGCAAGCCAGGGTAAGAGATGTATAATGATGAATTAATGTATGTAAATGAAGTGCAAGAAATCAAAGGAAATGTATAGCTTCCACATACCCTGAACAACAAATGTATTCTAGCACAATTCATTCATTCAATAATGTTCATTGAACTGACTAGGTTAGGTTGATAACTTGCTTAAAAATAACGTGATTAAGATTTGTATAGCTTCTTACTGAAGTAAACTATTGCATGCATTCAAAAGGAAATTGAACAATTAAAAGCTCTGTGAACAGCTGCAAAGCATGAAGTAAAATTTCAAAACATGGCTGCAAAATCATAAATTTGAAGTTTTAAACATTTTAAAACTTAAATAACCTTATAATGCAGATAAACCTTTGCATATCAAAACAAACATGCAACATGTTCCAATATGCCTCAAAACGTGTCTGTCTTTCCCCATCAGACACTACACATAAGCAGATAAAAGCTTTTCACAAAGTTGCTAATTACTGGTACTAATTATTCAGTGTGACATCAGTAGTGACTGTACCTTTCACTTCCATTTCAATCTCTTCCTCTAGCTTCTCATACATAATTTTTTCAGGAGCTAGAAAAGAAAAAAAAAAGGATTTTTGAGCTCAAATTGCCAATCAACAGTTTATGAAGTAAAACATTCAATCTCTTGCAAAGATACAGAAATTCACACAAATACACATAAATGCATGCCAAACAATGCAAATATTTATCTGATAAACGTTGAGAAAAGAGCAACCGAATGCTTTCAAACTTGTTTGCAATGTATACTTTTCTACAAGATTTATGTTTTTTCACAGGATGGGGGAAGGTTTCTAATGGAGCATGCCTTTATCATGCCTTAAATCCCTGAAGAAAACATTCAGCAATCCACAGGCTTATCAGATGTTTCTAGTTCTTTATCATCTCCCCAGGAAAGAATGTACTGAATGCAATGATGCTGTGCAAGAGGAACTGATACTTGGAAGGAACATGCAGTTGCCAACCTGTCACTCTCAGATGGGTGCTGCACTCGGCTTGTCCTGCAGGATTAACTATTCTGCACTTGTATGTACCCTGGTGGTTCTGACCAACTTTCAACAATCTTAAACTGCACAGTGGCCCATCGTGTTTTAAGGAACACAATGCAGACTCCTCAACTATGAGCTGATTGCACAGCCAGACCACACAAGGTGTAGGCACACCCTTCATTATGCAAAAGAGTAACACATCGTCTCCTTCTTTTACAACGGTTTCTGAAGGCAGAGTTTCAAGAAACTCTGGTTTTCTGGCATCAGTTTCTGTGAAGTCTTCACATGGCACAACATCAGGATAGTAGACCCTGCTTCTTTGCTTCTCAGCTTCATGTGATCTTTGGGATGTAGATATAAACAAGCTTGAAGTTTTCTTTGATGACTCTTGTTTAACTTCAGATGCTTTAAACTGACATTCTTTGGCTGCTTTAAAGCTTTTAGTATCTGATTCAAGGGTAATTTTTGTTACTGCTTTGGCTTGTGCTTCTTTAGCTAGGTAAGAATAAAGTTAGGAAAAGGATTAGGTCAGATGTTTTTCAGGAATAAAAAGCATCCTTACATTTAGACGTAAAATAGCTGTATGTTAGGTGGGGAAGAAAAACAAACATTAATTGGTTCTGAAAAGAATGTCCAGCATATTAAGGCTACAGGGCTACTAAATATGAGAAGTTTATATATTTTAAGAGCTTCCTTTCTGCTGGGACTAAGCCTAAATTCTACTTCAGCCTATGAGACCTTCATTATTTGGTTCATAAGGCGTAATACAAGTCTATCTTTGCATTCGAGAGCTTCATTGTAGAAAATAGAAACAGGCGATTATGTAAAGCACTTTACACAGCTCAGTAGTAAAGAAAGAAAATTCAACATGTAAGAGCCAAATCAATGTCAGAAGGTCAATGGCTTCCTCATTATTTTTCTGCTCTCAATATCTTCAAGTTTACAAATACGATCACACATCTAGTGTGGCAATAATGCATTTTTAGTTTTCAGTAGTGGTAACACAACTAACATTTTAATATAATGATGTCAAGAGAAAGGGAAGGAGCTTGTATCTCAGGGCAAGTGAAAGGTAGAAGACAATTCAGAAGTGCAATAATACAGAACTTGCACCCATTAATCCTTTCAATCATATTGCCCGATATTGCAAGCCTGATATGTGGAAATAGGTTGGACCCCTCCAGTCTGAAATGATCACATATGTAGTTTAACTGACACGCTTTACTCTCTTAAACTTCAGCTTCAGGAATTCACAAAATGCAAAAATTCCTATCTGCCTGTTCTGCTTTACAGCTCACTTTTCATATCAGGAAAGATACAAAAAATCAAAAGACACAAAAGACTTCTGTTATTTGCTGGAGAGAGGTATGAAGTTACACCACTTATTAACAGAACCATAAATGTGGAGGGGAAGAACCAAAGCATAGTTACTAGAACTTTCTCAATTAAATATTGATTATTAGGGACATTTGAATGAGCCACAAGCTGTGATAATAAAGTTGCAAAACATGTCATAATTTTTAAAGTCAGATAACCACCTTTGACTGTTAGTATTGCAGCAGTTGTTGTTCCTCCATAATCATTATAAATAGTACAACTGTACAGTCCTTGATCTATCAGCTGAGCATTTAAAATTGTGAGCTGTAGGACACTTCCATTTCGTGATATCTTCAATTTTTCTGACACTTCTATCCGTTTACCTTCGTGGGCCCAAAGAAACTCAGAGAAGAATTCATTTTCTAAGGCACATATGAACTGAGCAGTATCACCAGATTTCACAGTTACGTCTCTGAGTTGCAGGAGAATCGCTGGAGGAACACCTTTTGGTTCTTGAGCAGTAGCCATAGAGATTCTGGTGCTCTGAGATGTCTGGGAAAGAACTGTTGTGTGCATGGCTTCTGCTTCTTCAACTGATGTAGCTTTCATGGTCAACATTTCAGATATGCTTTCAAAAACCTGTACACCCGATTCCTGTGATGGTTGTTGCATTGATTTAAATTCTTTTCGAAAAGTTTTTGTATTCTTCTTTGTGAAAGGAGTAACATGAAGTTCTGATATAGCCTGTGACCGCATAGACTCTTTTACATCTTTCCCAGAACTTTGCCTATCTAGGGCTTGCACTGTGTAATCAAGTAACAAAAAAAAAAAAGTTAGTATCTACAGAACTTTACTGAGCCATGCTCTGAACAAAGTCATACAGCATGGAGAAAGAAAATGAATGATCTTCATTTGAAAACTCAGCATGCCAGATGCACTATGCTCTTTACAGGAAGAATATCCATACACAAATATGAATGACAAGTGATGCCTAGTCTAGTCATGCAGTTGATAAATAGTTGATGGCTTTTTCTTCTTTGACTTGACCGTTTCAATATGAGATGGCTTATTATGAAACCTTTTATGAGGTATTTTCCTTTTTTCTTTCCCCCCCCCCCCACAGAATAGGGTGAAAATACCTCAATCAATGCTGTAACCATTACTTAATTCCAAGCTTAAAAAATCTGAACTTCTTCAGTAAGATTATCCTTATTCTGAACCTATGTCAAGATAGAAATTCACAGATCTCCAGGTATGTTAAACAGAAGAAATGAAAGTTGTTGGGTTATAGATGATAGGTATTATTAACATTAGCTGCTAAAGAAAAGGTGTGAAAGAAAGAAAGAATATTAGTGACAGTGTGAAAGTGCGGTATACAACAAACTGAATCCCTCTGAAGTAAAAATGGGGCTTTACCTTCTGCAGTCACTGTAAGTGTAGCTGTACAAGTTGTTTCTCCAGCACTATTTCTTGCCTTGCAAGAGTACTGGCCAGCATGCTCTAGAAAAGCATCTACTATTATGAGCATAACTGTGCCTGTAAACTCATCAAAGTGGAACACTAAGTCTTTTGCTGGAAGCATGAGCTGTTGATTATGAAACCACTGGATTTCTGGTTTAGGCATGCCAGATACTCTAGCTTGAAATCTGACTGTTTCCCCACTGCAGACCCTGCAGCATGAAATAGGCTGGATAAAGATGGGCCTTTGGCCAAAAGTCTCCTCCTTAAGTGAAACAGATGAAGAAACATGCCAGTGGGACTCTGCTGTAAGATCTTCAACCTTTTTAAATCCTGAAAAGAAGCATGCCAACTTTTAATTTCTTTCCCTACACTACATTTTCTCTCTCATTCAAGATTTTTTTTCTAACTATTACAGCAAGAACTATTCTAAAACATCATCCATAAAATTGCAAAAAGAAAAAAAAAAAGGAAATAATTTATGGTTAAATAATAGCAAGAACAATATAAAACCTTAATAGCAAATTTTCCAGACAATATTTCTTCTTTAAAGCTTTGATCAGTATTTTATCAGATAGTATTTCCGGGTTATCCGTCAGGTCCCGTCCGACCCAGATTATTCTATATGTGAATGTGATTTTTTTTTTTCGTCTTCCCAAGACTAATACGCACCACTGTTAACATGTTTTCAAAACTTACTTTCAAAGTAATATTTTTCATACAAAAACTCTTACTAGGTTCTCCTCAAAATCAAATGCAAGAATGTGAAAGCAAAGCACTTCCATCAGAAAAGAAGGTATGCTTGGTTCATGCCAGATTCTAATAGCGGAGAGAATGAAAATGTGAAATGTATGAAACACTGAGAAACTGTGACGCATTTTGGAGACACACAAATGTGTTGTGGACATTGTAAATTGTAGCAATGAGTTAAGTGAAAAGACAACGTGACAGACAAGCACTTACATCAGCTTTATGTTAAGATTAGTGTTGGAACATGACCAAAACAAGATATCTTCTTTAACTGCACACTGTACCTTCCAACTTCAGGGTGGCAGTGCTTGTCACTTGGCCCACGGAGTTACTTGCTACAAAGGTGTAGGTGCCTTCATCCTCTGGATAAGCTTCAGCAATCTCCAGCTGGTAAGTGTCTTCAAACTGAGTCATTCTAAAGAAACGTGATGGCTTGATCTCTCTGTCTTTGCTATGCCAAGAGACTTTCAGATCTGCTCAAGCAACAAAAAGAAGAAAAAGTATGTAAATAATGATATTAAACCAGTAAGTAAATACCATTTTTATATTTACGTCTGTTGGAAATCTTTAATCTCAAGTCTGTATTTGTGTTTGAATATGCCTTACATTAACTTTGGTAATATAGGATCAGTGGAAAGTTACGTATGTATTAAGTTTTGATTTTACTCATCCTACATCATAGGATGCTGAGTAAAAATCATTTTTTCCTCTTTTTAAAGTATAAATTTTAAAATATTTTGCTACTGCTAGAAGTAAACCACATTTTAAAAAATTGATTCCTTTTTAAAACCTGACTGAATATTTCAAAATCACTATGCTGAGCTGAGCAGTTTGAAGAAAATAAAATTGAATGCCTTTTTGCTAAGAATAGTTTCTTGACTTTTTTTATTGAAATATCACAAGTTGCACATATTTCTTTAGAAAGATCTTGTTTTTGTACTTTTGTAGAAGTCCTAAATAAGATTTTGTATTACTTGTATAGATTCTTGTAGCCTTGGGAAAGAAAAGGAATGAAATATAAACTGTAAGCTTGACTCTTCATTCTGTGTTGTATTACATCATGAGTCAAGTATTTTCATGCAAATAATGTGATTACTGTTATCAGATGAAAGAGGAAGTGTTTTCAATAGCCAGCTGCAGTGTGTACCATTAAGCAATATATTTTCAGTAGTGTATTACCTAAGGTAACATAAAAGGTTTGTATAACACAAGTGAGCAGTACATAAATCCATTTTGAGACAGTATTTAATAAAGGGGATCTAGATGAAATAGATTTGTCTTTTTAAAAAGGGAAGAAAAAAAAAAACAAGACCCTGGAGTTTGATGTTAAATGATGGAAAAGCAATTTATGTATTGGTATAAATAAATATATGTGGGCTAACAATGTATTATGGATTTTTACCTGTATCACTCTATTTTTAAAGTTTGAGTTTCATTTATCTTTAAATAATTATAAATCCTTATTCTACATTTTGCAATGTGAAGAATTTATTACTTGACATACTCAAGACCATTTTTTGAAGTAAAGAAATATATTTTTTTAATTAACTTGGAAAGAATTACTTAAATTGCAGGATGGTTATCTTTTTATCTAAAAGTAGAAAAGTTACTTAAGAAAAATTCTTAAAGAAACTTCAAGAGATGAGTAAACACTTAGAAATCCTTTCTATGCTAGGAAAAAAATGCAGTGGCAGCTTACAGTTTGCAAAAATGCTTAGAAATATTAGGATGTAGATTTTGGTCTGTTTCTTCAATTAATTGATATGATACTGTGTGACACTGAAACCTTTTTCATATTCATTTAACAGGATAATGTTTATCAGTCATGACGTTCTGTTTAGAAACTCCATGTTTGCACTGACACAGTTTTGCAACTTCTGTTAGCATTTGAGACTCCCAGGTTTCTGTAGACATATTTTTTGGTGTGTCAGATATGCTAAACACTTGTGTTAGAAATGCTTACTGTTTAAGACAATTTAAAATTTCCATGCTTGCTGCCATCTTTGACACATGACTTAATTGCTAGTTGTCAGTGGGTAACATTTTACAGTGTGCATCCAACAAATAACTGTACCTCAAGGGAAAGACTGATTCAAGTCCGTATGCTGCAGCATGTTTTCTGAGTTCAAAATGAAAAATTCTAAGAGGTGAAAAGATGTACATTATTTCATCAAATTAAACCTACCTGTCCCTGTAACTCTGCACTGAAAACGAGCAGACTGTCCCTCGGATGTAACAGCATCACGAAGTGGTACTATGACAGCAGGTGGATACACTGGTACCTCTAGCTCAGGAGAAACAACTTCCGGGACTAAACAATAAGAAAAGTAAGTAATTTTTAAAGGCAAAGGTTAGGTGCAACTAAATGTTGACAATAAAATTTCACAGACATTGTGAACATAGCAAACTCACTTTCCACTGAAAGTGAAGCTGAAGTTGTGGCAACTCCGTAGTCATTTTTGGCTTCACATGTGTACACAGCTGAATCTTCAGGGAAAGTTTCAATCAGCAACAGCGTATATTCTTGAGCATCATGAAGAAATTTGCACTTGAAACCTGGAGAAAGCTGTTGATCATCTTTGTACCAGGAAACTTTGGGCTGAGGTTTCCCTGATATCACTGCACAGAAGCGGGCAGGTTTACCCGACTCCACGGTGGTTGGCTGTAGCTCCTGGATAATCCGAGGCGGCTCTGGAGCTGAATTTCGGAAGGTGGGGGAGAAGGGAGGGGGAACACAGGGGGGAAAGAGAGGGGGAGAGAGGGAGAGGGAGAGAGAGAGAGAGAGAGAGAGAGAAGAGGGGTAGAAGAGGGAGAGAAATCTCATTACTGGTATTCATCATGGGTTCTAAAGCATTAGCAAATAAATTTTCAATTTTAATCTTTTTGTTCCCAATCTTGCTTGCTTAAGAAAAAGTGCCCTTTTCCTTGATAGGAAGGGAATGATCCAGAAGCAACTGCCTTAACAGAAGTAGTTATGGTGACATATGCTTTGTCTCGGCAAAATGCCTCCAAAAATTGTTATGCTGGTCCTCCTGTGTATTTATCCATATGAAAAAAATTAGTTTTATTTAAACTTGATATTTTCCTGGTCTAAAATAATACAGAGTAAAAAAGGACTGTTACAGCATTTTCTTCAGCTATTTCATTAGAGCAAGAAATATCTATGTGTATGAGGCTTTTGGCAGTGTTCCCTTTGCATTTATTTTTTAATTTCAACTAAGATTTTGAGAAAAGTTATATAAATATCAGAAAAATACAGGGTAATAAATGAAGTCAAAGTGTTAGTTTTGGGTATACATACCATTCACATAGAGAACAACAGAACTCCTATTCCGTCCTGCAACAAAAGTATATTCTCCAGCATCAGAGTAAGTGGTTTCAGAGATGCTCATTCGATGAATTCTCCTTTCCACCACATAGCTATATCTTTCCTCATAATGGAAGTTGATCTCAATGCCATCCTTATACCACTGTGGTTCAATGTCATCTTCATTAACTTCAAATTCAATTTCAGCTCTTTGTCTCTCAATGACCTACAAGCAAGTATTAGAAACATTACAAATAGCATTTGTTTTTCCAGGTTTTCTCAAACTCCAGTAAAACTTCCCAGAGGAAGGCTCTGGCCTTACAAATTTTTTATTTTTTTTTCTGGGAGGTTTTTCAGGTTAGATGTTGTCGCTGATTGAATTAGAATAATAAAGTTATAAAATATTTATTCTTCATTGTATGCTGTACCTGAATATCTTTATGGATGCTTCTGATTCGAACGTCACGACCTTCCACTATCAAATTGGCACTGGATGTGTTTCCACCTGCTACTACAGTGTACTGACCAGCATCAGACATTTTCGTGGAAGGAATGATAAGACGATGGACATATTTCTCCCGTTGAATTTTCATCCTAAGGAAACCAGAAAATAAAGTGAATACATTGTTCTCTGAGGGAAAACACATTTAGAAAGTCAAGATGGTGTAGAAGGAATAATTTACCTCTCACCAATCTGAAGTTCTTGTCCATCCTTCATCCACTGGACCTGAACATCAGGTTCTGAAATTTCACATTCAAAAATGGCTCTCTTCTTCTCCACAACTTTAATATCTTTAATATGCTTCCTAAATTCAATGTGACGAGCTGGAGGAAAGTGGAACAGAATGAGTGCCATTCTTCTATTTAACTCATTATAAGTCACTAAACATAGAAATCAAGAGACCAAATACCTTCCACATATAAAGTGGCTGATGAAGCTGCTTTTCCAGCAACAAAAGTGTATTCTGCAGCATCACCAAAATGCACATTCCTTATGGAGAGTGAGTGTGTGAGCTTCTTTGTTCGTATCTGGCATTTGTCAGTAGATTTTATTTCCACCCCATTCTTCAGCCATTTATATGAGATACCTTCATAGTTAACAGTAACTTCAAATGTGATTGTATCTTTCTCTTCAGCATTGATGTCTTCGAGCATGGAGGTAATTAAGATGGCTAAGAGAAAAAAGAAATGGTCATGGTTTAGGGTTTTTGCTTTTAACACACTTCAGCTGGTCCAGAGATGCTTAAAATCTTTGAGACAGGTTCTGAATTTTGGTGATATTTGAAGGAAAGCTTCTAGTTTCTGTGTTCTGAATGAATGCTATAATTAAACTTCTCCAAACCTTTTAAATGATGTAAGAATCTAAAATTCATCTCCTGTGGAGATTTGACACTTAGGCACATTGCTCTAAACAAAGGGATCAATAGCCTGACTTTCAATTTTGCAGCTCCTAGTCTCTTTCTAAAAATGTAGCTTAGGCTACTTAAGGTTATTTTAAAATCTCTCTGCAATATTCCTGGTTTTGTCTGAATTGCACCTGCATTACAATAAACTCTAGTATTGTTAACTGTAAAATATTCTGTTAATTTCATATTCACATACGTTTTACGGTCAGAGTTGCACTGACTCTGTCATTTCCACAGACAAACGTATATTCTGCAGAATCTTCACTGCTTGTGTTCATGATGTTCAGCTGATGGAGTTTCCCTTGGACCACTATTTTGAACTTTTCACTCATTTCAATCTCCACACCATTTTTCAACCAGACAGCAGGTACGTTGAAATGAGAAACTTCACATTGAAAAGAGGCAGTTTTGGTCTCAGGGATCTCAATACTTTTCATGGTCTTTGTGATGTGTATGGCTGTGGGTAAAAAATAAAAATAAAAAGATTTTTTAAAAGGTCTGTATGTGTGCAGGAGTTAAAAAATAGAAAAAAGTCTACAAAGTGTGAGATCTGTTTTATGTGAGTTGTTAAAGCAACTCATATAGTTTCTTACCAACTTGCAATACTTACTTTCCACAAATAGTTTTGCTTTACACTCAAGTTGTCCAACAAAAGCTGTATATTCTCCAGCATCAGCAGGAGATATATTATGCAGCATCAGCTTGTGGACTTTCCTTTGTGATATCATCTTGTATTTATCACTTTGTTTCAGCTCAACATTTTTGTGGAACCAGCGAACTGGTACAGTATCATGGGATACACTCAGTTCAAAGGAAACAACAGCATTTTCCAAAGCAGTCACATCCTTTGGCTTCTTGATAATCTTGACAGCTTAAGGAAGAAAGTTAGCAAGATTCAGAAATCTGCTTCATTTGAATCTCAAACCTCACATTAAAGCAAACACTCAAAATAGACTGACTTACTTTCAACATGAAGTCTGGCATTTGCTCCTATCTTTCCAAGCTTAAAGCTATAAACAGACTCATCAGTGACAACACAGTGCTTGATTTTCAGTGTGTGAATTGTTCCTTTCACTGAAATTTCATATTTGTCATTTGATTCAAGTTCAACACCATTTTTAATCCACAGAGCTCCTTTCACATCAGGGTGAGAAAGTTCTACGCTGAACACTGCCTCCTGTGTTTCTGTCACAGTCAAGTTCTTAAGAGTCTTCTTTATCTTAACAGCTGGAAAAAATATTTTAAAAAAAATTAACAATGATCTAAAAAAAACACAACTACGATTCTTCATTTTAAAATCTATTACCTTTGTATTGATTTATATAAGTTCTACCAAAGCGATGTGCTTGGAACACAAAAAGAAACCTCTACTTGTAGTATCCACGAGAACCAAATTTTCTTTATCTGATATATTTAATAAACAGCTAGAAAATAGTGAATTTCTATCAGCCAGACAGTATCTTAAATAAAATATGCTTTTTTTTAAAAAAAATATCATGCTAAATTCCAGAAGAGCAAGCTCCAAAATACTAAGTTTTGCTACCTCAGATAGAGTGTCATAATGTAACACTATTTTCAAAATGTGAAGCAAAATATGCTTGTATCTTAGGTTATGATTTTATTATTTATTTGCATTTAAATTAAAAAAAAAAGAAAACTCAGAAAAACTGACCTTCGACATGCAGTTTAGCAGACGTCTTTGAGCTTGCTATTTCATAGCTATATTCACCCATATCATCCATCTTTGTGGCAGGGATATTAAGCCTTCTCTTAACACCATCAGTTTCAGTACGATACTGATCTGTCTTGGGTAATGGTTTACCATTTTTTAGCCACTGGCCCTCTGATTCAGGATTTGCCACCTCACATTCAAAAACAGCTCTCTGGGACTCAGCTACAGTCAGGTCACTGAGAGGCTTTGAAATGGCACCTCCTGTTGGAAAGCAAAAGTACATCGTTTTTCTTGTTTGTTTTTTTTTTTTTTTTTTTGCTGTCATGCATCTTTTCAATTTCCCCCATATAAAAATGCAATCATATGAAAATCAGGTACTAGACAGAATTCTTTGCCCCGATTTTCTACATGCCCATAGTCATTTTGAGCTCTGTGAAAAATCAAGAATAGAATGTGATGTGACCATCACAAAAATATGTTTTTCTATCCTAGTTACTCTTATTTACTGTTTTTATTATCAGCAGAGGCACACCAAATATTTAAGAAAAAAAAAATCCTTCTTACAATAATTATATTAAAAGCATGCTAAAATATTCCCTTCCAAGACTGTGATTTAGTAAAACACAGTAAGGAAGTAAAACACTTCCTTCACTGCTCTGTTGAATTCAGTTTGCAGAGATCACAAAAGATAAATGGAAGAACAATGAGAACATTAAGAGAAATTAAAGTCTAAGAAAATACAGAAACAGCACACAGATATTACACTTACAAAGAACAGTATTTTGAGCATTATTTCTAATGCACAGTGAAATAAAAATCTTGGACTTTAAGCCTACTAACCTGCCACTATCAATTTTCCAGATGTTTTCTTCCCTCCAGCATAAAATACATATTCTCCTTCATCATCTTTCATCATTTTCACCACTGTCAATTTATATATTTTGCCATGTGCTTCAATTTTGTATTTAGGACCAGCCTTGATCTCTTGCCCTTTGAAATGCCAAATTACATCAATCCCTGAATGGGAGAGCTCAACCTCAAAAGATACATTCTGTGTTTCAGTGCAGGTGATGTCATGAAGACCTCTGATAATCTCAATTTCTATAAAAAATAAAAATAATACATAACACATGCATTAGTTTCTTCCATTATTTCGTATTGAAAAATTATTTCAAAATAAATTTGCCTCAAACAAAACTTACCTTCAACTGTGACGTTGCAACTTGTTTCGACTTTGCCAACCATTAACTTGTAATGTCCTTCATCTGATGCATGGGTTCTGGCAACCACTAGCCTCTGTTTAGTGCCTTTACACACAGCTTGTACACGTTCATCAGGCTTTATCTGATGATCATTTAGGTACCATTTGGAGGAAGTTACATCTGGTGCTGAAACTTTGCATTCAAGGATAGCCTTTGTTCCTTCAACTACATGAACATCTTTCAGAGGAACTATTATTTCCACACCTGCAAAGTTACAAAAATTACCATGAAAAAGCTATACCTTTAAAAAGTAATCATAACGAACCCAAAAGCAAACATGATTTCAAATCCATGGTAATGACTTACTGTACACAGTAACTTGTCCAGTGGTTGACAGTTCAAGACCAGGAATGCTGAAAGAGTAAGTTCCACTGTCTTCTTTAGTTGCATCTTCTACCAACAACATGTGTGACTGTTTATCCAACACAATATGAATACGATCACTTGACTGAATTTCATGACCATCTTTCATCCAGACACCTTCCACATTTTCTAGAGAGACCTTAACTTCAAGTTGTACAATATCTCCCTCACAGACTTTTTGATCAGTAAGTCCTTGAAGAATAGTCATGGGACGAGCTATGGAATTAAATGAAATGAATTAATCCTTGTAATAGAATACTGAATACTAAGGCACTCTGGTATATAACAACTCATACTAAAGAACATTTATTGTATACAGATGATATAAATATTAGATATGCTTACGCTTTATCTTTAGTTTGCAATGAGTCCTCTTCCCATCAACAACAAAGCTATACTCTCCTTGATCATCTTTATTAACATCTTTAATAGTGAGGATTCGGCGACCACGACGGGATGCAAGCACATATTTATGATTGGAACTGAGTTCAACATCACCATGATACCATTTCCCCTCAATGTCTTCTGGGGAAACCTCACACTCAAGTTCCCCTGTGAAGGATTCTGGGACTTCAACGTCCTCAAGTTCTTTAATGAACATAACCACAGCACCTACAAGTAAAAATAATTATGTTCACGAATGAGTTTGATTAGATACCCACGATGAAAAAATTTCTTTTAAAATTGAACATATATACATACATGTGCACACATTGTGACCATTTTTTCATAAATGTATCTCAAAGCTTTCATACTGGATTCAAAAAATACAAAAGGGGTTTAAACATTTCCTAGTGCATTTGTCTGAACTGTTTTATTTCTTCTTGAAGTAGATTTCACTTTAAAAGTACTAAGTTCTATATAGAAGTACTATAGTTCTAGGCTGTGTGCTTCTTACCTTCAACAATAAGCTTTGCAGTAGTTTTTACTGATTCATCTTCTACCAGAGCACAGCTGTACTCGTCAGCATCAGACATTTCTACTGCTAGTACAGAAAGAAAATGAGCCTTTCTGTCTGAGTGCATCCTGTATTTTTCTCCAGAATGAATCTCAATTCCATTCTTAAACCATTTAACTTTGACGAAGGGTTCTGATGTCTCACATTCAAATGTTGCCATGGAGTCCTTCTCTTTAGCAACAACATCTTGTAAGTTCTGGATGAAGCTAATTAGCTGCTTGGCTGCAAAAACAATATGTAATGAATCAATAGGGCATTTGTCATATAGGCTTAACTAGAGTAATTGCTATAATAGGCAGCAGGATAAAAGTAAGAGATTTAAAATTACCTTGCACTAACAGGAAAGCATGGCTGGAAGTTTCACCAGCTATATTGACTGCTTTCACCATGATGCTGGCTGAATCATCAGAAGTCACATCTCTGATGACCAGTTCACAAACGTTATCTTCAGGCCAGTACCAGTATATACGATCAGTCCTTTCAATCTGCACGCCATTTCTGAACCACTGGCACTCAGGGTCTGGTTTCCCTACCACCCTCACACGGAAGTGGGCATCTGTGCCTTGGGCTACAGTCTGGCTTTGAATTCGTTCAAATATCTTTGGAGCTTCCATACTTGGACTAAGTTCAACCTTCTCCGGTTTGAACGTTGGAATGGTGATTTTGCCTTCAGGAGGAAGGGCTTTCTTTTCTTCCTCTGGGATCTCTTTGGTCCAGTGAAGAAGTTCTTCTTTTGTCTTTTTTAGCATCTCCTCATATGATTCATCCTTCTTGCGAGACTTAAGTTCCACAGCAGTGATGGCTTCATAATAGCCCTCTTCTGTCCTTCGCTTGAACTTACTGCGCAGCTCTTCAGATTCCTCTGACAGTTTCTCATGTGTGATTCTTTCAGCTCTTTTAAGTTTCACTACCTCTTTGGTTGTTGCCTCAGCAGGCTTGTCTATCTTCTGTACCTCAAAGAGAAGTTTTCCAGGCTCCGTCACTACAGGTTCATGCCTGGGTTCAGGAGCCCGACGAAGAACTGATCTGAAGTCTTCTCTCTGCTGGATCTCAAGTTTCACCTTATGTTCAATAAAGCCTTCTGGATTCTCTGCAGTGACTTTCACCTCACCTGTGTCATATGATTTGCAGTCCACAATATCCAGGTAGTGGATTCCATCATAACGGAGTCTAAATCTTTTGCTCTTACGAATGAGCTGACTGTTAAGGTACCAGTTGACCTTGGGAAGAGGATAACCAGTGACACGGCAGCGGAATCGTGCTGTTTCACCCTCCAAGACTCTTGCAGGCTCAGGAACCAAAACAAGCTCTGGCTTTTGTTTCTCCTTTTGATCCATAGCAACTGCAGGAAGAGCACCTTCATGTGCCATTCTTTCTAATTCTTCAATTCGCTGCATTCCTCTTCTGCCTTCTGGCAATTGAGATTCTTCCACAAGACTTTTCTCATCCTTCACAATCAGGGTAGCAGATGTATGGTCTGTACCATATTTGTTAGTTGCCCTGCAAGTGATCACACCACTGTCTCTGGAATAGGCTACTCCATAGTCCAGGCTACAGTACCCAAACTCATTAATCATCCGGAGTCTGTTAGCTGCTTCCAATGGTTTGCCATCATGCAACCATTCCACCACCATAGTTGGGTCACCAATTGGTGTAAGTCTGCACTCAAAATGCGCTGGTCCAAATTGCTTCAGCCTTAAAGATGTGAGCTTCTTCTTAAAAAATGGTTTCTGTTGCTTTTCTTTGTCATAAAGATCCCCCTCCTCCCACTGCTCTTGACCATAACGCAAATGGAGGGGCTCTAACTCTGGTGCTGCAATCTCCTTGGCTTTGTAAGTCCCTTTTGGAATGATTAATCTTCTTTCTGGTTCTGGTTCAGCATGTTCAACTTCAACATTCACCTTGCACCTAGTAGTGTCCCGCCCAGCTTTGTTGATGGCAGTAGCTGTATACCATGCAGCATCTTGCCTGACGGTGGATTCAATTTTAAGGGCAGCGGCCCCTTTTGTTCCCTCAATCCTGAAATATTAAAACAATTACTTAAAAACTTTCTTCACATCTCCAAAATAAAGTCAAAGCTTCCGAAGGAAATTCACTGAAAGGATTATCTGATTATTTACATTTATTCATATTTAAGTGCAATGCATAATAATCAAATAGACAATGATATAAGATGCAGTGTTGAATCCAGTGGCAGTTTTGCTTGCAGAAGACTGCAAAACTGGAGACTGAGAAAGGTGCTTTAAGTCTCTGCTGTAAACTGGATTTGCATAATACAAAATATGCTGTTATACAACTCAGATAATATTGAGGGAAACCTAAAAAACATTCTCTGTCTCAGAGCTGTGCTGCAATGCAAAAGTTTTACTGGTTTCCGAAACCACTGGACTAAGCCCTCAGTTTATTCCTTCCGTGGAAGCAAAGATATTTAGTGTACCGTAGGAGGCACTTAGCATCTAACAGAACAGTGATTATTAACTGTTTTTACTATTAAAAACAAAATAATCAAAAAAACCCACGACAACTGCTTACTTTATTCTGGGATATTTGTGTGGTACAATGATGTCACTATTCTTCAACCACACAATGTCAGGATTAGGGTTGCCAGTTGCTTTCACAGACATGTGCAGTCTAGAGCCCTCTTTTACACTAACATTCTTGAGCCTTTCCACAAAGCGTGGTCTGACTAGATCCTCCTTAGCTGAAATAGAAAGGGAAAGTTATTATGAGAGGAAATTATTATAACCATTATTTTTAATAGGAAACATTATCAAGTCTCCTAATAACAGCATGTACAGTAGATACCTTCCACAGACAGTGTGACTGTAACAGAAGCTTTGCCTGCCCTATTCTGAGCAATTACAGCCCATTCACCAGAATCCTCAGGCATAGCAGGAACAATGATCAATGACTGGGTACCATCTTCTTTAATCACTATTTTATGGGTGTAATCATTAACCACTTGTTGACCTGCAGACACAAATGAATAAAAAAACCCATTGTACTCAAAACTTGTCTCCAGATGTTAAATGCTCATTAGATTTTTTAATATTATTCTTTTACATAAATAAGAACTGCATACCATTATGGAACCAGTATGTCTCTGGCATAGGTCTGCCAACAACTTTTAAGTCAAATCTTGCTGTCTGCCCCTGTGAACATTTGACTGATGTAGGTTTCAGCACAAAAACTGGCTTATATAGTCTCTCTAGTTGTCCTTCATCAGTTTCATCTAATCTGCGTGCAGGAGAACGAGAAGGAGAGCTGCGGGCAGGAGAACGAGAAGGAGAGCGTGGAGAAATAGATCTGAAAGGAAAAGAGATACGTATGAATATGTCATATAGGAGTGTGCTGACATGGTAAACAAAGTTCAAATTTTGTCTTTAGGATAATATACTTTAAAGAGTTTTATCAATTTATCTATGTGAGAAATTGTGCACTTTATTTTTGAAGTAATTTTTATGGACAAATAACACGAGCATATGCCACACTAAGATAAATTTATTTTTTTCAGATACTGCAAAGTCACAGACGTAACCTATGTATTTTTGTGCATGTGTGTGCATATGTATATTATAGATGCCCCATCTCTGGAGATGCTCAAGGCCAGGTTGGATGGGGCCCTGGACAGCTTAATCTATTGGTTGGCACCCTGTACAGCAGGGGGATTGTATCTTGAAGATCTTTAAGGTCCCTTTCAACCCAAGCCATTCTATGATTCTGTGAATATTGGATGAACATATGCTATTTCAAGGATAGGACTTAAGAGCTGCATGCAGTGCTAGAATTCCAAGTACAGATATTATTTTTCCCAAAACATAAGTGGGTTAAGAAAGATATATGGTTGCTGACGTCATAAATCTAACACCATAGCAAGATATATATGCAAAAGATGCTACTCTTGAGAGCTGCATAGCCTATTAAGAAAGCAAATCAGAAAAAAGGTTGGCACAGAAATCAGTATGAGCAATGAGAACAACATTTAGAACTTCTCCAGAGGCATGAAAGCTCCAATAACCTAAACTGTTTACCCACTGTGTAATGACTGTCTGAACAGGTTTCATTGCAGAAATTGAAGTCTCACGTATATATGACTGTGTACGTACCTGTATCTTCTCATAACTTCTGGTCCTGGCATATAACCTGGAGTTGCTGTGGGTGCAAGGGGCTCAACATACAGCTTTGCTGAGCAAATGGCATTTCCTTTCATGTTGCTGGCAAAGACTGTGTAGATTCCTTCATCTTCAGGTAAAACAACAGGCAAACGCAGACTGGCACTACCATCTTGCAGAACTTCCATGTGGTAGCGCTCCCCATGTCTTATGCGCTTACCATCTTTGTACCATGCAATCTGCATGGAAAGAAACAAGAATGCTGAGTGAGCTTTCCAGAAGACAAACATCCGGGAATAGACTGTACGTACAACAAACTGCAAACTTCTGTTTTTCAGCTGATGTATTGTTCCAGCCCAGTAGTGGCGTTAACATTTTCTTATTTTGAGGAAAAATGTTTGATTTAAGTAACGTGTTTTCATAGAAGCATAAAAAATAAGTTTTGGTTTTACAGGGCTAGAAATAAAAATAAAGTCTATTGTGAGGGAGAGCAAAGTGATTTTTATCTTTTAATTTTTTTAAAGTGTGCTCAATACCTGTGTGCATGCTAACTCATACTCTGAAGCAAGATGTATTTCACTGGTGGTATTAAGGTGGATTAAGTCTAATCTATCAGTGAAATGACTAACCAATCTAACACTGCAGCATTAAGGGACAAAAGAAAAATCAGTTCGATATCATCAGATTGTGTTTCTAATAGATGTGCTGCTTTCTGTGCAAAATAAAAATTTGATACTGAGATGTTAAGGGAGTTTTCAAGTAGAGAAGTTTTTTATAAATAGACAAACATCATGCAGGTTTGGAATACCTTTGGCAGTGGATATCCAGTTGTCTTACAATGGAAAGTAACACCAGTGCCTTCAAAGGTTCTGTAATTCTTTAATCTTAAATCAAATCCTGCTTCAGTTGCTTCAGATTCAGAAATATCAACCATCATCTCCTCTCCATCTTCCTCGAGGAGTTCATCTAAGGTTGTCTTAATAATTCTGAGTTCAATTTCCTTGATAAGTCTTTCTTCAAAAGAAGAAATGTGGAATTCCTATGTAGAAAAGCAGTGGCATTAGTTGAGTTGTGTGTGTCAAATAATGTAAAAAGAATTGACTTGCACTGGTAAAATTAAAAAAGATTTTAAACAGCTTGTCAGTATACAAAATAAGCAGCAAACATACCTCATCTTCCACAAAAGTTCTGACCACCACTGTATCTTTGGCCATTTTCTTCCTAATTAAGGCTTGTTCTTTTTCATATTCTTTATCAAAGTCACCATATGAAATAGGTGGGGCTACCTCAGCCACTTTAGGTTCCTGGACATATGCAGTCACTTGAGTTTGGTACATCATTTCTTGTTGGGATTTTATGTAGGCCTCATAATCAGCTAGGAATTAAAAACACATTAACTTTGATAAGTGCTTATAGTTTACACTCTATTGAAATAGAGAACAAGTACAAACTTATTTTACTAAGGTTTTTTTGTATTTTTTGGTTGGTTGGTTTTTTGTTTTGACCGAAGTGAAGATGGTCTGTCTAGCCAATAAAATGCAAGTAGCAATAAAATCTGAAGACTAATGCCTTCAGATGAGCTTTTAAAAAGGTGAAAGTTTTATTTTGCAAGTGTGCTAGTTTTCAAAGTGGAAGCACTTTTAGTGACTGTACTTTCTACCTGAAAGCTCTGTCTCCTTCAACATCTTTTGCATTTCATAAGGACAACTGAAATTAACCTAAGCTAGCTTCTTTTCCTTTAATAGAACAACCTATTATCGTTTTAAACTTTGCCCACATAACCCTGTGAAGGTCTGATGAAAACTTATTATGAATGCATATTTAACATTTCTATAGCTGCACATTCCAACAAAGAGCATATATCCTTCAAGAACCTTATGTCAAATACTCTGCATGCAGAAACTGAGCCACTAGCTAGAGCAGGTATTAGCATGCTCTCTTTATGCTTCTTGTACTGATCAAACTAAACTGCTAATAATTCGCAGCACAATTTAAAGTGCTTTTCTCTTTACAATGTACCTTCTTCTAGTAAGGAGACCGTTGCAGAAGCTTCTCCAAATTTGTTACGAATGACAATAGTGTATTCTCCGGCGTCGTCGGCAAAGGTCATGGAAATTTCAAGTTTGCATTCCCCGGTTTCTCGTTTATAACTTACTTTGTATCTATAGAAAACAGAAGTACAAGCAGCCTTTTTTTTACGACTTTCAGTAGTGATTCTCATCAGTTGCACAACTAACATTCATGAGAAAAAAAAAATATCAATTTTTGCAGGTAATTTTAACTCAGTGAATCTACTGAAAAGCATAATAAGGTAACAGTACGCTCAGAGAAATGGGATGCAAAGAACAGAACTGAAATATCAGAGATCTACTTGGACAAAACAAAATACTATATGCCGTGTGCATATAGTTTATTCTAGTATGATATATTCCATGCTATAAATGTATATTTTTTCTCAACTGGAAAGCGTGTTGCTTTCTACAGACATTTTTTTGCAGACAGAATGCAAACACTACACAGACAGTATTAAACAGATTTAAAATTTCTTCCTGATTTGTTTTCAAAGATTCATAGCATTTCTTATTTTACGATCTTCTGAATACTTATATTTTAAATCTCAGCAGACCTAGCATCACACAACAAGGTACGATCCTATGATTTTTACATAAATGAATGATGCTATATAAACGAAAGAAATTGGCCTAGCAGCAGTAAGGGATCAAAATTATGTTACTGTCAACGACACATTCTTTAAAATTATGTTTAATTAGTTTTTGCACATTAAATTACCTGTAGCCAGTTGTAAGAGGAACTCCACCTTTTTTCCAGAGGACATGTGGCTTTGGGTTGCCCCCTACTTGGCACTCAAAAATAATGCTCCCACCTTCAATTAATTTGTGTACTACAGGTTTTCTTATGAAGAAAGGAGGTACGGGTTCTCCCGATACTTCCTCGGCAGAGACATCTTCCATTACAACATCCTTTGTCTCCACATAGCTGGAACAAGATTACAGTGCAGATTGAATCATCAGATGTCAGATGAAGCTGTCATAAACAGAATGCAAGAAACTAACGACCACCATAGGAGTGGGCTGTTTAGGAGCGACTTTACCTTTTCTCTTCTGTAACAACCTTCTCAGAAATGGTTTCTCTAGTCTCAGTTTCTTCTGAAACTGAAAGGCAAATAAGATACAGTGAATTTTGATAATACTTTTGAATAGTGACTAAGCAATGAGTCTAGCAAACAAAGTGAGAGAAGGTTAAGTAGCATTTCTCAGAGGACCAGGTACTTGCACTGAGGGAGCTGTCAGCTCATAATGGGCTTTTTTTTTTTTTTTTAAACATACATTCTTGCATTCCTGCCTCCATACAGCCTTAGAGTGTAATTCCAGGAATATGTTTGACTTGACAGCTGACAAAATCTCAAAGTTCCACTATAAGTAACACACAGTTAATAAAATGATAACCTCCCTTCAGTGATAGGTACTTACCCTTCACATGCAAGTGGCAAGATGTGCTGACACTCCCAGCCTTATTGGTAGCAGTGCAGGTAAATCTTCCACTGTCTTCTGCAAAGGCTTCACGAATCACAAGGCGAGCAAGTCCTGCTTTGAAAGTGATCTGGAAGTCCATTGAGCTCTCTATCTTGTAGTCTTCCCTGTACCACGTCACAGTAGGCTGAGGGTGACCAGAGATATGGCACTCCAGAGTGACAGACTCACCTTCAGTCACAGTCTTATTTTTGAGACCCTGTATGACAAAAAAAGGAAAAAGAAAAATCACAGTCATTATATATTTTCACTACTAAACAGATATTTTAGATCGGATATTAGGAAAAACCTTCTCTTGGAAAGACTGATAAGGTATAAGAACAGGCTGCCCAGGGAGGTGGAGTCACTGTCCCTGGAGGTATTGACAAAGAGAGCAGATGTGACACTTGGGAACGTGGGTTAGTGGGCACAGTGCTGATGGGTTGACACAGTTGGACTAGATGATCTTAGCAGTCTTTTCCAACCTTAATGATTTTATGATTATATTATTTTAATAACTATAATCTCTTGGAAATTTAATGACTATTTCAAAACAGTGTCTTGTTCAATAGTATCCATGAAAAACGAGGCATTTTCCAAGGGAAGTATTTGAAACTAGATTTGGGATCTCTGAAAATTAAGAAGAACATGTAGCATGATGTTTATGTAAATAAAGGAGAGTAATTTTTTCAGTGAAAAATATGAAATGACTTTATGTTAAATGACTGTGAACTCTCATCTTCACAACAGACATGCTTGACAGAGTAGTTTGTATACGGGATGAAGTGTATTATTACATAAAACCAAATTTTCATGGTCAAGATTTCAAAGATAAAAAAATCAGAATACAAAATGTATGAAAACACTGTGTAACAACCTTAATATACATAAAACTTACCCAGACTAAGGTGGGTGGAGTCACAGGAATTTCTGCAGGCACAGGAACTCTGGCAGTTTCTGTCACCTAGATTGTTCAAAAGCATGATTAATAAACATCTCACAGGCAAAGGATGAAAACAGCAGAATTAGGTAAGGAGAAATCTTTTTTTGCCTTAGATAAATATTAAATCCTTGGAAGAATTTGTGCAAAACAGCAAAGAGATAAAAGTCAGGTAAATGCTTTAGAAGGGAAAAACTGGAAGGAGGAGATAATAACCAACTAGAATTTTAAGGCGAAAGTCAGTTAGATTGACTGAAATTTGCTTAATGACGTACCTTTGCTTCACTCTCTTTCCGCAACAGCAGGTGATCCTCCCGCACTGCTTCACCTTTAATGCTTACATCCACCTCTTTTTTCGTCTCAACATCATAATGAGTTTTATAGGTCTCAGCAACCTCTGTGAAGGGAAACTGTGGAGGAGCTGACTCTGGTTTTATCTTGACTTCATGCGGCTTTAGCTGAGGTGGTTTCACAGGCTTGGTAATCTTTTGCGCAGCAGAAGTAGCAGATAACTCCTTTTCCAGAGTAGCCATGGCAGATCCTGCTATTGAAACCTATGGAAAAGAAGATAAAGGGTTACAGCTCTGTAATTCTCCTGTTGTCAGAGAAGGCATAGTATATTTCTCAAGCAGACTGCATATCCATCACTTGCTTCCCAAGTTACTTTGTTGACACCGCAAAGGCTACATATACAAAATTGTCTTCTAGTTTTAGACTGTAATAGTAGAATACTAGAAACACAAAATCCTTTTACTAGTTTTTAATGTAGAACTTTAACAATAAGATCATAAGCGAAACTTCTGAAATGTCCTCTAAGTTTACTCACTTAAGATGTTAACTTTCTATTTTTACAATCTAGTAGATGTTGCAATAAACCATACCACTAATTATTTCAATAACAGTCATTAAGATACCCAAAGGGTTTTCAAAACGTTCTTGCAGTTGTAATAAGTTTGCATGCATAAACATGGAAAAAATCTATAAATATAAATTTTTAGGTAAGTTTATACAGTTTAATTATACTTGCAAAAAAATCTTCTCACTTTTAAAGTCCAGATAAAGAGAAAAATAGCGCTTGAAGGAGAATATTAAGTGTAAATTTTAATACTATTTGAAAGAGTCAGAAGAATGGAAAGAATAATACTAAAAATGGATAACGTCATATTGCACAGTCCAGTTTTCAAAAGTTAGCTTTATATGAAGCAATCTGCAATGAAGAAAGGAGGCACTGCTATTAATGTGTGAGTGAAGTGATGCAAATAATAACCTTCATGAGTGACACTTCTGCTTTATAAAAAATGTGAATTGTATGAAAAGGGTTTCTGATTACACTGTCTAACAAAGTATTGAGGCTGCCTCCTTAAATAGATTCTAATCTTGCTTAAATGAGTAATAATTACAGGTCACATTTTAGCAGGTCGTGTGTGTTTACAGTGTTACTATTTATTAGCCAAACAAGATGATGAAAACAACTTTAGAGAACATAAAACCTTTCACCTGGAGAAAGTACCATACCAGACTGGAAGAAAAAGCAAAATGGTGTGGGTTATTAGAACACAATATTCTCCTTATATACACCGTTTTTACTTCTTACCTCATACGTATGATCTGGTTTAGGAACAGCAATTTTGGAGACAGTGAAGTGAGGACTTGCTGTGCGGGGTCGCGGGTGTTCTATGTGGATTGTTTTCTCAATCTTGGCTTCTGTTTCTCTTTTAATCTACATGAAGCAATGAAAAGATTGTTGAGAATGTGATGCTGTTCTCTAAGCTGTAAAAGATGTCATTGAGACATAGTTTTCTGAAAATGATGGAATGGAAGCGAGTCTAACCTCTGTTGATACATGAACTTCCTTCTTTTCAGCAGCTGGAATATGTTTCTCAGGAGGAATGTAGACCGTTTTAACTTCTTTAGTAGCAACATGGTGTTCTGCTTGTGCCTCATGGTCTTTTACAGCATGCTCTTTATAGCCATATTCCAAAGTTTTGTGCTTGACATGAGTTTCATCTACTTGCTCGGTCTCCCAAGGTGATCTAACACGCGCCTGATCAACAGCTGCAACAACTGTAGCTACAGCTTCAGCCTTTTTATCAGCTTCAATCTACGGATAATACAGGCAAAGTTTGTACAAATGCTCATCATTGTGTACTAAAGGTTTCCTTTTCTGGGAAATGCTTATAAACATATTGCTCAGTAAAAATTATTCAAGATAAAGAGATGGTGCATTCCAAACATAGATAAGCAAAAGTAATAAACTTTAAATGTGTTCACTCACAAATGCACTTCAGAGTCAGTAGATTCAAATATAGACTCATTTTCAAGTTTTATCTACACATATTCAGACTATAACTATGCTTGATTGCTTTATACATGTCATTATTTCTATCCAAGTCCACTTTTAATACTTTTTGGATGAATTTATTACTACTTGCCTCTGAGTACAACAGCTATATAAATGTACACAATTTTAAAGTCAATCTGCTCATCAACTCCATATAAAATCTAAATGCTACTAAAAATGTGCAGAATGTGTCTGACATCTGACACAAATGCATTTACTAAGGAATACATCCACATAATAAAATTACCATATGCATATCTGTAAACTCCAACGCTAATCTATTTTAAATGTTTTTACTAAAGAAGGAAAACTTGGCTTTCAGAGAAACTGGAAATAATATGTTTGTATCAAGAACTCTTTTATTCTCCTCTCTTTTCCTAACAGTTGATAAATAATGTCAGCTTCAATGTCATCAATGATATCAAAACCCAAACTTCTGCTGAGTCAGTCAACAGTAGATAATGGGATGTTTACTATTTACTGTCATATCTGGATATACTCCATAGCAACACAGCGTATGAAATGTACACCTTATAGATAAGAAAAAAACCCAATGGACAATTTCATGCTGATTTTAAAACAATTACTGTCTTAAAATAAATTAATACAAGCAAGGCTTGTATTTAGCTAGTGTTTAGGTTACAGGAACCTCAGTTCTGTTTGCTGCAAATTTCAAAATCATTCCTTATACTAGCTTGAATTTGGCCCTCAGTTTATGCCTTCTAACAATTAATTTTAATCTCCTTGCACCCTGACTTCTTTGAGTCAGATTTGAATGTTACAATCTTTAAATCATATTTTATAACTGCATTGTATAAATGGATATTTTACTGTTTCTAACAAAGCCTATTAATTTTAAGCAAAGGGTTTTGGCAATTCTCATCCGCAGATAAGAAATCCTATGCTATACTACGCTAGAAAAACTTTTCTACTGTGGTAAATCCTACTAGAACAAAGCAGAATCAACATGTATTTAGTTGCCAGAAATAACAAACTGGATAGAAGTGTACTGATGGTAAAGTTTGTGTGTCATGAAGAGCAATACAATCCAACGCTTAATTTACAGATGCTCTTTTGTCTGATAACTGTAAAATTGCAAGGACTGAGCTTGTAGAAAAGAGCACTGCAGATTCAGAAATTTCACTGAATTTGAAACAATCTGATCAAGTAAAGACTATTAGAAAGTCATTGTTAGAGAGTAAATTTTCACAGAAACATCTGATCTTAGTCTGTAAGTGGCACTTTCTGTTAGAGTGGGACAAAAATCTTGGTATCACTAGAAAGTTAATAATTCATTCACAGTGAATCTATTATTAGAAAATCATTCCACTTAACAGGCATAATATCAGGAATTAATTTAAATGCATCCTATTATACTCAAATAGCTCTTAAAAGGTGAGGTTTTCAGAGAAGGTAAGTTGTAACAGTGCATTTCACATCTGCCACAGCAGTATTCACCTGATCATAAGCTAGATGCACTTTTTCTTGCTTGGCTGTAATTTCTTCTCTAGTTCTGGACACTGTGACTGGTGCAATTATTTTCGGAACTACAGTAGTTTTCTTAGCTTCCTTTTTAATCTAATTGTTATAGCAGAAATAAAAGTTTCAGTTACATATGGTCTTGAAAAATATTTGAACAATGGGAAAATACATTGGATGAGAACACAGGAGGAGAATTAAAGAGTTACATCCTCGTGCACTGCAGACAGCTCTCTATTACATGTAAGTATTGTTACACCTTAATACCTATTTAAGTAAAAGTAATACTTTTTTAAAAAGTTAAAATGCATTTCAGGAGTCAGACAGTCCATTACAAAAGTCAGTCCAAAACTGTGGGCATCTCATTAATGAAAACAATTAGGAGAGAAAGACAGGGTGGTGTAACACAGTCTAATTAATGAGAGTTTGTAATGAGGTTTGTAAGTGGAATCAATCTTAGCAAGAAATGACGTGGGAATGTACAATTAGTATTTGCTCAGGGAAACAAAAGTTTTGCTTAGAATAGAGGATAACAAGACAAACATGGCCATTACAGTGCCAATCACCTTTTCATGGCTTATGCTCACACGTTCTTGTTTGGTTGCAATTCCTTCTTTACTTTTTGATATTAAGACTGGAGCTTTAGGTTTATCAGTGGTAATCACCACCTTTGGTACAGAGGGTTTCACATCTTCCCTTCTTATCTAGTTTTATAGTGAAGAAAAATAATAGCAATCAATTATATCTGTCACCAAAATTTTTCAGGAAAGCAGGTCAGGATTTCAGATTATATATCAGTAAGAGAAAAACACCACCTCTGGAATGAGATAACTCCTTTGTACAGATCAAGCAGTAGCCTATCTTATATGCTAGCTGAACCAAGTCCATTCAAAGTCCATACATTGCATTAAACTATACGTGAATTAAAGAATCTTTCCACTTCAGAGTTAATTGAAACATATCAGTGCTGTTTTGTAGAGACAGTAGATTTAAAAACCTGAGTTACTGATTCAATTTACTTCCATCAGTTGATGGAACTATTCCATTAATTCAACGAAAAATGATTCCAGAATTTGATCTGTCCGATGCATTCAGTTTTCATGTAAATATGAGCTTCGTTAAATCAAGCTCCAGATATAAATATTATTGTATGCTGATAATTACCTTCACAGTTTATCTTCATAAATCTACCTTCAGATGAAAAGCAAAGGTAGTAAATCATCAGATTAAATTCTGATAATGCTAGCAACAAAAGCCATAATGCTTATAGAAATCACAGGAAAGGAGGCTACATTATTTCCCTGTAGACAGATCCACTATGAATTCAGCAGATTTGTACCTCCAATGCTGGACCTATGTCAGGAATAAGTCACTTTATAAAATTTTGATTTTATAATCTCATCTTCATAAAAATGAAAAGGGAAGAAGCAGAGGACATGTGATGAAGAATGAAGTATTTATAAGATTATTAGAGTATAAAAATGAGTTAAATATCTTTATCAGATTTACTCACTTGTTCATGAGAAACATGTACTTGCTCATGTCGGGCTGATATTTCTTCTCTAGCTGTTGATATTCTCTCTTGTTCTTTGGCTTTGTCTGTGGCAATTATTACTGTGGGTACTGGAGTTTTCTCTGGTTCTTTTCTTACCTGAATGTTTACAAACAAGGAAGTTTAAATTATGTATTGTTCAAAATATAAGGAATGTGATTTTCTGTAAGTTTGGGAAAGAAAATACAAGCAAAATGGATGCAAAACATCAAAATCTGATTTTCAAAATCATCTAGCATGAAAGCTAACAACATAAACAGCGTTTCTATACATTTAGCATTAAAATAAAACACTGGAAAAATGTTTGCTTTGCTACTGAAAAGCAGTAATAATAAAAGAAATGGGGTCTGAGAAAAACTATTCTGCATCATAATGAGTTTAGAAAAGTGAAGGATACTAAAACTACGTTTTAGGTAAATTTCATTTTGCCAGGAAGTTCTCATGAACATGTGATTTTCTGCTCAGGTGGATTTCTGTTTCTCGGTACTCTAAGTTACAGCTTCTTTCTTAGACATTCTAGTATATAGGTATTTAATGGAAGTTGGTCTTCCATTAAATCAAATTAATCTTATAAAACACATTCTAAAATAACCTGTATCTCAGTCACCTCCTGGTATTTTCAAAATGGATTTCAATGCAGAGTGAGTTTTTCCCACTTGTTCTCACCCACAGTGCTTCCAACAAAACAAAGCAGGCTGCAAATAGCAAGCTTAGAAATAAAGTATTAAAAAAAAGAAAAAAAAAAAAAGAAAAAAACTAAGAGATATTTCTTATGTCACTTCTAAAATGTAAACCAGCATGAAATAAGTAAACAATGGGGTTTTTCTAAGTTAAATTTTCAGAAGTTTAGATATCACATTCTTAAATATTAACTGTGGAAACAATATTTAAAAAAGAATGACATCACCAAGGAGGGGTAGGAGAATGATAGCAATGTAAACTGGAAGAGTGAACAGGGTATCAAATGAGAAGATAGTTTTTTTTCCAGATGTTGTTCATATTTTTCATAGGTTGTCCATCATACGTTTGATTTTTTTAAAAAACAAGATAGGGTATGAAAATTATGGGTAACATCTGTATTCACCTTTTCATGAGAGATGTGCCTTTGCTCTTGTGAAGTAACAATTCCTTCTCTAGTTCTTGATATTACTGTTTGTTTTGTAGCTTTATCACTGGTAACTAGTACCGTTGCCTCCTTTCTCATCTGATTTTTATAGTAAAAGACAAACAAAAGACCAAAGCCTTAAAATTCAGTTTAACAAATCATGAAAAGAGAAGAAGGGAAAATAAGAAAGGAATGCAAATCAAGGAAAAACACTCCAGAAGAGTTATTTTATCCCTTGTGGGGAAAGTATAAACGAGGTATTAGACGGAAAAGTTCATCAGTGTAAGAAAAATGTTAGAAAGTAACTGACACGGGAGAATTTAGGAACACTTTCATAGACAGCATTCTTAAACTTGGAAAAAGTTTAAGAATAATTAGTTCAATCCCACTATGAAGAGAAGTGATGGTGTAAGTAATCCACAAGCATTCCTTTAAAGGGAAGATGTTCTGTATGAGTTATGCATGCTTTTGTGGTGAATGGTTTGTTAATTCCTCACATTAAATCAAGTCTTGCTTGCATGTAGGATGAAGAGATAGAGGGGAAATTAAAGAATGTCTGTGCTCTACTTCTACCTGCTCCTGAACAGGCTGAACATGGACGGCAGTCATTGCTGTCCTTTTAGCAGCTTGCTCTACAACACTTGGAGCTGGTTCTCTCACCATGGCTTGATCCACAGCAGCAACAACCGTAGCAACAGCTGCTGTTTTTTCACTGTCCCTTCTCACCTACATTAGTCACATCAAAAAACATTTTTTCGTATTATGCATACACACAGAAGAAGCACAAAACAAATACACAGACTGAATGTTGCAGTCCAGCATTTAAACATTTGCAGAAGAACTCTCTCAACTAAAGTTACACGCAAGTCTTTACAACATTTAGCTCATCTATTCAGCAGTAGTACATCCACAGACAGAGCAAAAAGAGTATTCTTACCAAAAATAGACTTTACCTCTTTAGCAGCAGCTGCGACCTCACCAGCAGCGGCACCACTAATAGTAACTTGTTCTTGCAGCCCGTATCTCCCTTCCCATCTTTCTTCAGTTGTTAATTCAGTAGCACTTGTGGATAATCTGGTTTCCTTCATCTGGGCTTCAGCGGTTGCAGAATATCCTTCCTGCCTCCAAGGAGGAAGGACTTCAGCCCCAGGTGTCACTACCTGTGCTTTACGGATTGGTGATGGAGATTTCACTGGTCGAATAGGAGAGGTGGAGATTCTCCCAGCAGGAGAAACGGACCTAATGAAAATATATAGAATTCATGTAGTGTCATGACTATACTATAAAGAACATTGGCCTGAACTTGAATTCTTTCCCCCTTTGGAAGAACTACTAAGCCCTGAAGATAAGTTTTGAAAGGCTTGTTAGGTGTTCTATTTGAAAGTTACATTTATCTGCTTTAATATATGCCTTAAATTTTTTTGTGTGTTTTGTTTGTTTTCATACTCATCTGTGTAACCTATAGCTCAGATTCCCAAATTGAAATAAAGGTAAATGTAAAAGTGCATTTCACACAAGTACATACATTTAAATACAAAAATATATAATTAGTCTCCAATTCCTCTGTCTTCATTCTCCTAATAATGATATAAAAGGCATTTTTCAATATACTTTCATAGGCTTTCTAACTTTTTTCTACTTTTGCAAGGAATTATGTTATGTTGCATTTCTGATAATGGTCATGAATACTGCACCACTGCAGCAATAGGTGGCAGCAGCATCACATTAACTTTAAGATTTATTTTTCTGACATAATGCAGACCTAAAAATGGTTTGACTAGCACAGGAGAATGAGACTTCTAGTTCCATGAACACTCAAGATGGCACTACTGAGTTACTCTTTCACCTTGATATCGCTAATTACTACCAATTCATTTCTGTCTGCGCTGTTAATTACTGTCAGTAGGCAAAACTCATCAGCACATCTAGTAATGGCAATTTAGTTGAGGCTTTGCAGAGCTTGAACACATTGCTTCCCTGATGCTTCTGCTTCAGAATGCTGGGACCACAGGACTTACAAAACTATTGCCTCTTTACCTGCCTGTCATGAAACTATCACGATCTTCCAGTCCACAGGTCCTGCTCTTCAAATTACTCACTTTCCCTCTCAAAATCCTTTACATACGATTTGCAGTCATAACAAGCACATACATAGAACATGGGTGGTGACACACTGGTACAGGCAGGCCACAGAAGTCATGGAAGAACCATTCCTGGAGGCGTTCAAGGCCAGGTTTGATGGGAACCTGGGCAGTCTGACTGGATGGTTAGCAATTCTGCCAGCAGCAGGGAATTTCAACTGGGTGAGCAGTAAGATTCCTTGGCTACCTAAGCCATTCTGTGATTCTATAACTAACCTGTGTTCACTATTTTCAAATAGTCTTCCATTCTGTTTGCCACCCATCAAAGTCATTTTTCTTTTCTCTGTTTGTATAAAATAATCATAAAGGGGGAACTGCTCTGTTGTTTTTTTCTGTTTCATCATGCACTTGGAGCTTTGAGTGCTATTTCGATTGTATATAAAACAATCAAATGGGATTTATTGTGTAAAGGATTTTCTTCCATATGGGACAGAAAACTTACAGACGAGAGTCACACACTTCTTTTTCAGCACTGGCAAATATAGTACATTACATTTCAGAATCAGAATAAATTTGTGGCACCAAGTCAGTGCATTCTTTCATTTTATACTATAGTCTCATTCTGCAGTATTAAAGCTGTATATTGAAAGAGTGATATTGTTTGAAAGATGTTTACCTTACTGGTGAGGGTGTTGGTGCTCTGACATGTCTTACAGGTGATGGTGATTGTCTTACAGGTGATGGTGACTGCTGTCGTGCCATTTGAGCTTTTGCAGTAATTACTGGTGGAGTTGGTGATTTTGATGTAGGTCTAGGAGGCATTCGTGGAGGTGCTTTGTGTGGGAGCTGTTGGGCTGTTGCACCTTCTATGACCATTTCAACACTTGTAAGTGATCTGGCATCAAAGTGGGCTTCAATCTTCTGCAATGAAACCAAGAAAACAAATCTGAGATACTGTACACTTAATCATCCACACTGAAGTTTTATATTACTTGTTTCTGAAAAATATACCTTTTCAATTCTGGCTTGTCTTGTTTGTGAAATCTGAGCAGTCGAAACAATTGTTTTTGTCTTTTTAGCAGGAACGGCTTCTTCTTCACCTTTTGAAAGAGAAAATATAGTCAGGAGAATATGCCAATAAACATGCAGTTGCAGACATAAATGAGTACTCAATCTATATACAAGTGTATATAAACAACAGAGAAAGAGTGAAGCAGCAAATGATTTTCCTGCAACATCTGTACACAAATAATTATGAAAACAGTTGAAATAATGTTTATCTTTTCTGCATTACTATGTTATTAGAAGTGAATTAATAAATAAATATAAACACATTTATTTTTGATTGGAGAATCAACTCCTGGATCCCCAATGACTAAACATACGATCTGGAAGTCTGACCGAGGTAAAACCCAGTAGAAACTTCTTTGGGTAGAATGATTTACTGCTACAATTCTCTGCTAAGCAGTCTTCATTCTTACCAAGCTAACTTACAAGACCACATACAGTTACATAGTTCCATATACATATGTTATCAAAGTCACCTTACAAATATAACCTTATGAAATACTGAACAAATTAAGAATAACAGAAACCATTCCACACTTGTTTCTGTCTACTGTATACTCTACTGTATACTTTCAAAAAAGACTTGTGGTGAATCATGGGTCTTGTTAAAATTTCAGACAAAACCTTTGGCAAATTCCACCAGAGAGAATGATTTTTCAGAGGAAGTTAATAACTCTTTTAAGAGTTAAAATACCACTAATATAACTATGATGTAGTTGTATAAATATTGTATCTTTACAACAGTGCATAGTCTTATTTTCATGGCTTGTAAATCTAGCTCCATTACCTTGAATCAGCAGTTCAGCTGTTGAAGTAGCACGTCCCACGTTATTTGTGGCATTTACTGAATAAGTGCCGGAGTCTTCAGGATATGCTTCTGCAATTATTAGGCTGTAAAGGTCTCCTTCTTGTAAAATTTGAAAATCGGGGGAGCTTTGGATTTCTACTCCATCCCGATAAAACTTCACCACAGGTGTAGGGATTCCAGTCACTCTCACATCAAGTCGAACTTGACTTCCCTGCCTTGCAGTCATGCTCTGTAGTCGTTGTGAAAAGTTTGGCGGTGCAGTTCCAGCTGCAATTTTATTGAAGAGAAAAGTAGAAAAGTAATAAGAAGAATTGTTATACAGAATTGTTAGGACTAGATATTTTCTCTAACACTAACTCTAAATGAGTTATCGAGCTAAACATCATTGAGATTTCCTTTCTGCAGAACTCTATCCTTCTTTAATGACTGGTTTGACTGTAGCCAGTGTGACAGATCTAGAGAGTAGCAGTATGTACAGAGATAGGCCAGAAATTTGTAACTGTGAATAAAAGTTTATGAAATGAAGATTATATGTTAAAGTGTGAAGGATGTTACTAGTAATTATTTGTGAATATAAAGCAGCCTAGACTTCATCTTAAATGAGAATATTCATTATTATTATTCATTTCTTTGTTAATCACATATTCTAAATTTAAACCTTTTCAACACCTGTGACACTTCTGCTATTGCTCTTTTCTCACATTATTACTAGAGAGAAACACTTTTATTGAGTTACCAGGTACCTGTAACAAGTAGCTCAGCAGTACTAGTTGCTTGCCCAGATCCATTGGTGGCTTGTATGGTATATCTTCCACTGTTTGCTTCTGTCACGGAGGGGATCACTAGTTTAGCGCGGCCATCACTAAACGAGATCTGCACTCCGGGCAGAGTTGCAGCAGAGAGAACCTGGCCATCCCGATACCAGCTCACCTCAGGAACTGGGAAACCTAGAGAAAACAAAAGACAAAATGATTTTTGCTTGATACGCACTTCCAGGTCAGATGCCATTTTTTCAGTCTGTCCCTCTGCTGCCATCTATCACATGGCAACAAAATGTAACAGAACAGTGATGAAAATGTTCAACGTCTACTGCCATACCACCACAATCTGCCTCTGACATCTATAGACAACAGAATAAAATAGGAAGCTGTACTTTCAGAGAAACCCTTGAACTTGATCATGTATACATGGCTAAAGTGGAGAATATTGTCATGGGCCCAGATTTATGATTATATTTCCAGTAACGAGTTCTTTTATCACTATGTTAGAAGTGAGTTTAAAACATGGTAGTTTAAAGAACAATAGTATAAGCACAGTAGCAACTGCACGTAGGAAATTGCTTGAATAAAGAATGGATTGTACTGTTCGGCAGCATATATGAAAATTATGAGGATGAACTGATGCAAGATGATTGTTGCAACTGATGCAAGATGATTATTTGCTAGTGTCTAAGTAGTAATGTTTATTGCTAGCAAAATTATCCAATTTAATAAGAGACAAAATAAATTAGATTCTCCAGTCAGCTACTACAATCAGCTGATCTATTGTAGTTCAAATATAACTGTATTTTGTTGTCAAGCTCAAAAACATGATTCTTTTGGTCAGAAGAGCTCCACCTACGTCTGCATTTGGTTCTTCTCAGCTTGAAGTGGTGATCTTATGTTCCTGATGGAAACTCTCTTCCCAGTATTCAACTTAGTAACTTTATTGAGAAACCAAAACACTTTAGATAAACTAGCAATTTTATTTATTTTTAATGAGCTTCTCAAGGGGAGCAGCTACTTTAAACAGACAGTTCCAGAGCAAAATCTTTTCTTGATCTGGAGTTCTTCATCAGTTCTCCAAAATTAAAATCTGGGCATATTTACTTCATAGACTTCCTCGCTTAAGTGAAAACACTACAAATTGACTCAGGAATGAAAGACTGCAATTATTACTGCTGCTTTAATTCTCCCATTTCCACTCTCCGTTGTTTGGAAATCTCTAGGACCACAGAACTTAGATTCCTTTATGGATAAATCCTCTTATAAATGTATTATTTTGGGTTTTAATATGTCAGGATAATGACTGCTTGAGAATAAAATGAAAGAGAAGCTGAGATGTATTTGGAAGCTTTTACTCAATGTTTGTAGTCACACCAGATGGTTAGAAAAGTTTCAGGTTTTACTCACAGCTGAAAAACTAAGTACATGTGTAGAATACAAACACTGAGAGAATTAGGTTAGTATTAAAAGAGTTTAGAAGTCTAAAAGGTAAAAGTAGACTTAAGCATTGCTAATTTCAAAAATGGAAGTTATTTAATAGCTGTGATAGGGATAGTATAATGCAATTTTGAACTACAAGTACAGGACAATTTGGACATTATCACTGTAAACATAGCCTCTCCAGCAGATCTCACTGATTTGATCCTAGCTATGCATTCTAAATTTCTGCATGTCACTTTCAACACATCCTAAGCTAAGCAACTGAGAATTACATAGCTGATAGTGAATTGCTTGAAATGTTGCCAGCATCATTTATTTTCTTTGTCCAGTGTCATATGATGATTACTGAACACAGATTGGTGCACTAGGTTGAACAGGGCATACATTAAAAAAGAAAAATAGGCTATTTTGACATCTCAAACTGTTGTGTTCAAGAGATTTGAAGTTAGAAGTCATTTGAATAATCTGAACACAAGTACCGTCCCATAAAGCTAAGGACCAAATTACACAGTCTTCAGATTATCACTATTAAAGAGAGATTTACTTTTATACATGACTTAAATTCTAACTACTGAAAAATTATTTTTCATTTGAAAAATATTCAAATTTTTTGAGTTAATTGCCAAAAAGAAGAACATGAATCTAAAGTTTCCGCAAGTTAGTGTTTAAGAAATTGAATTCTACTAAATTGTCCTGGCAATGATATAAATGATGGGACCTGCCAATCTATGCAAAATCTATGATTCTTTCAACAATATGTAGAGTGTAAACTCTGGCTTGCATCAGGTAATACATCAAAAATTCACTTATGCGGAAACATAAAGATGGGCACAGTTCTAACATCAGCAGCACTGCAAACCTTATAGACAGTGATGTGCTATCTCATGTCCTCTCAGTCATTGCTCACCCACTAGGGCTACCACTTGATTATTTACCACCTGCTCTAGAATTTACTGCTTTTGAGTCATGGTTATTAAATGATCTGAGTTTTCTGAGTGTACAGGGAGATATTGGGTATTTTTATCAACTATCAGAGCTTCACATCATGTCACTTGATACACAATCTGATACAATATAGTTCATTTTTTTCCAGTTACAGACTGCAAAATTGCATCACAAGTGGTTACTGAGATCATGTCGGTACCCCTACATAAAGTAAGCTTTTCACGTTCTGTATTAATACTTGTATATAAAGGGTAACATTATCAGACATAAACAGAAAGTTTGAGTTTCAATTTCAAAACCATTAATGAGTTATGGAAAAAACCAAACTATATAGCAGAAATAAAGCTTGGTATTCCATTATTTATGCAGTTAGATCAAGAAATAAAGCTTTCACTTTTTTATCTATTGGAAAAACTAAAACACTGTCATATCTGTCAGCCTTGGTGGATTTCTGTGGTGTAGGAAAGATAAAGAATCTTACAATAAGAGGTGAATAAAAGCTGACAGGAAATATTCTCACATAAGACTTGGTACTAAACTATACCATATTTACCATAATTTTAAACAGGTAAAAAAACCTTAAAGTAGGAAATCAAGATCCCTTCCTAAGAACTTATTAGTATTCACATAAATGAAATGAGTTGAAATCACACGTTGAGAAGTAGCACTAGCAATCTTATTAAGTCTGATTGCAAATATCTCTCTGTAAGGGTCAGTGAATTTGTTTGAAATTAAATTTTCAACTGAAAATTGAAATGCATAGACAACAAGGCAATTAACTGAAGAACAGAGAACCAAATAGAAGAATATGGCAAGAAAAAATTATTACAGGTGTAGTCTACAGAAATAGAGGTGTTCAAATGTCTTCTGTGAACTAGAGCTCACCAAAATGTCTAAGTGATGAACCACAGCGGACCGCAGATGTCAGCGCTTTATAGATGGACAGATCGTGTGTTCGCACCTGTCACAGAGCATCTGGGTAGTTCTAGACTCAGAAGAATTTTTTATGGTATGTGGCTTATCATATTGTTAATGCCTCTAAGACGGTATAATTCCCTCAGCAAGAACATGTGCCATTTCTCCTTAGTCACTGCTGAGGTCAGAGACACGCTTAGAACAGGGTATTGGTTCTATGAAATCTGGTCTCAAGGTTTACATGTTGAGGGTCTTGGGTTTTTTCTACATTTTAGGGTATTTTGTGAGTAGAATGGCAAAATGAAATATCCTTTAAAATGTGGTGACATCTTTAAATTTCAGCAACAACTGTGAAGTTCTATTCATCCAGCCTTGTATTACAATCACGATAACCATATGCTTCTACTATCTGGCTAACCAGATGGACAACATACACCTAGATGTCATGATTTTAATTTTGGAGTTCTGGCAGAGATTAAGTAAACTCAAGGACACACAGAGAGAAATGCAGCTTAGCCAGAAAAATAAAAGGGTTAGCATCACATCAATGAAAAGCTGGCTTCGCTTTTGTGTCTGGGCTCCTCATTCCATCTCGTTATCATCCAAACAAGATTACCCTTTCTACATTGATATGAGGGTCTCTAATTAGCACAGTATGCATTTTTATCTACATACCATTCTTTATGCTGTTTTCCCTATTTTTGATGATTGTAACATACATGAGAACTTAACACAAATCTCACTGGCAGGATGATTGGCTATTTCCTCAGAGCCATCTTAACTTTATGCAGAATGTTTGTGAAAACCTGACAGCACCTCACAGCGTTGACCACCACTGCTTGAATTCTGGTCATTCTGCACATTCAGCTCTCAACATTATCCATTCAGATTATGAGCTATGCAAAGTGTTTTCATTTGTTTTCCACAGCATAAACGTTACCAATAACAACAAAAATTAATCTTGCAAGAATAAATCAAAATCTTACCACTAATATGAGCCTCAAAGGTTGCGGCACTACCCTCCAGTGCCACAACACTTTGTAACGGCTGCGTAAATGTTGGTGCTTTCGTTGTCATCTTTACAGGCACTCTGAAAACAACAAGAACATGATTAGAAATCACTGGTCATTTTGTTACTATACACACATCCTTCTTGTTGTTTTTAGGAATATCTGTAATTAATTGTAATTATTCATTCCTAGTTTTAAATCACATTGGCCCAGTGAAATGAGAAGAATGTAGATTTTTACAAGGTTGTGTAGAGAGTTAATCTTAGGGCACACTTAACTGAGTTGGATGTGAAACATATTTAGTACAGCTATGAATTGGCATTACAAATATGCAGCAGGAGAAAAAGTTCCACTTGACTCACTGCATGACCTTGAACAGGTCATCTAATCTCTATTTTTCCATTAATCTCCTTTACCTAAAGAGAAAACAATCTCTGTGTAAAAGTTCTTTGGAAGGATCTGAAAATATTTTGGTATTGCGAATTATTTGCATCCTCCATTGGGAAGATAACTAGGTCAGTAAGCAGCAATTTAAAATGTGAAGGTCTACTATCTATTTTAATAATCAAAAGTTGCCAGGAGGCTCTCTTTTAAAGGCAATCTGCAAGTAAGGAATAATTTCATTTTACACAGAATCATACTGGCATTATATAGATGCAGATAAAATTCTATTCTTTCTTAGAGAGTATCTCAGTGGAATTTTGAATGTGGGGAGACAACCACCTTCGAAATGTGAGCTAGGGTATAAGGTAGCCGCTGATACTGATGGTTTGAACAACTGCAGACCCATGTGAAATCACAAAGAAAAATGGTTTGTCTTCTCTTATGAGACAAGATCCTACTCTGAAATTGCGCACTGTCACTAAAAAGGCTTCTGCATTAGAAGTATTTTAGGTTTGCTTGAAACTATTTAGGTAGTGATGTTGAATTTAAACTCAAGGCTTTAAATATGCAGCTTTTAAAAACTTAGCTAGTATCTTCTTAATAGTGTCATTCATATAGTAAATTAAAGTTACATTTTTTTTCTCATAAAAAAAAAAAACTTCCCATAAGTGTATCATGGTCTACTAACAAAAAGTTAATTTCATAACCCTTTCAAACTCATTTCTCTTACACAGATTTCTGGTGCTCACTTTGGCTTTTGAACTTGATTATACGTCAGTTCCAGGCTTAAAAACTAATGAGAAGGTGAAGCGCCTTTCAAAATTATTTCACTCCACCTTTACTCCACAAAATTTAATCCACCTTTCAAAGGTGTGGAAATTCTTCAGAAGAACTCCTCTCATTGAAATTCAGGTCTGATCTGATCATAAAAAAAGTGGAGGGACAGAATGAGATATTCTGCAGGAATTCTGAGCTGTTTTTTATTGCCTTTATCTGGATACTTGTTCAAACTTGGAAGAGGAACAGCATTTTAACAGTTTACAGTTTCATGGGGGAAAATATGACCAAATTTCATCCTAAAACAACATCAGTTCTCTGAATGGCATTTGAAGAAAAATTCCTCTCATGTGTAATTCACTAAGATCTGCTTCAGCTGTAAGTTTTAATGCTCAGATAATATACATGAAAATAATCTTTTAAGTATTTAAACATTGTGAAATATTATAATTTTCAGACATCAGAATAGATTATTAATCATTTAATTAAGTACACATAAAATTCATGTATTTCATTTGTCAAGGCAAATTTTGATGTTGAAGATCTGATCTTATAAGGCTTTTTTGTATAATTAGGATTGAAAGTATGCATCTGAAATGTCATGTTCCAGAAATAACCTTCCTGGCTATGAATGACAACAGACAAGTGTTCCAGAGCTGCCATGTAATTGATACCTTAGCAGTTGATTCCCTTAAAAAGTCATCAGTGCTTAGCTGATACCACATGCATTTTATCAGAGCTATTCTTGGAGCTTCTCGGTTTATCTCTTGGTACCATAACCTTGAACACTCCCCAGCAGAAAGGAGTTTTTAAGTTAAGCAGATGTTTCCATGCCCTCTTCAAATCTTCACTTACATCAACTTTAATAACAATTATACTGTAACAACTCTTTACTGAATGTTATCATAACTTATTCCCTGAAATTTAAGACAATCCCGAAAGAGTTTATGTGCTCCATGCTCATACTCTGAAATATATACCTCACCCGAGTAAACATATATAATAATAGAGAGCAGATCGAGCTTATTGACTAATAGAACACCAGTTACACTAGGAGAAACACATTACTAACCTGAGATCTCAAAGTGCCTGTAGGAGTGGGCTAAGCCCAACGAAATCTTCTTGAACGACGTCCTTATCCAGAGTAAGATTTTTTTAGACAATCCCAGCATGAGAATTGATGAGCCTCTAACCATAAAAACAAAACTACACAGTCTTGACGGTGTAGTTTTGTTTTTTGCAATCCCTACACCCGAGGCGAGGCGGGGAATGCACGACTGCTCAGAAGTGCTAACATAGTTGTTTTACTTTATATACCCCAGCTCTGCTGACAAGGTCTACATCATCAGGCCAGTTCTGATTGGTTTCCTGAAAGAAAGTATCTTGTGAGAGGGGATCCACTGTGTAACCATACACCACCTGTTGGTTTGATTGGCAATGCTAATTTTGGAAGCACAAAAGGGATTCACTGAGGAAACAGCATCTGTTCCAAAGATTTGGGTCTATAATTCAGTTTGGTTTGCAGTGCACAGTTTAAAAGCCACAGCAGATTTCTGAAGTCATAAGCACAAGAGGAAATAAGCAATAAATAAGAATTTTGGCAGAGGACACAGACAAGTCAGTAGTAATCATATTGTTAAGATTTAACCTTATTTTATTTCCCTATAAAATATCTAAGAAGCTACCAAATGCATCTGTCAATCACCAGACTAAATAAGTAAGCTGATCTCAGACATGTGGCCACATGCTATTAGAATACACTGTTTGAATTATATCTTTTCTTTTCCATGAGTTGCAAAATTGTATTTGATGATATGTGGATTTGACTCTGATTTTTAAAACTGCATTTATGATTCTTCAGTTGGACGTGCCAAACATTCAAGCTTAAACAATAGTAGGCAGAATGCAGAAATACAAGATTTGTGAACATAAATGAGCAAAACCTAACTGACTGCAATTGCTTCATAAGTAAATTTTAAGTCTAACAGCTTTTCTGTGCAGAGGCGGTTTTGGGCAGAGTGCAGATTTAATCATCTATGGCATATTAGTTAGCAAGCTTCCACTGCCCATACTTCTCAGTCCAAGCAGCTAATTGTACTATTAATTGCCTCGGAGACAGCAGTCAGTTAGAAAACTGCTCTTGCCTATAGATGGAATGGGAGCTGTATCACCACAGCCTTACATTTGCTTCTCTATGAAAACGAAATGCATCTAAGTCACATTAAGCAAACTCTTTAAGAACAGAACTGGCTCATAAGACTATTTATGTGCTTAAACCAAGCTTTTGCTATATTCATAAGCAGAGCACTTCAATGTGCTGTCACCAAGATCCGCACTGAAGAAAATCCCTCCAACACATAGGAAAGCCATTTTTGTCACAGGTTTGGTGCTGCTAAGGGAGGGAGGAGCCCAGCAGCTTCATAGCACCCATCTCCTTCCTCAGCCAAAAGGCTTCAGGAGTGGAAAACACCACATGCAAATGAAAGATCAACTCAGGAACGCAATATAAGAACGATATCTAGAAAAATAAAGAGACTGGAGTTTTGTAATATCATCTGCGCTAAGGCTTGAAAACAGCCTGAAGAAAACTTTCAGCCTGATCTCCAGAAATTGCTAAGAGGAGATAACACTGCAGTTCCTGCAAGGGGTATTATACAACAGTTCATAGAACTGAAAGAAACCAGAAAGGACATGCTGCTGTGGCCTCTCTGCCCTTTAGTTTATCCATCTCATAAAGTCAACTTTACAGCTAATTCTTGGCATGCAGCAGCAGCAACTGCAACAGAAACTGAAACCTCCTTCTACATCAGTACCATCTAAACCCCCCGCAGAGTTTGAAAGTCAGAGCACTATGCCTCATATTTGACTTTTTGGTGCAAACGGATGTCAGATAACCTAATCTCTCTGTGTGAGATTTAGTATGATAACGATTCATTAGCAAGGAAGACAAGTTGGCTACAAAATGTCTGAAGAAATCTGTGCAAAGGGTATCTCACTTCTGATTCTAAACAGAGACTTGCTAAAATAGCAGACAGTAATTTTATCCTCTATTTGAACACTCAAATGCTCAGTGAAAAATCAGCTCAAAGAAGAAACTGGCAGTTATCAGCCAGTATTCAATAACAAAAAACAGCCAGCTTATTGAAAATAAACAGTGAGAATGTTTAGGAAATTGTGATAATTTTTAAGTGAAAGAGATATGAAAATTGCCAGTTTTGAAGATGAGAAGGCAAGAAGTTCAATTTTTGCAATTTCAATCAAATCAATAATTGTTAATAGATATTAAAAAACATTGCAATGCATTCAAATATGTGAACCATGTATTTTGTATTTTTAAAACAAGCTCCTTCCCATTTTTCTCAGTGAAATTTTATACTCGTTTGAATAAATGTTAGGACTATTTGCATCCTAATAAATGTTTGTACTTTTGTAACATATTTTTGTATTGCTAGTAGACCCAGAAATGAAGAAAACAGTAAAATATTTCTTTATGCTCTTAATATGAATGATTTATAATTACACTACTTTAAAAAAAGCAACTTGGCTCAGACAAGTGTGATTTCTGCATGTTTAGTGTCACATCTACAACATATCTGCAAGTGGAAAGATGAAATCAGTCTTAATGTTGCATAGCAAAGACATTGATGGTAAGAACATGGCAATATTTCTTTATTCACAGTTGAGGCAAAAGCCAGGTAGAGACTTTTTCTGGTATACATAGAAATGAGGATTATGAGGAAATGTGCGCAATTTCAGCATTAGTTTAAGTTGGCTATAACTTGAAGTATAAACTATGGTGCCAATGCTACTGCAGAATATGCATCACGCTATAGGCCAAAAATACAATACATTTGAGGAGTAGTAAATAATCTTCAACATAATTGAAGATTATTGTTCTAAATAGAAATCAATAATGCTATTGACCTGATGAATGGAATAATTATTTGAGTAGGACTGCAGGAAGATACCTTGAAAATCACGACTTTAACTGTCAGAGCTAAGAAACGATATCATTCTTTCCAGAATATTGAAAGCTTCCAACTGCTGCTCAAGCAAGTTTTCACTACATTTTTTTTGAAGTGGAAATTTGTGGGTTTTTTTGTTTGTTTTTTTTTTAAACCACATAAATTGCATGTTTTTGTTTTTGTTTTTTTTTTTAATTATTATTTTTAATTATTATTTCTTAAATAGAAATTTCAGTGGCTGTTATTACCATTGCATTCTTGGAATTATCTAAGGAGAAGACATATAGATGTTGCTTTAGATTCAGTTTTTTCAAGCTCCATTTCTTTTCACAAAATATTAACTAAAACTATAATACTGGGGAAAATAACAAGTAGCATAAGATGGTTCTTAGAATTCGATAGATACGTGCTTTGTGAAAACTCTTGCAACTTTCAGCAAATTCCTGGGCATCAAGGATTTATAAAAAGAAAGGGAAAAAGCTTATCAAACTTACCATGCTTCATAACTGACACATTCTTGAAAATCATTTCAGTGATTAACTGTGCTTCTCACTGCCAAAATAAGGTTGCCAGGCCTTTTATTTGTTTGGAATCAAAACTTTTAACATGCATTCTAAGGTGATTTCTTTCTTTTTTTCAAAGGATCTGATATGTACTCAGTCACTCCTCTGACTACAGTAACAATATTTTCTGTGAAACACCTGAAAAAGAATACGTATACTGGTGAAATGCCAGAAAAATGTAGTTGTACAAAATTCACTTCATGTTTGATATTTGTCTGTTTCATTAAAAAAAAAAAATGAGAGACACTATGTAAAGGAAAAGAGTGCAAACCTCCGTCTTCAGGTCTATATTTATGCGCACATGTACATGGTCTTATGACTCTTTTATGGGCAGGATGCCACTGACTTTTCTGTAAAGCCACACAAGTGATTTATGTGATCAGGCGACAACACACGTGATGGATTTTTTTCTTCTTGCTTTGTCTTTAGGCTTGTGCTTTAATTTGGAGAGAAATCTAAGTTACTATCAGCCAAATTGCACCTTGTTGGAAACTTGTGTATTGCTTTGGTGTTAGGCCTGGAAGGAAATCTGTAGAGACTTCCTTCCCTGTTTTGCACAAATGACATCTACTTGGATGAAGCACAAAGATGCTGTGCTACTTAAACCTGGTATGCTTCCTTTCTTAAGTGCATTGCTGTGGTATACAAATCCAGCATAGGACTGATAAATGTTTATAGAAAGAATGACAAACTGTTTCATAACTGGCAGTTGAAGAAAACATACACTAACTTGTATTGTACGAGCCAGAAGTCTGAGTAGCATAAATCATTTGCAAGTTAGGACTTAGAAAACTTGAGTCAGAAGCTAAATAGCAGTTAGTCCCAAATCTAACTAGTTATTGTTAGTTATGATGCCAAATAACCAGATGAAATAGGTGTTTTTCCCAACCAGTTTTTCCAATTCTGCAAGCGGATGGCACTTCAGATGTCCTCATTTTTTGTGAGGAGCTTTGCAATGAGCTGAAAAGACACCTTGAAGCAAAACTTTCACCTTGCTAATGGTTGCCCTACAATCCAAAAGGCTCATTTTCTTTTCAGGTTTTCTCTATACTACGAAAAGATGCTGCAGGTCATGAGTAATTTTACAGCTGTGAAATCTCTGGTTAAAGCAAGTTTGAAACTAGTTCCACTCTTCTAGACAGTGGCACACATCAGCTTGAAATGGACTGCTTTATCACAGTAATCCAATCATGAAGACAGAAGCCATTTAGCTAAAGACTTCTCCATTATACTGCTTTAAGAGAATGCCTGGTCCTTGAAAACATCCGTGGTACAAAGCAAGCATTACACAAAACTGTAACACTTATTTACCATTTCTTTTAATGCACAGTCCCTCTGGGAAATGCCAAAGCATTTTCTTAGGAATAAGGCAATGAACACAATATTTAATTTGCAGGAATATTTATAAGCAATATATGAAAGCCATATTTGTGTCTGAATTTTCCACGCAAGCTAGAGGGAAGAGCTGATGCCATTGATTGTAATAATACAAAATGGTTGGTGCTGATGAGCCTGCAATTTATAAGGGCTCAATTCTCTCTTTTCCCATTGTTTTATTCTGATCGATTTGTCCAACACACCAGAAAAAAACCCACAGAACACTGCTTAGCAACTGCTAGGCATTAGTGAGTTTTATTAAGAACGATTTATAGAGAAATCAAATATAAATTTCAACCCAGATACACATCAAATAGCTCTCAAATATTCATTTTCTCATCACACAGGGACACAGGAAACAAGATGAACCCCCTCATTAATCGCAGTTCATCTTCTGATCCTTGGCAGTAGGCTGAAGTAAACCAGGAACATTTTCCAGACTGAAGCTAATATCTGGTGGTCTCACAAGCTCAAGATACACTCCTTGAAGCCACAGTTTCTCTTCAAACCTTTTATTTAAAAAACAAACAGTTTATATTATCTGTGTTTTAAATTGTGGCAGCTGCAACATTCCCTTTCATAAGCAGCATTGTAGTGGTTGATATAGGTTCTTGGTCTTGAGATGATAACAAATTAAAGATAAAATACACACTGACTCCATACAGAACATAAATTATCCTTTATCTTACTAACAATAACAAATAATTGGAGGGTACTTATGGTATAAGAAACAGGAGAATAATGAAAAAGGAAATCTGATCTTTCTATACAGTGTCCATGTTTTAATCATGCTGAATATGCTGAGTTATATATCAGCATCAAGTATAATTACTGTAATTTTATATTTGATTCCAGTGCTTTGGAATACTTGTCATCTCACAGTGATATAGAAAACAAACAGTGATACAAAAAAAACAAAATAAAACTTGTGAATCAATGCTTAATCAGCTGATTTTAAATCATGACTACTGGAGGATTTTGTGCATGTATACATTTCTTTCATTTAATAAATTCAAACAACACTGAGCGACATTCCGCTGTAATGAGAGAATTAGTGTGTGTTTATATATACGTATATAGAAAATATCAGCTGCCCTACTTAATCAGCTTGCTTTTGCAGAGAAAGCAATACCTGGCTGTTGCAAAACATTCATTAGTGTCGTGCAGATGTTAAAAAAAAGTTTGTTATGATAAACACTTTTGTCCCTCAAAAAGAAAATGCCAACATGCTAAAAATAATTGTATTCTTAGGTCATGTCAAGAACTCACTGCATAACCAAAGGAAAAATATCTGAACTTCTGGAATAGTTTGTACCCTTAAGTTGTTCATTTGTAAGTTAATACTGAGATTAAGATACCTAGATTAAAGCAAAAATAAAACAATCACTGAACTAAATTCCCTGTTTCACATAAATTTCATTTTCTATTGTATTATGAAGTCTTTAACAAAATTTAATACCACTGGGTGTAGATAAATGCAAAAGCGTAGAAGCAGCCACATCATGTGCTCTATATTATGCAAAAATTGAAAGGATCAGAAAGAGTGTTATATGAGTGCTTTGTAAATTAAGGTTACTGCAGCTATTTAACTATTACGAGATGTAACACACCTTACTGGGAGATGCCTAAGGACTGGCATTTGGCCTCTCACACAATACATGTCCTGGTCTTGTACAAGTTCAGCTGTGGTGACCTCCCCTTTTGTTGAGAAGTACCTATTTTCCCATTCTGATTTAGCCTGACTGACAGTGAAAAGTTCTGGGTTTTTATTTTTCTCTGAAATGAGACAAACACATCCAAAATTGGAAATTAAGGTTTCATTTAATACAGCAACATGCCTTAAATCATACCTTTGGCCAAGGTGAATCACCTATCACTGTTACTATAGCAGAACAGCATGCCTTTCCAACTTCATTGCTGGCAACACAGATATACTTCCCAGTATCAGCAAGAGCTACATTTCTTTTCAACAGGTAGTAGTTATCTCCTAATTTCTCAGTCTGTAAAATAGAATGCACATAGAAGATTACTATTAGCATAAAGCAAAATATATTATCTTTCTCTGAGAAACACTTCAAGAACGTTAGAACATACACTGATGTCTCCAGCAACTATTTGGATATCATCCTTGCTCCAGTAGACATGTGGTATGGGCTTTCCACGTACAATGCAATGCAGGATTAAATCTTCTCCTTCTTGAAGAGTTGTGTGTCCAAATTTCTGTATGAAATTTGGCTGTTTTCCTTGTACTGAAAAAAATGCACTGTATTTTAAATGGCACCACTAAAGCAGATGAAGAAATATCTGTTTTCATGGTTAGAATTTTACAACATTGCAAGACTGGAACAAGCAGACTTCACGTATCTATATAATATAAAGTTTGCTGAAACACATGCAGACTAAACATCTAATAATTTCATGCATCAAATGTAGTAATATTAGTTCCATGTCATGGAACTAATTAGTTCCATGTCCATTCCTTGATAAGGAATCATGTTTGTTGTACAGGTAGTAGGTAACTATGTTGATTGTTATGCTTCAGTAAAGAGAAGATAAATATTCCACATAAATTTAAAGGAACATAGTTAAGATAGTTATTTATCGTATTTAGTGCACTATTGTACATCACATCCTTTCTACTTTTGATTTTGAAGCAAAAAATAACATCTCACAAAAGCACCCAGCATCTGAATCCAAAATATGATGACCGAGCTAGATATTTTTGCAAAATATCAGTGTGGGGAGTGAAACATTTTCACTCCCTTGTATTAATGAACTGATTGCTGATGTAAGCTGCTTTGCATCATTTCCATACTGTAGGTCTGAGGCCACAACACAGAGCAGAAGTATATACATTTCACTCTCATATTCTTGCTAACCTAAAGTCTGTATTAACCAGTGCCATTCTCAGCTGTTGAAAGCTGGCATGCAAAAGCTGCCACCATGATTTCATCACATGCACCTGAAGCAGATTTTTGAATCTGCAGTTTTCAATATGAGAATCAACCAATCTGAAAAAAAAAAAAAAATCAGATCTGAAGCATGACAATGATCAATCAGATATTATCTTGATTTTGGATCAGTATGTCAGCAGAACATAAAAAAAATAGAGTGACCAATTTCTAGGCAACAAAGAGAAAAATACATGCAGAGAAAACTATTAAGTGGCCTATAACTCTTAGAAAAACATGCTTTAGAATTCAACATCGCAGCAATCTGATGTAAAATGATGTGATCATAGACTGATAACAATTACCAAAAAGTAACATAATATTTCACCAATGGTTTTCCCATTTTCAAAAAGTAACATAGTATTTCACCAATGGTTTTCCCATTATATCATTATTAAATGTCAGAATCACAGAATCATTAAGGTTGGACAAAACCTTTAAGACCATATAGCCCAACCATCAATCTATCACCATCATGCCCACTTTTTCCTGCTTCACAAAAAGAAATATTTCAGGTTGTTTAGGCTACTGAAAACCCATTCTGATGGCTTCAGGTAGGAAAAATGTTTATGATCTGAATATTCTTATCCAGAACTCCACTGTCCTTGAATATCATGGTGTAAACTCATTAAAAAGAATCTGTCTTGTAATTTTTAGTAACATAGTTCCCCTGAGTCACAAAAGAAACACACACACACAGTGTGCTTAACCTGCAAAGTCTCCAGAGAAAGGTCCAGAAATAAGCATACCTTACCAGTCATTTGAGAGGAAGCCACCTGCTCCATTGCAGCTCCATCCACATCTGATTCAAACACAACCAGAGGAATGCCTCAGCCTCCCTTAGCCTACTAACTCATACAAGGCCCACAGTCAGGCTGCTTCTTTTGAAAAATGAAAAGAATTAGCCCCTTCCCCTTAAAATTTATACATGTTGTGGAAGTACCCTTTCATACAGTTCCAATTCTAGTCAGACAATCTTGTTCAACTCCTTCTTAATAAGCTTCTGTATATAAAGAAGGAGGAAGTAAGGTTAGGTTAGTAATGTGCATCATTATTTATGTTGCAAGGCTAAAGGGATACTTAAGTCTGCTTTTTAAGAGAGGACTCAGAAAGATGTTCATATTCTGGTATCTTGACATAATTATAGGTTCAAAACTGTGACTGCATTTAGAGAAGCTCAGTACTGTAAAATAAGAAAGCATCAAAACCAGAACAAAAGTCAGCCAAATGTACTTTCTGCTTCTACATAACATTTAAAAGAAGGAGGAAGTAAAGTATTTGCTACTTGAAATATAAAGGAAAAAAAAAGTCTAGCTTTGAAATTATTGCTGAAATTCACTGGCTTAAGGATGCCCTTCTCCAGCCAACAAAACTGAGAAATTGAGCATGGGTATAGTTTTAACACTACATCATAGCAATGATCAACTAGGATATAACATCAATGCAGTTTCCTCATCTGGGAAGTCTTCCAGACTATCAATGAAATTTCATTAAGCAATGCATTCAAAAAGTCCATTAAGATCAACTATCTTCCACACGTCGTTCAGTACATTAGCTACTGAAGAGACTATCAAAATGTTTTTTTTAAAAAAAGAGGAAAATAAATATGGAAATTACAAACTTCAACCACAAGTCTCATTTCACAAGTTATTGAACCATGATTTAGAACAAAGGAAAAAAAACAGAACACAATTGTATTGATTTTAAAAGTGTATTTTTTGCAAAGGGCGAAGTCTGAAATTCTAGTTCCAGCCTTGCCTACTGTAGGGCAGAGAGACTCAACACACGCCTTGCACCAAAGGTGATTCTCCTCCAACCACAAAGGAGAAACATATCTCTCAACTTTGCTCTCTGTTCATTTAAAGACAAAACAATGAACATTCTAGCACTGAACTTCTTGCAGCTTTCAAGATGAAGAGCATGCATACATTAAAACTAAGATGAAGCTTTGAGTCTAGCCTCTACAGAGCACAGATCAGGGACAACTCTTCCTGTTTCTAGCCTTATGTCAATGATTAATTTAAAAGCCAAATTCCAGCAGAGGCAAGGGAAAAGGAAGCAGTATCTCTGCTTTCACTCCTGTTTAGATTTTCTTTTTTTAATTTTTTTTTCCTTGGGACTTGCACTTAGTCTTAAGATTGAAGGCAAAAGTGATTTAAAGTAATCTGAATGGCCTATAAAGTTAGAAAAGCAGAAAAGAAATCAAAACATATGAGTACTTTTAATTTCTGAACAACAGGCTTCTGGAAGAATCACACTCTCAGTAAAAGTAAAGGACTGAAGGACAGCCATCACTCAGTAATTTTTTCCAAACAGAAAGTGAATGATATAAATAAGATTGTCATGCAGTGGCAGCTCTTCAGCATAAAAAAAAAAAATATCTTATGAATTCATAGAGGAGGCTTGTGTTTGTTCATAATACACTTCCTAACATAATGGTTATGCAATTCAGCTTGCTCATACAGATTCCTTGCTTTATGTTTGCAGCAAACACAGAGATAAATGAAGTCACAAAAACATAAGAACACTATGCTGAATTTTACTTTCTTGAAAATTGAAAGATTGAAAATCATACTAATTATTAAAAATAGCTTTACTTTGAAATAGCACTTTTGAAAAAGAGTTAATTTTTATACCTTGGTGATCGGATCAACATTTTCAGGAGATTATCAAACTCAAAGTTGTTTATTTGGGGTTTTGTCAAATATTTTGTTCCTGTTTGTTCACTACCTCTTATTATCTTCCCTCTCTCATTGCTATGAGGTTATATTCCCTTCTGAACATCTCCTGTTTCAAAGTTAAAGGAATTTTAATAAAGTTAAAATATCTGAGCCAAAATATCTAAATGTCAGTCTTCAATTTCATCTACCCCTGCAAGTTCAAGTATGTATTCTGCTCATAGCCTGCTGCCTGGTAAATGACTTATTTACTTTATCTTGCATAATTTACTGAAAAGAAATATTTCCTGTCTCTAAATTTTCCATATCAACATAGACATAACATGAAAGCTGCAAATCAAAGGTGCTGGAAAAATCATTCAGCTTTTGCCACAATTGTTTTTACTGTACTTGCACAAGTGCTAAAATTAAAGAGACTTAATTTTCATTTTAGCATTTAAGTGGAACCTTTTACTAATACTTTTGTCAAAGATTTAATCAAATTACATAAATAATATCCATGGCTGTTCCTATTATGATTTGTTATATATAGACAGGTTTTTGTTTTGTATTTACCACTTACTAAAGGAGAATGATGTGTGTGAGTGAGAGAGAGAGAGAGCGCACATGCTTTTGAGTATTTCCTCATCTTGATTGATTCTTTCTGAAATAAGTGCATTAAAACTTTTTAAAAGCACATTCCATAAAATAGTATCTTTCTTGTCCTATAGTAATGCTTTATATAATTGTCAGAAATATTTAGAGTTGTACTTTTATAAAATGACAAAAGTATCACAAGCATCTGCTTTAGAAGGTGGATGTGTTGGAAGGCCTCAGGTTTCGTTTTGAAAAATATTTGCAAGTTTTATCTAGGATACACTAAGTGCTACTTACACAAATTCTGACAATTCTATGCCAAATTTCTGTAGTGCACATTACCACAACTCTATTGCAACTTTAATCTGTGGAGATTACCTGCTGATAAGAGACAAATTTAAGTCTGACAGTATTCATGACTGCACTGTCATATATCACTTTATACTAAGAATCTTTATCCTATAAATGAAAAAAAGAAATGAGAAAATGTCATTGGAGAAAGCACATTTTATGTTTAAAATAAATTTCAGCACCCTTCTCCCTCCTCACCATAATGGATGTGTTGATATGAGCACAATGTGTGTACTGAGACAAGCAGTAGCTATAAAACTTCAGCTCTTCATAATGCCAACATATTTAAAATGCAAAAATACACCTTTGATTCTAGAAAATCCTTGTAACTTTTGTTTTTGTTTTTAATCTCAGCTTCATTAGGGTAAAGGAAAACAAGCACATAACACAGGTATTAAGGAACAAGCAATATATCAAAAGTTACATAAAAGTAGTTTGGTACAGGTGGTGAAAGAATCAGTGTAGGAAAATAAATTTCATTGTCTTAGCATGTGAGAACAAAGTCCAGTGCATTCAGTACCATACTTATTTTGTGAATAGCCAGTACATTAGTGATATGCTAATATAAATGATACACAGCGTTATCCAGTCTATTCTTGCAATAGGTGGCCTGTTACCTTGCACACGGAGAATAGCACTTGATGATATAGTGCCACTAGAATTTTTAGCCCGAGCAACATAGAGGCCAGCATCATTATCACACACCTTCTGAATGAATAAAGTATGCTTTGTCTCCTTTTGGGAAAGCTTTAAGTGCTCATCAGCAGTCACTTTCTGGCCTTTCTTGTACCTGAAGCAGAGAGTCAGTTTTCAAGTCAGATTTATGTCATTGTATGCCAAGCAGATCTTTCCAAGTTACCAATAACCTTACAACACAAAATCAGTAGCAAAGAAGTTCACAGCTGTGCTTTCAGTCCTCATGTTTAAAGTTATATCTAAATATTTGAATTCTTCAAATTACTGCAGAAGATTTTCTTACCTCTGGAAAACGTGGCTTTGAAAATGGTTTTGCATGGACAAGTCACTCAGTTATCTCATTGCAGTATTCAAGACTGTAGCACGAAGGTCTATACTCTTAATTTTGCTAGTAAAGTAGTCAATCCTTATTCAATTTGGAGAAAACAGGATCTTAAGATGCACAAGCAATACAGAAATTGCCAAACATCTGTGTTCAGCACAAAGAAGAGGCAAGGACCTGTTTCTCCACCACAGCCCACTCACACTTTTGTAGTTCATATCAGGCAGGATAGAACAGGTATCATGTTCTATAACTTCAGAGTCTGTCACGATGTATTGGTTTTGCCTACTAATATGCATTTTGGAAGTGAGAGAAAGTTCTGGCTCTTTTTAGCTGGTCGCATTTCAGCATAACCTAACCTGAACGCAGATGTGATTTCCAAAGGGTATATCTAATGAAATGTTGACACTGGTACCAAATACATGATTTCAGTGTTACCATACTGAATTTTTAAATTATAAACGTATCACTTCTCTATTTTAATAATTTTCTAATTTGCTTTCTGTGGAATGCTATTCTTTAAAAGATCAGATATCAACCATGAACACTCTTACAAGCTAAATTAATGCTTTCTTGTGGTAAAACGAAATTGAAGGTACATGGTTTTACCAGCACTACTCCTCAAAGTATATGGAATGATTGGATCTAGAGCAAAGTAACTTTATTGATACCAATAGAGGATATATCACCAAGATTGCAGAATACAGTATTTTTCTCAGTGCCATGGAAGAAAATTCAGCTTACAGATTGCCTTATTGAAATGCTTTGTCTTCCACGAAATAGATATGCTTTACATGTGTACTTTTAGAAACATTTTCAAGTTAAGATCATTAGGAAGCATATATTATTTTAACAGATTAAAAGAAAGGCATCTATGGTGAACGTCTAGTGTGAAGGAATAGCAAATGAGGGAAAACTTAATGAAAAATAGACCAAAAAACACAGGACTAATACTGAAATCTTGAAATCCTGTCCTCTTGTTCAACCAGTACCTAGTTTTGCATGGAACTTTTAAAATATCATACTGAAAGATATGATGAAGTATAAAGAAATTTGATTAGACAGAAGTTCAGAGATAGGACTGTGCAAGAATACAGATATATATATATATATATATATAAGGTACTCTTAGATTTTGTTTGTTTTTGATGTGTAAACTACCTCCAATTTTGAACAACTCGCTTACATATTTAGAAATATATTTGTCTCTATGTATATTTAGTGACTATATAACTGTGTCCATCTGTCTATACACTGTGGCAAGTACCTTGAAAAAGAAGCAGATTTAGAGTAAATCAGGAGTGAGCATTTAAGACAATACTGAACAAAGGGAATGTTGAAGTACAGAACATAAAAAATACTTGACAAATCCACTTAAAGAATGTTGAATATGCTTCCAGTTGTTCAGTGTTCTCGTTATACTTAAAATTATGTAAAACGATTATTTGAAGTAGGTTAATTGGTCAAATAATTCTGAAAGTGGGAACCATGCAGAAGTGGGGAGTGGAAAGAACAGAAGGTGTTTAGTCTAGTCTATAGATTAATAGAATATAGTTGTAAGTGATTCAAGGTACCTCACTAATAGGTATATTTACTTTTTCTCATTGTAAGCTACCCACCATGTCAATGTAGGCTCTGGGATTCCTGTTACTTCTACTTCCAGAGTTACCGGAGAACCTTCCACGACGCTTACATTAGACAGAAGCTGGGAGAAGTTAGGAGCCTGTCCAGTTAGGCAGGCCATGCTGTTCTTTTCTGATGTACTTTTAATCTCTTCTCGGATGACCATCTGCCTCTGACAGCTTCTGGTGGCGTCTGATTGAAAGACGAAACCTGAGAATGCATCAGGCAAAGCATGCAGCCTGTCCTGGGTTTTAGTACAGTTATTTGAGTCATGCAATTGTTCTTGTGTTTCTGCCATGCTTTTATGAATTTCAAGGTGCTGCAAAAGTGTTTTGCGCGCTTCACTCATCGTGCTATATGCTGGTTTGGCACTTATTGTGCAGGAAGCAGCACTAGCTTCACATACTGCTTGTAAACTACAAGGCAGAGGAGAATCTGCTCTGACTTTTGGACCAGAATCTGTTGAAGAGATACAAAACTTCTCAAGCTGAGCTGATGGCCTTTCCATTCTAGTATTTGTAGCATCAGCATAAGCAGAATTTGTTAAGAGATCAGATGATTCCATCAATCTTTTATCACTGGAGGTTTTCTGCATTTGCAAGCTATATGAACGGGCATGCAGATTATGAGAACTACAACAGCGTTGCTCTTCTAGCTCGGTTTCAGAATGTAAGAGATTGGACTCTGGTGTCTCAGAAAGTGGTGGCAAAGAGATATCATCAGGTGATATACACTCGTATTCATCTCCAGAGGGTATTTCTTCTGCCAGGAATTCAGTCTGTAAACTATCCTCTTTGGCTGAAGATGACAGCTCTGTATCCTGTGAAACAAGATCCTCACCAGCTGGGCAGATAATTGGAATATCAGCCAATTTATTCCTCTCCTTAAATTAGGAGGGGATAGAGAAGAATGGAAAGAAAGGAAAAACAGAGAGAGAGAGAGAGAGAGAGAGAGAGAGAGAGAGAGAGAGAGAGAGAGAGAGAGAGAGAGAGAGAGAGAGAGAGAGAGAGAGAGACCAGGTTATCATTTAAACCATCACCTTTTCATACAAAAGCTGGCAAAAAATATTTGAAATCTTTCTTCTGTTTAAGCTTAATTAATGTATCATAAGAAGAGGAAGAAATAGGTGGAAAAGGATAGTCATCACAAAAGCTTGCTGCAGCTAACTAGAATTTCAAACTGTTTGGACAAACTACCAGATATAATAAGTATTTGTTCTAATCATAACAGGAACAATAAGAAAAAGTACTTCATCTGTAAACAAGCGGCAACTTGTGGACTTGTAGGAGGTTTTCATAATAGCATTTGTGTTTGGTGGGTGGGTGTACATGCGAAAGGAGGTGGCATGACATTTATATGGGAAACAGTTACATAATAAAAGTAGATTAATAGCCAAGCTACTGGACTTCTGTTACTTGATGTTCACGTATTGAGGAGTTAGAGTTAAATCAATATCTTCAAGATTTTTTTCAAACACATTGTATTTTCTTTATTTTCTGCCAGTTGTTTCAAGATCTCATCCAAATATTAACAAAAAACAAAGTTAAGATTCTTTTTATTTCCTTCTACCAAGAATAAAAAAACCTCTCATTTAAAAAAAAGAATTAGATGCGGCATGAGAACAGCATTCACTGCACTTTTATCCAAAACGTTCAAAGCACTTCAAAGATGAAGTTTGTGTTAAAGGTTTTCCACAATTATCTGATAAGATCCAAACCTCAAATTGTCTTTCAATATGAACAGTGATATAAAAACAATCAAAATTGAATTTCCAAATTGGTGGAAAGCATAAATTTTTCACCTTTCAAATTGCACAGAAGAAAATAAAACCTTGATTTATACTTCCTAACTTGTCATGTATTCAAATGTTTTTACTGAGGTTCTGACTAATGGTCAGCTATTTCTAGAAAATATTTCTTTTCAGGGATTATTTTCAATATCCTCATACATTCTCCCAACTTCGCAAATTTGGCTGTCACCCAGCTCTTACAACCTTACCATCAGTGTTCTAAGTGACCATATCAATTTTATACACAACCAGATTAGCAATTCTTTCTTAAATTACATGTTAATAGACACCTAGGCAGAAAATCTAGGCTATTTGGTTTGAAATACATCAGCAAATTTAATAAACCAAATCTGATTAAATATTAAGATTAAATATTAAGAGGTCAAAAGTGACTTAAGAATATTAAACACTGAAGATTTATATTTAAAAAAAAAAACAAAAACAAGACACATAGGCCAAATTTTCCAAATAGTATAGCCTGTCTGAATGAAATTAATGGTCTATACACATTCTGTTCAAGAGCCCACACGTACGTGTGCACATTGGCATACATTTGGGACACATCTGTGAGAAAGCCACAACAATGTTGGAATCTTCCATTAACTAATCTAGGATCCTAGTGCAGGGCTGTGCTGCCAGTTTCATAGTTATCAAATCTCAGAAGTCACAGAAGTCACTCCAGGCATTGCTTTAAAATGACCCTAGAGAAACTGCTGATGTTCTGCTGAAAAAAAATTGTAGGTGAGCTGTGAGCAAACTCTAAGAAAGGCTTTAGCAGCATGAGGGCTTTTGCCCTCATCTGCCACTTGTAATCAAATCAGTAAAAAAAGCACCAAAAGCACCAGTTTTTAGAGAGTTATATTATTAAAGCATATTAATATTGCAAAAATTAGATTGCAGAAGCATAGACAAAATTATACATTCAATGTGAAATTGGAAATGGGCCAAGTCTTTCCCAGAAGGGATGGAAATTTAAGACAGAAAAGACCTAGTGAGAATGAATCTGCTTAAGCATGGAGTAATGAAAAGGGTGGAGATAGCATAATTGCCATATTTCACATCTCCAATCAGCAGCTGAGGCACAGTCTAACAAGGATTGATAGGGCTGTGACCTAGCAAAATAAAAAAAGTAAGGCTATGGTTTTCTGCCAGATTGTTTTTTTTTTTTTTTGAACAGACAAAATTCTGGGTGAAATCTGGACTCCAAGTCAACTGTGAAAGCCCTATCAACTTGTAACAGAGGTGACAAAGTAAATTAAGCTAAGTTTTGGTTCACCAGCAGAGAAGAGGATGTTTTGTATAGATCTAAAGGGAACAATAACATCAGTTGAATTTCTACAATTTAAAACAATTTAATGTAGCATTGGTTTACATTATCATCTTGCAAAACTTTAGATCTCCAAATCAACTCCTAAATTACCCTACCTTTGTAAAGACTTAAATATGCTATCATCCATTCCCATGTAACCTGAAAGTCTGATACATTTACAAACCAATACCCCAAGGTTTCAAAATGTTCATCAAGTTAGAAGAATTAATCTCTAAAAAAAAAAAAAAAAACCATCCTTTTTTTATTGCCTGCATTTCTAAGACTGCATTTGTTCATTGACAGTTTTAATACCTCTTGTATTTATATCAAAAATCAACTATGTCCTAGGATTTTTTATTACAATTCTAAATGTATACCTAGCCTTTAAATACTTTGCTTTTGTGCATTATCTCAACATGCTACTGATACCTATTTAATGTTGGTAAGAGACAGGATATTGTTTCTCTTCTCAGTATCATATTTTGAATTTATAAGCAATATCTGACCCCATTTGAAATAAAATAAAAAACATTTGAAAATATATGTTAAAGATAACGATTTCTCTTTCTGATGAAGATTTGTGACTTAGAAAGCATCAAAACTTTCACCTGTTCAAACTGTGTTCAAATTCTGAGTTACGTAGCTTTACTTATAGAACATTATGAATAATTTGAATATTTTCATTCTGTGCATCTAGAGGTCGAATGAATTTTAGAGTTCTAAAAAATACTAAAAGCAGTCTCCTTTATGACTTATCTTCCTTAATGCTGAATATGTTCTCCCTTGAGAAAGCAGAAATGGTCACATAGAAGATGGCTGTGTTAGGAATAATGTGTCAATAGTACTTAAGGGAAAAAAATGGTAAAAAAAAGTATGAAAATAAGAGTTTCAAAAAGGAAAACATTCTCCACACAGAACTATTTGAGGAGATATACAGACAAGTAAAAAGTATGAAAAAGAAAACTGCATAGGGAAAAAAGTGTGGGTTGCATGGAGTATCTAAAAAAAAAAAAAAAAAGACAAATGAAGGTACCAAGACTACACTGACACAATTTAACTTAAGGGATGCTCATGAGGGAAATTAATAAACTTTCCAACAATGTACAAAGCCTCCTAACAAATGAGGTTCTAGTCAAAACAAACCAACCTGATGCTTTTCTTCATCTGCTTTGTCTTCACATTCTTCTTGCCTATTTCCTTTTTTTTGAGCAGTAACCAGCTCTCCAGCAAAGTCATCTTTCTGCCACATGAAAAGAAGATTAAGTTGATACACAACAGAAGACAGTAATCAGTAGTTTCACACTGACTTGTACTCAGTGCAATGGTGTAGCACGTCATCAGTAAAAGTGTATGTTACTTATGACAAACATATTCAAAAGAACCTAATTCATTCATTCCTGAGTGAAAAAAGGCAACATATTTCAAAGCTAAGGGCTTTGTTTCAGAGGAAGGGCAAGTATAAGGCACCCTAAGGCTGCAGAAATCAAGTGCTTCACCAAGAATCTGAGGAATACTAATCAATTTGTACAGGGCATAAAGAATGAAAAATGAAGGATACACAGTATGACATTTTCCTTTCAATTGTTGCTGTTTAAAAAATGACAGGAAATTGAATTCCTATTCATGGCATTCCATACTCTTGGTGCCTATTTGTTTGGCTAATTTGCTACATTATTTCTGTCTCATAAGATTCATACATAACTACTGACTGCAAATGTACAATCAAAATATTAGTCTTAAAATCTTAGACTATGCATTTGTAATAAAAAGGAACATCTGTCATTTGAAGAAAATTGCAGAATTACTCTGTTGCAGAAAATTTCCTTGTCATAATACTCAGTTTGAGTATTAAGTCCTTTTTTTCTTTTAATAATATGTAAGATGAATGAAAGATTAATGAATAATGAATGATGAATGAATGACAAATGAATGATTAATGAATAAATACTTTGTGTGTGCGAGGGGGGAGAAGAATTTTCTCCCAATAACTATCTTTAATAGATAACTTCGTAATTAGCAAAATTAGTCAAAGTATTATTTTGAACTAGCAAAAAAAGATTAAAAGATGAAGCCCTGTAATGGCAGAATCTGGAGCTATTGATGTACACCTTACTATTTAGATACATGTGAACTGAGAGAAGAATCTTGAAAAAATAGTTACACACTGAAATTTCTTCACACTAGCAGTGAAAAGCAAAGCTTTCTTTTTATTTACTTAAAGACTTTTGGAACTCACTTGTGTCTAGAGGCAATAAGAGATGCCAAGATACATTAATGAATAATCTGAGTGTTAAGCATTTTCTATACTACAGGAAATAATGGAAAAATTGCAACAGCACAAAGTGAAACAGCATTCAACACCAACAGGATACTTGAGCATCTTATGTATTCCAGCTTCACAGAATTATTCCATCAGGTATCACTGCGCATGGTTTGATGCATTACTTTGAGAGTGAGGCAGGATGGAGTAAACTGTGTCCATATTTCAGAAATTTATCCCTCCATCACCTACTTCCTGTAACTAATCAGCTGTGCTCAAAGAAGCTTACAGGAATACAAAACTAAGATATTTGCCGTCATCCTTAACATTTATAAGCCAGGCTTTTCTAACTAAAATGACTTTGGTTTTAACACAATTTGTGTTTTGGTGTGATTTTTCCTGTTATGAAATAAGTTAGGTTGTTTGGCAGTCTTTAAATTTGGCACTTATCTGTATTTCAGAGCTGAGAAAAGCATGACATTCTTCCCTAAAAGTTACTTGAAAGCTATAACAAAAAGAAGTCCGAAAGAAAGACAAACAAATAAAATCAACAACAAAAACAGGGTGAATAACTAGTGCACAAAGAAGTGGCATTTCACTGTTTTGTTATGACTGCTGTTCTTGGACAAACAAACCAAGGAATATTTCAATACAGAAGATCATCAGTGGCATAATAAGTACTGTATCAGTAGTTCAGACACTAAACCTGATATATTCATGCAGATACTACATATTCCCAAGGCAAAAGAATAATACCTGAATCTCCCTAAATTCTCTCAGCGATCTACACAACTCATCAACAGAATTAAGGATTTCTTTGTACTTCGATACAGTTTTTTCAACATACTTATTTCCTTCTTCAAAACCTGAAATGGGAAAACAAAGCTTCTTTCAATGAAAAGAAAACAGAGAAAAATACAAGCCTCGCCCCCCTCCCCCCCCAAAAAAATAACAAGCCATAATACCTTAGAGAAACGTATAACAATGAATGTACTTCATAATCTTCATATAGTAAGTATATTTTAAATCTGTTTTATTTTGCTGAAGGAGCTCTGTAGTATAGAGAAATGCAGTTTCCTACCTATTACTAGTTTTCTTGACATCCTGCCTCATAGTATCTGCAAGTCTTCTACTGGGTTTCTCCTTAATGAAAATTACTACTATGTGGTCAGTGACACCGCTTGAAAACGTGCTGGCCTCAAACTGTTTCCTGAACTACCAGACTGATTATATAGCTAGAAGACATTTGAATCCCTATTATAAGATATAAAAAAAACCAAAAGTGGAATGGAAAAGTTTTTTTCCCAAACTAAGTAAAAAAAAAAAAAAAGCACAAAGCAGCTTCTTTCCCCCAACATTCCTAATAAGATAGTGAGATCATTTTAAGAATCCATTCTGCCAACATATTCTCCAGAGATAAGAATGTTTAAAGGGTTAAAAATTAAGACAAAAAAGATCGGTTTGCTAATTAGTCTTCCCAACACCAAGTCAGAGAAATTTGAAAGCACAGTTTGTTGAAATTTTATCAGATTTGTTATTTGACTTTATAAGCTGCACATTATCCTTCCACATTTGGATAGACACTTTATCTTTGAATAAAGTAACTTCAACAGGTACAGAAGCTGTGAGCTGGAGAAAAAAGAAAAACATTAAGTCGGCTGACCTGCGTTCTTTTCAGTCAACAAATTAATGTTCTCAATTGATACAACTGCATATACAATTTTTACATAGTGCACTTTTTTTGGAAATACATAAAAATTAGCAATCAAATACCACTAGCTAGTCACAACACTAAAAATTCATCCATCATTAATGCATAACTCTTTAACATACTGTGATTCTGTGATACCTTGACTTCAAAGATTTAGTCTGCTACAAGTAATCATGAGCCATGAAGTCTTAATTCCAAACTCATAAATATTATTCATGTTCAGATTACAGGGTGAGCACAGTCTGCATACTGCATAGGGAAAACCAGGTAATACCAGGCTGCTGAGTACTTTTGTATTTTTATTTTTTTATTACTTTCCCTGAAATCCTTCACATTTTCAAGTCTATACTCTATAAATTTTGTTGTTTTTAACTTTGTGAAAAGTTTTATTCTTAAGTCAACAAATCTAGAAATCTGCTTCCTTCTGTCCTAAACTGTATGTGATGTTCCTGAGTTTTTTTTTTCCCCCAATGTTACTAGATAGATCCTTACCATATAACTGTTCAGCCAGATCTATAATCTGCTGAAACTTCTCTTCTTGTTGAGGCACTGTAGACTCAATAAACTTATTGAATTGCTTGTAGAGGGTCTCCACTGCTTCTCTGGTTTTGCATTCAGCGGAATACTTGCCAACTCTAATGACTGTTGCACTAACATCTTCAAAGCAAAATTGACACTGAAGTAGATTGAAAAGGATAAACACTATCAGAATGAACAAATATCAGCACTTCAAGCTTTTATAAAATAGATTAAGCTATTCTTATAATTTCAGTAACCAGTGGCATAGATTTTGCTTTAAATATTGTGAACAGAGCTTAACTTCAAAAACATTTTTCATTATGAATGTTGTTGCAAATATTAAAAGCTGTTCCATTTTCTTTAAACACTAGATTCATAAGTTAAAGTTTCTGCAAACATGTTTTAACTCCAAGTTATTTCTATTTTATATATTAGCTGTCTAACTTTGCAGACTTTGTATCATGGCCTAAAGCAAGGTTGCTTAGATTTAGTTCACTGGCAAAACAGTCATTAAAGATTATGAGAATCTTTTGACAAATGAGAATGGGCTTTAGAATGTACCCTTAATAAATATTTTTGGTTAATAATACTGAAGAAATCATTTAATCTCTTACTTACTCAACATCTCTATTACATCATCACAGGAAGTAGCTAATAATTGACTTAATTTTAATTGACATTAAAGTCAGCATTTAAGATTATCCCAACACTCTGAAATTTTTGATTAAGTTCTACTTCACACTGAGTAAGAAGACATCTTAAAGACTATCTCTGGAAAATAATCTCTTTTTCCCAAAGTATAAAGCTGGATGTGGGTGTTAATATAAATCCACAACATAAATTGGATTGCTAACTTACATGAAATGACACATTTATCTGATCAGTAAACAATGAAAACACATTTTAAAACAAACTTTACTATTACTATCCATTACTATCATTAAGGGAATTTATTCATCATGCATTTAGATGAACTTGGAGATCAGTATTATTTCTAAAGATAAACAGTGATGACAGGAATGTGCTTGACACACAGATGCACCAACACAGTACAGCAAGAAGGAAAGTATTGCTACAAGCTATTGCTAAAAACTACATGGCAATTCAAAAAATAAAAGGTAGTCTTCACGTGTATTAGAACCAAGTTAGAGAATTCTGCAAAGCAGACTGCTCTCTGGGAAAAAAAATACTTAATTTACCAATTAAGTATATTAAAGATGTACGGATATAATAACATATATAGAATGTATATTATTATATATAATATGCATAAAATATTTTGCTGCTAAGGTATCAAACATTTTACATTTCAATTCCAGAACTGCACACTTTATAGTCAACTCTTTCCAACAGCTAACAAATTGATTATCATGATGACTTCGCTCTTGTGATTTGACAGCTGTTAAAGAATGCCTTGTGGCTCTGTGTTGCCCCAGAATACCTAGAGAAAATGAGCCCAAAAATAAAGTACAATTACAGATGTACTGAATCACCATGAAAGTCATAAGGCAGTGGAGGACTCAATCTTAAGAATAGCAGCATAAGGCAGTGGAGGACTCAATCTTAAGAATAGCAGCACAAGAATAAAGTCAAATTCCATGTTCAGCCAACCCCCCCCCCCCCCCCCCCCCCTCTACAAGGTTACAGAAAAAAAGCAAAAGCAAATCCATATTTCCATCAATCTGCTATATTTGGAAGTCGTATATTTTATTTCTTGTTAGAAACACTCATTATCTATACTCCAATCCTGACCACAATTACAGCCATAGGCTTACTAGTACCTCTTCCATCATGAGTTGCAGACGCTCCGTGAGGCCCAGATTTTGCTTATAATCCTCCACAACTCTGCCAAAATCATTTAGCTGTTTTTGTAACTCACTGATTGACACCAACATGACTCTAACATTGTGTTCATTTGTTGCAGCGTCTACTAATTTCTTCTCTAGATTATCTATCTTCTTTTTAAGAATCTGTTTAAAAGATGTACCAATACCACAAGTAAGTATTTCCAGTTCTGAAACAGTAAGTTAAAAATATGTAAAATGCACAAATCTACTTTCACTTCTGGGTTTTAAAATAAGTAGTACTTAAGATGCTTACTTAAGTAGTACTAAGATGCATTTCCAAATGCAAGACAAGCTGAAGGGCCTCTATACTACTGACTGAAATAAACATATTGCTAAATATTGAATTAAATTTTCAACATATAAACAAAGATCCATATGATTTAAACATTGGATCTTGAATAATGTTCACAAAATCTGCATATGAAAAACAAATATTACTAAGCCTTTAGTCTCTTAATTTGGTAGAATACAAGTCAATTTAAACATAGTCATTTATGCCCTACAATATGTAATATTGCATAAGAATCTGATATAAACAACATTGGTGATACTCTAACATAACCCCAAAGACCCAAAGGAAAATATGTTCATACCAGTACTTAGTGATATCTGGCATAAACGTAATGAGTAGGTTCTAGGATCACATGGTTTATGTCTACACATACACATTTATATATTTTACATCCTAGTTTTTCCAGTTGATCAAGACCTCACTGGGACGACAGTTATAAAAGTGATGTAAAAAAGACAGGTGCTTGATTTTATCTTGGAATATGAGAGACTGGTTTGAAATAAAAAGTATTTAATGAACAGTCCACATACATACATACCATTTCCCTAAATAGCTACATGAACACTCCACAGTTTCATGAAAGGATGTTGTAGCAAGGTGTTTGTCAGTCTCTTTTGTCAGGTGAAAAGTAATAGAATGTAAGGAAACAGCCTGAAGTTGTAGCAGAGGCGGTTTAGATTAGATGTCATGAAGAGTTTCTTCACAGAAAGAGTGGCTAGGCACCAGAAAAAGTTGCCTGACCAGTAGAGAAGTATCAGAATTGCCAACTTGGGAGATACTTGAGAGACATGTGAGTTTGATGCTTCAGGGACATGGCTAAGTAGTAGACATGTAGTGCTATGCAATGACTGGACTTGCTGATCTTATGGGTCTTTTCCTTCCTAAATGATTCTGTGATTCTCAAAATATGCACTGGTATGATGAGTGTTGTCAGCTGATCATGGGAGATAATTATTGTTCTCTACTCAGAACTGGTGAGGCTGCATAGAGTGCTGTGTCCAGTTCTCGCTCTCCAGTACAAGAAAGACCTGAACATATTGAAGCACATTCAGCAACAGGCTAGAAAGATGATTGAGGGACTGAGTATGCAATATCCAGTATTCAGCTGGTCTTTGTATAGTTGAATGTCCAGCTGAGTAGTGGACGTTACACAGAGAAACCTGTTATTGTAGATCCTTCTCTAAGCAAGAAGACTGGACTAGATAGCCTGCAGAGAGTCTCTTCCAACCTCACTGATTAAGTGATCTGAATAATCAAGGAGAAAAGTTGTAGAAAGAATAAGACAAGAAATAGTGAGAGCAGAATCACAGAAGCTACTGAAAATTTTGAGAAAAACTGTGAAAAGAAAACTTGCAGGGCAAGTGAACTGAAAAGCATTTTCTCTGGCTAAAAAAAGGGCAATTTGGTTTCTAAAAAGATCACTGGAAGATTTGGAAGAAGAATTTCTGGTGACTGCAAAGAATAGGTGGGGCCAGAAGAGTTTAAGGTTCCAATAAGCAACTCTAAGCAATGGGAACAGAAAAAGGCTCTGAAGGCCAGAATATTGAAATGAGAAAGGAAAGCAGCTGGATGTAAAGGGAAATACACATATTGATTGTTTGTGAATTTGATGGGATATTGGTTTTAGTTAATTATTTATTTGTATTAAGGAGAGGGAAGAGGAAATAATAAATGGTTAAATAATGAAACGAAGGATAAAGAGTGAACAATGGGAAGTCTAGAATTGGGGTGATAATGAAGGGAGCAGAACAATTAAAAATATCTGTGATTGAGACAAGGAAATGATATCAAGGGGAGCATAAAAGATTTTGCATTCCCTCTGATTCCTTGGCATAGGCTACAGCAATTCAAACAATCAAATATTATAATACTAAAGTTTCTAATATTACCTGTATTTTCTCAGCATATGTATCAACTTGCTGAATCTGTATTTTAAGTGCTTTTAAATTTCGAGCTTTTTCAGTTTTCTTAATATAGTTAAACTTCATATTGTTGAATTTCTTTTTGAGGTCCTTAAATGATTCTCTAAGCTGAAAAAGAGCAATCATATTTGTCAATAAAAGAAAAAATGCTTTTCTGCTTAACTTGTTTTATTCCCCCCCACAGGCTATCCACAGTTTGAACAATGAATATTTAATACAGAAATTATTAACACTGTGTCATCTCATAAGACATCTTTATATCCTCAGAATTTTTTTTCAAGTGGGGAAAACACAATCTTTTTATGTCAGAATTTATTCATTCTGGGTATTGAGTATTGTTTCCAGAATGGCTGAGGCAAAAAGCTTAAGACTGAGATTTGTGCTCAGACAACCTAGTCCTGGAGCATTCGCTTCAACTACAATGAGATTACTTTCAGGTTCTGTAGTCCCTTTGGTAGCCAGTTTAGCCACATCTAGTTTCCAGAAGAAAAAAAAAATATATATATATAGGTATTCACTTAAATTGCCTTTATCCTACAATATTTCAATTTTTTTTTTCAAATAGAAAAGAATTTTTATAATAGAAAACATTGTTATACTGGAAATTGATTAACAGAGAAAAAAGTTGATAGGTTTACTGACCATTCAGTGATTCTATAATCCTTGCACTACAGCAGAAAATAGTATTGGAAAATAAAATGGATGGAAACAATATTTAGTATTAGCAGAAGCTCTGCTTCTCAGGGGATTAAACAGGTGTTCAGTTCTATATATTGTGGTAGTCTAAACATCCCAGTCTGATTACTCACAGCATATGAATTCAGTTCTTTGCGAGGTCAGGATGTAGACTATATATGAGCACCTGAATTTCAGTAACTATTCCATTTCCTCTTTCTTTTTTTCCTCTCTAACTCCAATTATTTATTTGCTTCAATATCATTTTACAGGTGTGTCCTTAATAAACCGTATTTCATTCTTTGCAGTAGTGGCATTCTATAAAGAGGCATATCAAAAGTATCATAAAGTATCTTCAAAGTACTGTGAATTTAAGTGTAAAATGGTATGTTTTCCCTCAAAGTTACACAATTTTTTTTTCATTTACAACTGCAAAATATATTGCAGTTAGTTTTGAATGCCTTTAAACAGTAGGAAGAGCCAGGCAAGTGGAAAAAAAAATCTGCTACAGTAAGCTGCTAATACCTCAGAAGAGGTGTTTTAACTTTTGAATTCCAAAATAAATAGAAATCCTTCAAAAGTGTTCACAAAAATTGAAAAGGAAGAAAAAACTTGAAAGCTTTTTGTGAATTTCACACCTTTTGGAAGCTGACAATCTCTTGTGTTTAGAACATAGAAGAAATTCTAAAAAATTACACTTATGTAAAGGAAATGATATCAAAGAAATATGTCCATTGTAACAACTCAGGTTCTGCCAGCTGCACATACATGAAAAATAATTACACTTGATAAATTTAACAGCTTCAGGTGAACACCCACAATTTAATAATTAAAATATTTGAAACTTTTTTGTTTAAATTAGAGCCATACTGTCTCCCTGAGTACTACCCCTAAGAACCCAAGGAGTACTGAATGCTCATTCTGCTGCTACTGACACTGGAAAAGCTAGCAATTTACCTTTATTTTTACGCATTAATGTTAATCCACCAAGAAATATCTTTTTCATTTTCATTTAATCTAGGGGGACTCTATTACATTACCTCAGCACTGAACAGTCTGATGGTATTCATTCAATATAAATAAAAGTGAAAGCAGTTCTATCACTTACAGTGTGAACTCCAATCAGTTTAAGCTCTTTATCCCACCTAAGGATACTGAATAATAAAATTTATCTGTCAGCACAGTTAATAAAACCACCTCTGTAGAATAATATTTTGTATTCAAAACAAAGCCTTATTTGCTAATTTTGAGGAAAACAAGAGATGAGTAAGAGTTCTCTTCAGTTTATTTCGGTGGCTTATTGCAGATACATCAGCTAGTGATCTGTTACTAAGGACAGAGGCTCTCCTCAAAGCATGCGAAATAAGATCGCCTTGTTTCAGATATGATGGCTCATGTGTCAAAGGTCTGCAGCTGCTGCCACTCTTCTCTTTTAGCCTCAGTGGAAAACCAGATTCAGCTCAGACTTGCATGTTATCCTCGGAGCACATGTACACAGCTTTTGCTCATATCAGCAACTTTACCAGGGTACAATGTATGGCTCAATCGTTAGAAAACTGAAATTGAAACATATCTCCATTTTCTAGTATTTCCTGTAAAATACAATGAGAATTAAGGTATCTATGCACACTAATACGCTCTAATGACTTCAGCCAAGTTTAATGGAACTTTGACTTCTCCATTGTGTCATAGTCATTTATCAGGCAGCTGTTCCTAACTATAGTTGGGCTGTCATGAACAGAGAATGATGGTGGAGAGGGTTTTAGATGTCAGTCACTAAGATTTATCACATAACTATGATACACATGAAAAAAGGAGTTTATAAACAACTGCTTTAAACACATTTTTGTTAACAGTACAATTCCACTATAGTGCTTTGATTTCTAGTCTCCCTAGGAGGCACTTCAACATTATTATCCACTTAACAGAATTAACTGCAAGTAAGAATTACATTACGAAATAACAGTTCCTACTGATTTGTAAACTAAGGTAGCTCGTCACCATTAAAGTGCTGTAAATTCACATTTTTCATAAGGAATCGGAAAGAAAAGAATTGATCTGATTGGGAGAGCAGAGAACCTACTTTAGGATCTGTTATTCTTTCACTGCAGTTTTTGTGAAAGAACACAAATGTTACTGATAAAAGTAAAAAGTCTTCTGCAGTGCAAGGGTTATCATGTGTACGTAACCCTGCTACTTTTAACCTCACGTATAGTTTCAGCATAAGCATCAGCATAAGCATTAAAGCTAAATGAGGTTTGATTTAGCTCTGTCACAAATGATTGCAGTGTAATGCAGTGGTGTTTTGGCTCTCCGTAAGTATAGTAGATAGGGAAGAAATTATCAGAAGTCTGCCAGATGTTAGCAATATTTAGATTAATCTCCAATGTTAAAATTAACAGACTATGAAATAGTAAGTGAATGCTCATAACTTGAGGATTACGGAACTAGTTCTTAATTCTTCATTTAAAAAATGAACAAAAATAAAGATGAATTAATGCATATACACCTACATTATCCTAGTTTTGCTGAGGAAATTTCTTTTATATTAACTTCTAATAGAAATGGGATATAGTTTAAAAAGTATTCTCCCTGAATACGGCCAGCCTTGCAGGCAAGATATTGAGCAAATACTTCCCTTTTCTTCAGCAATCTTGGGGAGTTTTCATCAAGAAAACAAGAATATTTTAATTCAAACTTCAAACATTCTGAACATAAAATGCTAATGTTATCAGTGCTTCATTTAAGCAGCTCAGTCTGGGAAAATTCATTCTGGGGAATGCGCCCCAAATTTTTGCTGAGATATGGCTTTACATTTTATCTGCTAAATAGCGAGTGAACTTATAATTGGCATGCTATGATGCTACATTAATAGTCACATTAACTTTTCCTAACCTAAATCCTGTAATACTACATTCCACTATCTTCTGTCAAGGAACACTTTTTCCTTTAACAATTTTTCTAAGTATTAGACCTCAGGTTACTGACAAAATATCAGGAACTGAAGTATTCTGAATTTCTCCTCAAAAGACTGAAAGCTATTACTGACACAAGAAACAGCCTTATAATCACAATTTCCGTAAATTCTACTTTTGTTTCAAACTTCAGCTTCATTTAAAAAAAAAAAAAAAAGACATCTGGAGACCCACACATTTCAGGTAAAACTGACAAAGATGCAAATCAAAGAAAATGTAGCTGCTCTATTTCCAGTGCTCTCAGTACAGTAAAAGAACTTCATTGTCAGCCCAAAACCTTTTTATAATCCTCAACTGCAGAGTTACAGACCATAGGCTATCATTGCTACTATCAAAGGTTGCTTACAAGATGAAAATTAACTTTTCTCTACGTACACAATGGATCTAGGAGAAAGGCAAACAGCAATATGTATTGCTGAACACAACAGCCCTTTTAACAGGTATTTTTTTTTCATTTACCTCATTTATCTCCTCTTGACTGATATAGTATTGGAAGTGCTGTGATAGTTCTTCCTCGTACTTATCTGCTTTGGAGCTCCAGCTAATGCTGTCACACTCAAGTCGAGCAAGTTCTTGTTTCAGATTCTTCGCAGAAACATTCAAGCAATTCTAAACAGGGAATATACAAAAAGAAGTATGAAAATCAGGACAATACTGATTCCATCAGTCTAAAATGCAAATTGCAAAACCAACTGATTGTTAGAGTAAGCAATGAAGAATATATGTCATAATTCCTGGATGCTTTGTTTCATTTGATGGCTGTGTATCTGCAAATTCTAAAAGCAGAAATAAAAAAAAGCTTAACTATTATAGAATCTTTGTTTTTCTTCCCTTTAAAAGGATTCTTAAAGTTATGTATTTATTTCATTCACTGCATTAATACATATTTTGTACATCTAGATGTCAAAGTTAGCTCTATAGTCTTCTTACATATTTAACATTGGTTTCATAGGTCATTATAATTCTACTCACAGGCTTCTGCACTGCAGACAAGATATCCACTCCCTGGTCAATAGCCAGCTTATAAAGCTGTCTGATATGCATATGTTTCTTTTGAGCATTCAAAAGGTAAGCTTTGGCATGGTGCACATCTTCAGGGACCACAGCAATTTCCGGAAAATCCAGTTCTCCTGATTTTGATAGACATTCCAGCTGGAATATATTAAACTAAAAATCAGTGTGTATTTTAAATGTGAACGGAAGCTTACCATTACATCCTTACCCATAATGTGCAATTAAATTTGGGTTTCAATCTTAATTTTAAACACTCAAAGTTTCACACAGTTTCAGATCTTAAGTTTTATTCTGATCACCAGATATGTTAATGCTGTTCATTTGAAGAAAAAAGGAAAGATTACAAGCAGCAAAATTAAAAAAAAGATTAGCAGCAAAAGGAAAACATGCATTAAAGGATTTCACTCACTTCTTTCTTAACATGATGGAATTTAAGCGTCTTGTTGAAAATCTCATCATACTCTGTCATTGTGCTCTTCACCATTTGATGAAGGTGAATAAGCTCACTTATTCTTTCAGAATTCTCCTTCACAGGAAATCCTTTCTGACTTGGCAACTCTAGTAATTTCATCAGGTACTCCAGCTCAGCATTCATTTGCTAACAAAAAAGAAGTAGAAAGTACACAAATATATTTGCAAGATTTCCCTTACATTTGAAATATAACAACCTCTGAATGGTAAATTATCGTAGGGAAAACTGCATTAAAAAAAAAATCAAGTTCCCTACATTTGTTAGCTGGACCAACTGACTGCTATGTTGTCACATGCAGGACAAAATGTTTTGCAATATGTAAGACTACAGTAGTTCTAAGTCTCATACGAAAAAGCTGATATACTTTATTTTTTTCAGCAGAATCCAGCAGAAAGAGAGCTCAACTCTCACAAATGAGAGAGGAACTGTCAAGCCAGCAAAAAGAGCTTCTAAGCCAGTTGAACCTCTGTTTCTGCAGCTGTAGACCAAAGAGCACGCCTACAGAGCTGTACTGCATGCAGACATCATCTCTCTCTACAAAACAGCACAGCTTACTAGTTGACTTGCAGGACTGTGAAACATGCATCACATGATGATGATGAATTTAGCATTTTTATTAAATTTTTAGTAAATGAGCATCTTCAGTTACATTATTGTCAAGGAACCTAAATAAATGCTCTGTGTTCCACAACACAAAAATCTCCCTCCTCCCTCCCCCCCCCCCCCCCCCCTCCCCAGCTGAAAGAATTTTCAAAGATGCAAAGTAATATCAGACAACAAAATGGCAAGACAAAAACCTTTGAAAATGCTTCCAAGAACTTCATGTGCCCTGGAATACTCAGTGGCCATCAACATTTGTAATTTTACAGAAAACTTTTTTTCTATGTTTCCATTGCCCAGTGAAAGACTGAAACATGAAAAATGCCAGAGCAGAAGAAACAGCAATACTTCTTATACCTGAAGTCATGTAAAATTTTCGTCCTTTGTGGGGTCAGGAGTTGGGCTCAGTAATCCTTGTTGGTCACTTCCAATTCAGGATATACTATGATTCTATGGAATGCCTCTTTAAAACATTTAAAACAGTCCTCTCCCTCACCCTGCTGGCCGCCCCTCTTTTGATGCAGCCCAGGATACTGTTGGCCTTTTGAGCTGCAAGCATGCACTACTGGATCATGTCCAACTTTTTCGTCCATTAGAATCCTCAAGTCCTTTGCAGGGCTGCTCTCAGTGAATTCTTCTCAATCTGCACACGTATTTGGGATTGCCCCAACCTAAGTGCTATACCTTGCACCTCATTAGGTTTTTGTATGTCTGCCTTTCAAGTTTGTCCAGTTCCCTCTCTATACCATCAATTCATTCTATCACATCATCTGCATCACTCAAGCTTAGTGTCATCAGCAAACTCATTGAGGGTGTGCTCAATCTCACTTTCTAGGTTATTGATAAAGATGTTGAAGAGCACTGGTCCCAAGACAGATCCCTGAAGGACACCACTTGTCACCAGCCTCCACTTGATGTTCAGATCTTGTTCAGACCACAACCCTGTGGCTGCAATCATCAAAACAATTTTTTATTCACCAAATAGTCCAGCTTTCAAAATCGTATCTTTCCAATTTAGAGACAAGGAGTATTGTAGTATGAGACCATGTCAAAGGCCTTGCACAAATCCAGGTTGACAACAACAACATAATGCTGATATATCATTGGTATGATGATTCAAACATAGCTAACATTATACAAAGCATTCTGGGGACAGTGAAGGTAAGATATTTTCTCCCTGACCTTGTCAACACACAAAATCTCTCTTCCAGAAAGTTAATATAAAAGGTAATTAGTGTGGCTCCAAATTCTGTCTGAAAGCAAGGTTAGTACATGATCATTCCCTGCACTAGTAAGACCATTTGAACTACTATGCACTTCAGGAGCTCAGTTTCTCACCTGAAACTGTGGCTTCATTTGGTTAAGTTTTTGTTGTTCTAAGGCCAGACAAACATAACTTCCAAGATCAACTGTTGATGTAAGTGTGAGTGCCTCTTGAAGAAACCGTAGACCATGCGTAGTCTAAAAGAAAAATATTTTAGCGATATTTTAGCAATATCTCAGTATTTCTGTACAAAATAAAAAAGTTAGCCCAAATCTAAATTTGAAAGAACCATCCTCAACGCAGACATGCAAATGTTATCAGTAAATTTCATTAGAATAGATTATTAGTAGGAAAACCACTAGTTTTCACTAGTAGAAACTGAAATTATGAAGCCCTGTGACTAGAAGCTCTCGAAATCTTTGTCCTTATGAACATTTGAGCTTAGTAGCTATAAAGAAACTAGTTTAGTAATTTAAGTTACAATAAGATGATGCTAAAAAAAAAAAAAAAAACACAATTAAAATGACAACTCATAGGGTTTGAAAAGGGACAAAGATCAAAATCATCATCATTCTCGATGACCACCTGGGTAGTAAAACAGATTATGGAGAATTATCTTACTATTTCTCTTCCTAAAATAATACCTCTAATAGTTGGCAGTCACAAACTATTAACAATCTAGAAATAATTGTCACAATTGCTTTCTTTGTATTTTATTTACCTTATTTAGTTGCTCTTCCAATATCCAGCACTGTTGCCTGACAGGTTTTCCTTGATGAATTTTAAAATTCCAGATTGCCCAAAGATCAGTCAGTTCTTTCATTTCTTTACTCAAATTGATAATGGTTTCTTCTATAACTTGTACAGATTTTTCTACTTTTACTATTAAGCCGTCACTTATCTGGTAAATAAATAAGAACACACGTTTTCCACCATTTGTATTCAAAATATACAATACAACCTCATAATATTAAAATATTAACAACATTTAATAAAAAGCAAATATTTTAGGATAACTCCTTTGAAAATTTTTGGTACTCTACATGCATTTAAACACACTACTCTCTTAGTATTAGACATAGCTGAATAGATTTCATATACTGAGGCTATAACTACTATTACTTTTTTAAATCTAGAACAAGTCAGTAATGATCTAATTATTGCCATCTGATAACAGTTCAAATGCTCATACAAAATTTGGAATTATTTTTGAACTGACAGAACTACCCAGAAACAGCCTTCTGGGGAATAGCAGCTGGATGATGAAAGGAACAAAGGACAGACCACCCTGTGCTGACAACTATAGCAGCACCAAAGCATGGGAGACTGTTCAGCATTTGAATATTGGCAGGTTTTCCTCTTTTTAACAGAGCTCAAAGACTGTAGCAAACCTGATAATGCTGTTGCTGCTTTTCTCATTTAAAGACCTTCTCTTTCAAGAAAAATTGAGTTTGTAAATTACTAGTTTGGTCTGTATCACTTTCAGGCCTTTAGAGAGAACATCTGAAGATACACGTATACTTTAAGTAATTTCATAGAATAAAATCACAGAATCATTAAGGTTGGAAAAGACCTCTATAATAATATAGTCCAACCATCAATCCATCATTACCATGCCTCTCAGTGTTACATCTACCCTTTTCTTGAACACTTCCAGGAACAGTGACTCCACCACCTTCCTGGGCAGCCTGTTCCAACACTTCATCACTCTTCCTGAAAAGAAATTCTTCCTAATACCCAACCTGAACCTCCATTGATGCAACTTGAGGCCATTCCATCTAGTCCCATTGCTAGTTATGCAGAAGAGGTCAACCCTCACCTTACCACAATTTCCTTTCAGGCAATTGTAGAAAGCAATAACATCTCTCCTGAGCCTCCTCATCTCCAGATTAAACAATCCCAGTTCCCTCAGCTGCTCTTCATGCAACTTCATTTTTAGCCATATTAAGCTTACTGTTGCTCTGAATAGTTTATCCTTGCCTGGCTGTATTCAGATCTGACAGCACACACTTCAGCCCTCACTAGCTGCCTCAGTACCTTCCTTAAGCAATTTTTTTCCGCACCATTTTCCCTTTCTCATCCTCTCAGCTCATCGTGACTGGTCCCTTACCTCTCTCATAAAAGCAGAATTAACAGCTGCATATCCATGCTGTCTACATTAATTGAGACCACAGTTTACAAGGCATGGCATAGATAGTGAATCTCAAGCAATCATCTCATGAAGAGGTGCTAGAAAATTAGATTGAAATGCCTAGGCAATGCAGCTTATTTCAATTAAAAAAAAATGTAAATAAATCAGGAATGATTATCTATGTATAAAGAAGCAGCTCCAGTATCCATTTTCTTAGAACCGCATACACTTACATTGCGGAAGACTGACTCTTAGTGGAAGTAAAAAAGCCAAATATCACACTTACATCTCTTCTGCTTTCCAACATGAACAAAATTTATACATCCACATATTATGTTTAGTACGGGTTCTGGCTCACTGGTTAATAGTCACCTCATTACCAAAGACAAAAATTTTTATACTTATTATAATACCATTATCACTCATATAAGACTTCAATATCTTACAAATGTATACCTGCCTTTGTACCTTTAAAATCAGGTAATGGTGAAGTCACAATCCATCAGTCACAGAACTGGGATTAAGCCCTAACAGAGGCGAACATCAAATATTCAGTGCAATTTAGCAAATTATACTAATTTATATAGAAAACAAGTGGCTAATTCCCTCCTGCTGGGGAAAAAAGGATACAGAAGTAATTATTGATGAAATCTTCCAGAATTCTTATGATTTCTGCTCAGTTTATACAAGTTTTCCTACACATCAGCTGGGATAGGATACACGTAAACCTTGATTTGCTGCAGATTTTTTCATAGATGTATCTGTGTCCATAAGGATTTTGTTCTATGCAACTAATATCATCAACAAGCACATCACCAGTATATACCATGCATGGTATGATTTCAGTAAAATTTCAGCTTTTCAGAAGCAAAAGAAACAGTGCCACTAGCTATATATTCTATGCTGTCCTATGCAACATATTCTCTGCAGAACAAGAAATTTTTCACTTCAAACTTTGGGAGATTAGTTCTACCTCCAGAATTATTCCATCTATTTCATACATTGTTGTGTATTAAAGTGTTTGATCACCTTACAAGCATTTCAAGTTTTAACTTTCCCTCACTTTCATTTTGTAAACATTAACACTTCCAAATCAGTTTTTTTTTTTACATCATTTTCTGAAAATACAGATAACTACATTTCTCAGAATGAGCATTTATTTATTTTATGAATTGGGAATGAGGAATTTTTTTAAAATTATTTTTTCCTAGATTTAACTGTAATTTCATAGAAGCATCTCAATCATTTGATTTTCTTCCTAACTTCTCCTCTTCCTTATACATGCACTGAAACAGAACAAATGCACTTTTGCTTTAGGCATGCTCTTTTATGAAGGTTAGAAGAATCTATACATCTGTCATATTCACAGAATCCTATAATTTGAATTTATTCCGTGAGAAAGGTGGTAACTCCATGACATAAAAATCTCACCGTATTTACTAAATTAAGAAAAACGCGACCCAGATTTTCAGTGGAAAAAAACTTCTCTATAGATTCTTGCCACTTTCCATTAACTGACTCCATTGCATTTTTATTTTCAGCCTTCCTGCTTGTTTGCAGAGGCTCTGCTTGATAGAATTCCTTCAGATTTTGAATGTAGTCATTCACCTGTGAGAGATGGAAAATAAACATTTCTTTTTAAATCACAAATTCAGTTGCTATAGTCAGAAGGTATATAGACAATGAGGTTGAAGATAAAAGTCAGGCTATATTGAGCTGTTCACAGATTTTAAAATCTTTCTCCCCAAGACCTATAATGATACTAAACAACATTCAAATTAAGTAAACTGTAAACCAATAGTTGAAAGCAGACAAATAATTTCTGCCACAGATGTTTACATGTGTGTTATATACCAGCATAGTGAGCAATTATTTTCCATTATCGGTTTAATATCAAGTAAATTATATTAGCAATAACTAGTAGCAAGTGCGATCTAGTTATTGACTATTTAAACTCAAGGTATCAAATACTATTGCTATTTTTATCCAATACATTCTACTCCATTGTCAATTTCTCCCTAAAGAAACAAGTGTTGCAGAATATTAAAATCAACATTACACCAAAATAAAAAGTGATGCTTAAGGCAATTAATAACACAGAATTACGTTATTGCATGGATTATACAGTCCCTTTTTAAATCCATACAAATTAGCACTTCAGAAGACACACAGATTGTTATAAATACCTATACCAACATATAAGATAAATATATTGACAAATATTTAAGATATGAAAATAATCAATTTTTATTATGTATATAACGAGATACCAAAAGAGCGCATGAGAAAAAGCAAAAACTCAATTATAATAGTTCCTATGATGATGATTTAAATCACTAGAAAATCTGTATATTGGCTAATTATTACAGTGATTAAATTTCAATGATCAGGGCCACTTTCCAGATGGTACAGATCTCCTCTAAAGCAGAAATAAGCTTACAAATACTTGGAGTGCTACTGTGGCACAGCACTTAAAGGATTTGTATTATTTAAAATAAAGCAAATGTTTGATTACAAGATTTTTCACCATTGAAACAGAATAAGTAGGAAGCCTATACCTCCAATGAAGACTTTAAAAAGGCCACATAAGTTGTTAGAATTTCTATTTTTGTACAAATATTTCTTTCAGCTTTTTTCAGTTCTTCATTCAAGAAATCAGTTTTGGTTTTAAAAGCTGCCACTTGCTCAGGCTCAAACTCTTTCATGTCTTTGATGATTCCCTCAGCTTCTCCCAGTTCACATGAAGTTTCCTTTCAAGATACAATTGTAGAACAAAATGTATAATGACTACAAAGCACTTGTCGATATTGATATCACATTGTTAATTTTCATTAGCATCACTATTTTTCTGTACAATTCAATTACTTTGTTGAAGAGCTCAATGTTACCATTATGTGCTGAAATAAAATATTACAAGAAGGAAATAGTTTAACACTAAGAACTGTATGTCATTGAAGGTAGCCATTAAGATCAGAATGGAACAGGAATCTCAGTATACAGATGAAGTTAGCCACTTCATAAAGCAAGAACAAAAACAAAGTGTTTCACAGAGGAACACAGCCAACCAGACCAATACATTACCATTTATAAACAGTATAGAATAATTTTCTGAACTGATTTCTGAGTTTAACTCCATCTTAGCAGCTTCTGTTTGATACCTATTTTTAAAAGTACTGTATCCACTCTAGAGTGTAACTGGGTATTTGTGAGTCTACTGCTGTAATAGTTCGTATTTATTTCTAAAAATATTTAATGTTAATAAATCTGAGTACTTTTTTTTTTTTTTACCTTTATTTGATTTGCCAGCTCAAGGTGTTCATTCAAAATTCTTTCTGACTCTGACAGATGGGAACCAACCTCCACATCGACTGCAAGCCTTGAGGTGATTTTTTTAATTGACTGCAGTACCTATATTTGAAAACATTATTTATGTAGTTAATTTACAAGACAAGATGTATATAGACAAGTATAGAAAATCAGTTTACAGTGAAAAAAAGAGAAGTAACACTTACTTGATACCTTTTAAACTCTGTGCTTCGTACAGTCAGAGAAATTAAGAATAAAATTCTACTATTTCACACCCAACAGTACAGTCAGAAATAGAAGAAAACATTCCCATCTGCACTCATTTTACTGGCAGTTCTTTTCTTTGTCCTAAGTATTCCAGTCTTGTTAATTCAGTAGGACAACTGTATTAAAACCTAAGTATGACTGCATGGTCATAAATACTTTTATGACAATCCATTTTACAAAAACACCACACAACTTTTTTTCCAGAAAGTACATTTAAAGCTTCTCTCCCAAGCTAAAAGATCTATTACCACACAGATTTGTGTACACAATGTTATTTCATTGTCACAATAAATGATTCTCTGGACAGATGAATTTAGCATTTTAGCACTTCTCTAGAATACTTTATTGTTAGGAGAAGGTTGGAATGGAGAGTGTTTTGCTTGGGAGCAATCTAACAATAATTGGTAACATGTTCTCATGAAAAATACCTGCATTTTTCAGTATAGATTTACGTTCATTGCTTCTGATAACAGTATTCAGCATTTTAACAATAAAAGCATGCTAACAAACCAGTATGCTATTTGTAATTGAGTCAAATTTAATATTCACGTAGTTAAACGATGGAAATGCAATGCACTGGTTGTGAATACAATAACATGAAGGAATGTTACAGTGTACCTTAGTTAGATGATCTTCAAGTGTGACAGTCCACTGTTGCTTCTTCAACATGAGTTCTTTATCATCTGGACACTGTCTGATAAGTTGATCCTCTTTTTTCTTAACATTCTCTATTGCTCTCTGAATCCCTATCGCCCAAGAGCTAAAATGGATAAGTGCAAGTGTTAGTATTTCTCAGTTTTGCTCAGCAAGCAGGCTTTCAATGATTAAGCAAACAAACTTCCTGTTGATTTGTATGACAAAGGATTTCATGAGAATTTTAAACTGTGACCCTTATAAGAAAAGAAAAATAACCAAGAGGAATATAAAAATGAATGCCAACAAAACTGATAACAAGTAGAATACAGGGATGACATCTCCAAACAAATCACTGGAAGTAAGACTCGCATACTCTACACCCTGATCCAATGAGAAATGCATTATTTCATAAATAGTTTCAAGGTAGTATTACTAACACCACTGGAACTATCTAGAAACTGAGACCACAAATGGAAAGGTCCTAGAAAAGAGTAAAAGTACATGCCATATCATTTCTACCAAAAAAGAATGGTTTTTTTTTGGATCTACAGTATTATTATAGTAGATGAGGACTGTCACATACATTGTAAGCCAATATTTCCTTGAAGATCCTACTTTAACAGGTGAAAAAAAGATATCAGATGACAATTGCTAATCTTGTGATTTAAAACATTTAGTATCAGGTAAACAACTCACAATCTGATGTTGGAGGCAGTTCTCTTCAAATTGTGAAGAGCTTACTGCATATAACTAAAATCTGAAGTTTTGAAACCCAGAAATCAACTGATTTATTACTGAAATTTAAATATAATGAGAATTTCTTGTTAGACAAACATTCAAAATACATTTTTTTGTTCATGTAGTTTCATCATAAACTTACTTTAATGCAGATACTTATACTAGGTTTCTTTGTCCTCTAAAGTTAAAGAGGAAATTCTGCTGGCTTCAGATAGGACTCAGAGTTATATTAAATATACTTTTTGCTGCATTCCTATTTTTCTAGTTGGTTTTAATTCAAAATCAAATGAGCTCAAAAATCAGATTTACCAGTATTTTTATTTGAAACATTCTAGGTCTGTAAATACTGCCTTCAATCTAGTTTTGATACTATTTCAGTGTCAATATTTTCATCATTTTAACTTATTTGGCCTACAAATTAGAATAAGGCTGTAAAACACTCTAAGAGGATTTGAAAGTAATAAAGAAGTAACACATTTCTTCATTTATACTGTGAGTTGGACTTAAGATTAGGGTCAGTGTCGCTAGCCTTAAGCCCTCCCTCAATGTTAGTATATCAGTATCAGACCTTTTAAATAATAAACTGCCAGAGCTGTGATAAACTGCATATAAATTGAGTGGCTCATAGAAACGAAAATAACAAAACAATGCAGAAATCCATTTACATTTTAATTTTCTTAATGTTTATACTTCCCCAGAGCTATAGATTAGTACTACACCTGGCCAGTCACTTTGATATTGCATCAAAATGGGTTTACTATGCTGTCATTAAGACAGAATATCATCATGAGACAAATAGCAAGGTGTTAACCAGTTTGAGCAAGGTCGTCTAGCTCCCTCTCTTTATAAATAAATATATCTTCTGTAAAAATGAATATTGGTGTGTTTTTGAAAACTAGTAGTTATCTAAGTAGCAGAAGATACAATATCTTATCCTCTATGATATATGATGAAGCAATTCTAGAATTACTGTGTTTCAACAAGCACTTCAAGGACCTGGAAGCTATTTTCACATTCCACATCAAATTCTTCTCGCTGCTTTTTAGATCCACCAGATAACAAACACTTAACAGCTATATATTTTATTGTCAGATTACACTTTCTCATTAATCCTATGGCAAAGCTAAAATTTTTCAGGTCCATATGTTTCACTGCCTTCAGATAGGAATTACCATATTGCTCAGGATTTCCAGTCATTCCTATGTAGGAAATGGGAAGATTGTGAAGGCAGTTATGACTGCCAATGATATGAGCAATAATGGAAAAATGTTAGTCAGACTTTAGTCTTGGTACATGTCCTGTTTTCTGTCCATATCATCGTCTTTGGACTTTTAGCTGTTCATACAAAGTTTGTTGTCCCATTTGATTAATCACTGGCCAATATTTAAGGATACCATACTGTTTATACATGAAAACAACAGAGGGCTCTTTTCCCTCTTATAAAGCATTATTCTTTCTGGGGGAAATTAGCATTCTGGAATACGAACACCATGCGTGCTAATATAATTCATTGTGTCCGTCTTGGCTAGGTATAAGTAAAACGTGTCTCACACACAGTGCTTACTACCAGAACAGATTGCCCAAGATAATGTGGAATTTCCATCCTTGGAGATATTCAAACTTTGCCTGTGAGCAATTTTACTTAAGCCGAAGGTTTTGAACAAGAAATTGCACTGATCTCCAGGGTACCTTGCCAATATAAAATCACACCATGATAGTAATTGTCAAGCTCATACCTAGGCATGTGAAGTATTCCATCTATACAAACTAGCTTTACTCATAGAAATACATGGCAACATGGCAAACTCATATTTAGACCATGGAGTCTGAAGACAGCAGAGAAAAATAGAAAAGCCATAATATTAAGCTGTTTTAAGAAAGCAAGTACATATGTATATGATGGAACAAGATGTTTAAAATATTTGGAAATATATATTGAAATATATTTATATATGAAAGATATGTATGGCTGAAACTGTCACTCAATCTCATCTGCTTAATTAACTTCAATGGCTGTAAATAGATATTTTAAGTAGTGAAGTAGTAAAGCAACAGGGAGGTATGCAACAACACAGCAAGTATAAAAAAATGAAGGGAATACCTGTGAGAATCTGCTTTATTAATTAAAGTTTGTCCTTTTTGCAACGTACTTGCTGTGCAGCCTTTAATTTCTTCCTTTAATTCTTCATACTTCATTGACAGGATAGGCAAACTCAAGCCTTCTGAGTTAAAGATTTTAAGGTAATTCTCAAGAGCATTAACTGCCTAAAAAAAAAATAATTCAACTTTGTCAATATTTCTATTTAAACATGTCCACACATGCATTTATATGAACGGATAATCAAAGGTCAAAATTTCCCAGTTCTTCAGTTTCCGCATTCTTTTGGACAATAGCTTTTTAATTTAGGGTGTGATACTGACTTAGTTATCACGGAAGAAAACATAATTCAGCAAAAGTTAATGCAATTATGAGTATGTAAAATCATGTTTTGTTTTGATAAAACTAGTCTATTTTCAGCAATTATCAGGAATCTGAAATAGAACCAAAATAGTAACAGTAACACAACTGTTAGTGTTGGAGTTCTGCAGAAGCATGCTGATAAGTGTCTTTACCAGCACTTTCTTATAGCACCTATTCTGTTTTCCTTTAAAGCAAGAAGTTTCTCATTCAAATACCAGAAGAAAGGAACAAAAGTATTCCACCTTTCAAAGCAGAATAAAAACAACAGTTCAATACTCCATTATTAAAGCCACTGAATAGTAATTTCAGAAAAATAGAAATGGACCTAAGCCTACTATGTATAATTAGAATCCTAGCAGTAACACTGTAACCTCTTACAGATTTTTATGGCTTTACATACCAGAATACCTTGAGACCTAAATAGTGCAAGGCAGCAGACAACCGTCTAATAGTATTAATTTCTCCATTTAACATGCACATTAACTCAGCAAAAAATATAACGTATGTAACGTGTGTATATATTTGTGCGCATATATGTAAAAGGAAATCACCAATGAAATTTGAATTCTGTCTTTGAAAACAGTTTGACAGAAACTGTCTTTAGTCTTGCAGAGCAATGTGAAAATTTTAAATGAAACCTTAAGGTACTTTTTACACGTTTATCAAAGAACAACTTGAGTAGAACGGCAACTGGTCAAGAGTATATTAGAAGATGAAGGAAAAAAATAAGTTCTCAGCAGGTTCTCTTCCTAAACATAACTGAATGCTTTTTATGTTCATCAGTCTACATCTCCAAGGATAATAGAAAGCTTCCAAGGGTTGCACTGCCTTACTTCTCAGCTCTGTTGCTACTATGATCAACTTAAGGCTGCTAACACAAAAATTTATAATTCATGTTCAACTTCACTTGCAAGCAAGAGCAAGACATTAGTTTGATTGATTTTTTCCATAGCAGCTGCAGCACTCATTGGCAGTCCTCTCTGGTTCTGCACAGAAAAGCAGTATCATGTCCTTATTCAGGCTTTCAACAGCTCAACTAAATCAACATTAAACAATGCACATTGTGAGATATCCTTCTACCTCCATCTCTCTCTTTTCAAGACTAACATATATATGTAGCTGTTTTGCAACAGATAATTATAGGATGGCATAGATAATGACATGAAAAAAGCATCAAGCCTGCCTGAAACTGTGGTACAAAAGCATATATATATTTTTTTTAAGAAATTGCATCATTGACTTGAATAGTTGACAACACAAATGTATTTTGCATTACATAGTCATATATAATGAATATGTAATCTGCAGATGCAGAAGAGTTATAATAAGCAATCAAAATGCTTAACAGTAAAGTAGGTTTTTATTTTATTTTTAGTTTTCATTCCAGAATGTAAAGTCATAGATAATGAAAACCTTAAAAGCTATAATAAAAAAATAAGCATCAATGTGCCGAAGATAACATGAGTGTAATTCCTACAAGCCAAAATAATAGCCCTCTTTCCTGGACCATTTTGGGAATTTTCTTCCACTAAAAAAAAGTAAATGCCATGCAATAAGTCCAGATGTCTTTCTGAAAGAACTACTATTTCTCTCCAGCTTTCCTGTTTGTTACCTTAATCATTTTCCATTTTAATTCATGCTACTAAATATATGTTTTATGTTTATTTATTTATTTGAGAGAGAGAGAGTAATCACAGAAAGTGAAGAAGAGAAAATTAAGTGTAGAGGTTTTGTATGTACACAGTCACAAAAACAGTCTGGGAAATTTAAATAGCATTATATATACATAATATATGTACAAAATATTACACTGAATTTTCTCTTGTTCACTTTGTTTCTGTGATTTTTTTTTTTTTTTAATACACATATGTATGTAAACATATTCTTCAGCCACCTATCAGAGTTTTGAGATCTTTTAGGGCAAATAAAGGGATATAGTCTCTTTGTATATCCTCTGCTTCTCTACTGACATTTGGCTCCAACAGTTTTTTTGCTTTCAAAATCCCATGCCTCATCTACTGTTTCTCTGTAGTTTCTTACGCTTTACTAATTACCAAGACCAAAAGAAAAACACCTCTACTTGTGAAGTATACTTGCATCTAAAAGCTTAAACTGAATACATTCCATTAGATCACACAAACACATATTCCAATCCTTCCATGCTGAAAGTACTTCATATTTCCTCCTGTGTGTTTTCTTTAAAGCTAGTTACTATCCATAACATCTCAAAAGATTATTACTTTGGACTGCTACTACTTTGGAGGAAAAAAAAAAAAACAAAAACATCAGTATCTACAATCAGAAGCAGATTTGGCCTGGAGTTCTAAATCAGAAGCTGCATTCTGAAGTAACACATGTGCCCAGGCATGGGATACTCCTTGGCTAACTATAAACATGACTGTGCAAAAATAGTGAGTTCAGTATAAGCCTTACTTATTTACTTTAAGCTGTCCAGATAAAAGTTCTCAAGCTTTTGCCTTACCAAAGCAAGGTCTGTCTATTCCAGGTGTCATTTCCCAAGAGAAAATAGCTACACACCTTCTCAGTGTAGAAAGTCAAACGGAAGATAACCAGACATAGAAATTGATAATTAAAGGAAAGGTTAGCAAAAGGACTACCAAGGAGTGTGGAAAAGAGCTAAGAAAAAAGCTAAGGAGCTGGCCAAATGGAGGCAAATGCACACCATAACATAAAAACACAAACAAAAACAAGTATTATGCTTTTAAGCTACATGAGAAGTAGTATGCGTGTTTTTGTTTTTCTCCATGTTTTAAAATTAATCAACAAGAGATACAAAATATAAAACACATTTTCAAGTTAGTTCAAAACAACTAATACTGTGCCCTTTACATGTAAGAAGTGCCCCAAGTTTCAAGGTATGCTCTTAGAACAATCCAAAACGCCTCTGTTACTATCTGTAGTAATTCACTTTCAATGCACAAGGGGAGAAGGTCTTGTTTTATTTGTTCTTACACACATAATGGCGCGCTGAGCAGACGCACAGGAGTTAGTGTTATTTCAGATAGGTCCACCTGCCAAGCACAGGCCTGCAGTCTAAAATAGAATCTGCCTTACTTTTCACACAATAGAAAAATTCATGTATGTAGCTCCTTATCTACACTAGAGGGAGATCACTGTCACCAAGTTTGTTAACACATCTCAGTTTCCTCATTGTAAATGAGAGCAAAAAAGATCAGATTTATTGGAGTAAAAGATATGTCTCACTTCAATGATCTGTAAAAAAAAATTCTATCCTAAATACTGTTCCCATGTTGTTTAAACAAAATATCTGAAGGAACGTTATCACAAGTTGAGAGCAATGCTTACAGCCCCACCTGGTGCTCAAAACAAAAATTAGCAGAGGCAAAGTCTTATTTTCTCAACACATGTAATAAATAAATATATTTGTTGTGGGAGTTTCCCCTAAAAATGATCTGCTCTATAAAGCTTCCAATAAATGATCTAATAAACGTGCTTTAAAAATTACACAAGACCACTTGCTCTTTAGTTATCATAAAATAGAAAATCAGTTAAAAGAGTTTCTAACAAGAAAATATTGGAAAACAATTTGCATTACTAATACTACCAGATGAACATACTTGTGAAGGATAGGCTTATTGTAAAAAAAGAGATTTAACATTTTATGTATGGTTTTAAATTATGAGGTCATTTTCCATTCTAAATTGTTTTGCAAAACCACAAATCTATCAGTCCAGAAGAGCACACTGATGTTTGTAGGATCACAGTACTACAGGCTTAGCTGTTTACCTACCTTATTAGCTGTATTAAAAAAGTCATTGGCCTCTTGTAACAAGGCTTTCCTCTCTTCCATATGGCAACATACTTCTCCTCTTAACAGATGGATCTTCTGATTTGAAATATTTAAATGCTCTTTTTCTGTGTAGTCTTCTGAAAGCAAGATCTTAAGCGCTTCAGCTTCTAGTTGTTCCACAGTGAAGTTCCATTCCTAGTAAGAAAAGTTCACTTTTAATCAACTGCACAAAGGAAAGCAATACACCTTCACAATAGTCTTATAAATACTGGAAAACATTTATTGCATTTACAGGCGTGAAACGTATAACCTTCTGAAGTTATTTCTTCCAGGACAAATTTCTCAGCAAATTGTTTCAGCACAGTTATCAGTAGTGGCATCTCACATTCCTTCACAAAGTTTCACAGGCAGGAGGAGTCACTATCTCAGGCATATAGATGTATTCACCCTATGTACACATACTGTGTACATACTTACACAGTTAATGCTTGGGTTCATGATTTCCTATTCCTTTTTTAAACTTAATTCACTAATCAATTATCTTATGTCTTACTTTCACTTTAACTTCCATTTCTTTATGCTTTTGAAGTAACTCTTCATTTTCCAATAACGATGAGCCCAGGTTTTCCTTTTGAAGATAATCTCTGATGTTTTTCTTGTACCAGGATGTTACCTAAATAAATAATACAAAGGATTATCAGCCAGTGAAAGATTGGAGAAGTGTCCATCCACTCTTTAGGATACGTACAAGATTTCACCTACAAAAAGTCCTAATTTACATTCCTTTCGTTTCTAATGTTTTGCCTTTACCCAAATCATTACCTTTGTATTACCTTAATGTTAATGAAAGCGGAATTAAAGGGTCATGACAAAAATAAACACCTACTGAAATATATGTAACAAAACAGGGACAAAAAATATATTCATGGAGGAACTTCAGACAACATTTTAATGCATTAAAGGACCACATTCACATTTTCCTACAAACTGTACAAGCTAAACTCTGTGCTTTCATTTTAGCTATTGCAACACTACGATGTGTACAGCTATTGGAAAAAGTCAAAGTGCATCATGAGCAGATGTAGGACACATTTAGATAAATTCTATCCATTAGTGTTGGTGCATTATCTACTACTGAGGATTTCTCCTCTCATATGTGTACTTACACATTTGAACATAATCATTACCAGTTGTTAAAACTTCCATTTTTAATAACAAACATGCTTTGAAGCAAAAAAACAACAGAACCTTTCTTTATCCCAGTATATAGAAATATTTGTAAGCAATTAAGGTCATAAACATTAATTTGCTATCGAAAGATTCCAAGGGAAAAATTCCCTGCATTTACTTCGGTAAGATGTGATGACACACTTTAATTCACTGGACTGCAATGCTTGCTTTTTCAGTCAGTTAAACTGTCTTTAATAAAAATAAAAGTTTTGTGACACCAACAGTTTGTCTTCTATAAACCTGTCTGGATAACCAGTGTGAATATACTCACCTGTCATCTGATTTTTACTCAGTTCTTACCTCTGCCTTTGTTGCTACTAGGGACCAAGATTAGTTTCAGTTTTCTCATACGTGCATGGTTGGGTAGATAGAGAAAAATTACATTCGTAAGTCTCCCAAAGATAATCAATTATGCACAAAATAGCCCAACCTGTCTCTGATCTCTATTACTACTAGAGATTATCAGAAAATAGGCTGCTGATAATTTCAGAGAGAAAAGTCAGACACCCTTCTTTAAAAGAAAAATAATTACATGTTCCTATATTACAATTACTGATAAAGCAATGTTACAATCACGCTTATAATATTATCACATTCCAACTAGAGATTAAAGCAAGGTGCGGCATTTTTAGAAGCAGGTAGCATGTAGGGATCTTTATATCTGTTTGGGTATTTTTTGTTGGTGGTGCTTTGTTGGTTTTTTTTTTTGTTTTGTTTTTGTTTTTTAATGCAGACTTCTGCATTATCCAGAGGTAATTATGCATTGAAAAACAGAAGCAGAACAAAGAGCAAAAATCCACTCGTATCCTATACAGCAAAGCTCATCTCCAGTACTCTTACTTTCTTTGTATCCTGGGAAGTCTCATTAATGATAATGTGAATTCACTATGCTATTTTTACATACATAGCATCATTTGACATCAATTCTTCAAATAGAGACTAAAATACGTTTCAAACCACTAAGAGGCTTTGATTTTCTGCCAGCCCTCGAATATACATGTAACATCTTGAAGACCAGAGGGATAAATTTTGCATAAAGTCTTTAAAAGTTAATTTCCCAGAGTTTGTATTTAAAAATGAATATATTATTTGCCCACAATGCAGACATTACACCAAGCTTGACTCCATCCAAAGGCTAAACATTATATTTCAGTAAGTCTATTAAACCCATTTGAATTTGTCCCTTCTAGTGAATATTATCCTCAGCCTGGATGCACGCAGGATCTAACAGGTGGTTAACTGTCAGGTCCTTCTCTTTTGATCAGAAAAAGCTTGCCAGCAGATAAGTTTCTATACCTACCTAGCAGAAAAAAGAAACATCCAGAAGGAAAACTCATTGCATAGTATTTTTCAACCATACCCAAATTTGGACAAATATTCAAAACTTGGAATCTCAAACAAAAATGGCTTTGATATACTAGATCAATAAATAAAGTTCCCTTTCTGTAATAGTCTATTGTAAAACAAGTGCATGGAACGGTTATTTTATTGTTATTGTGATTTGCCTTACTTTGATGCACCTTACCCGGTTCTCTTGTTGATGCCATAGACAAATCTGTAGAACCTGCTCCAGACCTCGACGCTGGTGTTTAAGAGATCTGTCCAGTTGCCTTCGTCTGTCTTGTAGCAGTTCAAGGAGGTTGTCAATTTTCAAGCAGCTGCTCTGGGCTCCCTGAATCAGCTTAGGATTTGCATTTGGTCCCTCACGTTTGAATTCTTCGATGAATTCAGTTAGCTCATGGCTTTTGTTCAAAAGAGCAAGTGATTTTTCCAAGAGCTCTGTAGGAATAGAAATTGATAAGTTGAAAAAAAAAAACAACTCAAGAACACCATATAATTTGTAAATTTAGTACTGTTATTACAATTCAATATTATTGAATCTCATTATTTAAAAATATTTTGCCCAAGATAAAAAATACACTAAGGGACAAAAAATACATGAAGGAAGCAAAATTATGCTTGAAAGAATCAGCACAATCACTCCCTGTCAGGAAAACACTGTACCTTTTGTATGATGCTCCTGTTGCAAAAGGAGTTCTCTTAAATTATCAATGTCGTCAAATTCTTGAGCATTTTTCACAAAATCTTCAACTTGGTCAATTTTAACAGCAAACTGCATTAGAAAAACAAAGTGTGGCAGGAAGTACAGTAAAATTGTCTTTCACAGAACTAGATCATAATCCTTTTCCCAAGAATTTAATCTCTTTTGTAGGGCAAATTCATTGCATGTTCTCGGGAAAAGCACATTATCACTGACTGATAGCTACAGATTCTCAGTGCTCTTTCTATTGGAGTTCTCACTGATTGAGAGGACCCAAAATTCATCTGTCGTACTCTGAAACTACAGTCTGTCACTTTGTACGAGTACCTCAGAGTCTAGACACATATTCTGCATCTCAGACAATTCTTATCAATTGTACTGCTCCTTTTCAACAGTGAAGAAACCAGAGTTCATATTTGTATTTCAGTGTAATAAATGTTGAAACCCACAATGAAAATAAGGAAAATTAAAAATAAGCCCTCTGCTTTCCCTACCACTTTTAATTTTCCAGATTTTCCTCTCTTGATCTGCATGCTATAAAAGAAATCATCTGGCATCAGCATTTGGGATTTTACTTCTTATTTTTCATTAAAGAGTACCCTTGAAATAATGTTTGTGTTCCATCACAGTGTAAACAAAGATTTCCATTATCACAGGTTGTCATTTAAAGAAAAACCTCCCCATAAGAAATTTGAACAATTCCTATTTAAATCAATATTACATTTCTTCCTTGGATCTAAATATAATGGGTATGGATCCATACCATGCTCCAGTTGCTGTATTTTCCTTTAGTGATATAAGGCTGTTACAGGGACATTTCAATCATCCCCTCAGGGATTTAGTGTGCACCAAGTTGATCTCTGCTGATACAGAATTTTACAGAGCTACATATGCTACCAGCTATTTCTTTGTATAATTACATATAGCCAGGACACAACAATTAGTAAGCCAATTGTTGATTCTTACAGATTTTTCTCTTGGAGTTCTTAGACAGAAATAGAATATTTGCTTCTTTAATTTAATATATGGCCTTTAGCCGTTGTTAAAAAGAAAAACTATCAGAAGGATTTATTAAACTATTTAAGTTTCAGAAATGTGGAGATAACTGAAGGCAGGGAGCAACACAGTAACTCTGCTTTAGCTCCTTGTATATAGATGAGTTAGGATAAAAGCCAAAAAAAAAAAATGGGGGAAAACGTTTTGAAATCTGACTCCACATAGATAGCTGGACAGATAAGTCTTGAGTAAAGGTCTGCAAGGTTACACTGATGTTTCATTTGCAAGCATAATTACAGTAACTGTATGCATGTTACAGTATAAAACCTTCAGTGTCTAATCATTACTAAACATTAACAAACATCTGAGAATTTAGCTCTTTTAATTTAGAATAATTTGAAACATAATGAATGAAAGAAACACTGGAACACAGCTACTAAACTACTAAACAGCTACTAAACACACATGTTTTAGGTTTTTGTCCAGTTCTGTTTTCCACTGTCTTTTTTCTGTCAAGTACAAATTTGGAAACATCATGATTATGATTACTGTTAAAGTCTACATACTTTTGTTCCATTTCATCCTAATCTAAGCAGGAAAAAAAAGAAAGATGGATCAAGATAATATAGTTTTCTTAAGCAGTTCAATTTCTAGGAATGCAATAACCATCTATATCAAGTATAACAGAGTAGAAATACAGCGAAAAGAGATCATTATAATACGTGGGAGGATTCCAATTAAGATCATTTGATTTAAATACAAACCTCCAGAGCATTTTCAAAGAACACTGTAGTAAGTTCCAGAAGAGCCTGTCTCTTCTTTAACATAATTACAAGGGCATCCCATGCATCCCCAAGCGTCTCTGCCATGGCATCATACACCTGACTCTTCTCCTTATTCTCCTCAGCAGCCTTGTCTGCTTCATGCAGCAGGTTCCACACCTGATCTTCCAAAGCCTGAGATGATAAAAAATAAGAAACCCATAAAATGAACCCAAAACATTGAGCTGATATCAGGATACCTTTTCAATGGATCTGAAATTACCCACAAGTCTCTTACTTGTGTGCTTTATTTCTAGCTCCTTGTGACTGCAGCTTCACTGCCAGTTTCTGAATTTCTCCTGCATTTCAGAGACAACAGTTTTATGAAATTTCATGTAAAAGGAAGTGTTAAGGTTATCATTCTATCTCTGAAAATTTAGATTCAATGTCTTTTACATCTGTTTGAACATAGATCTTCCTGAAAGCAGAAGAAATGCAGATCTGGATGATCTTTCATATGCCATCGTATTCTTTTGACATCATAGGGAAAAACAAAAAAGTTCAAAGCTTTAGAAGTTTTTCAGTCTCTGATTATTTTAATATTATCCAGAAAAAGTGTAGTTTAAACACACTGATGTATTTTCCAAAAGAAACAATTTACAGGCAATGTCTGAAGTAGAGCTTGCTGCACTGCCAAAGTTGGACACCAAATAGTAAATATTCTATTGTCGAGGCAATAATTCTTTTGTTCCATTCCCTTTAATAATGCCATCATGACAAAGATAACTGCTAGGCCAGTTTAAGCTTACATTAAAATCTTCAATGTCAGTAAAATTGATGATGTTTGTTGCATGCTCTTTCTTTTCCTCCTGCCTCAGATCTTCATCATAGACACAAATATAAAGTATATCTGCTGTTCTTACAGATGTTATCAGATAAATATGTAATGAAGAAATAAATCTACATTAGACAAGTTCAAACCCATGATAAATCACTCTCATGACAAAAGCTATTACAGACTAAGAAACTGGAAAGTTTGAAATTCTTCTGGCAGTTCAAATTCTTAGCTTGAAGAGACTCCTCAGTTCCCTCAAAAAACAGTACTGTTAGTATAGTAATAATAAACTAAGAGATTTTTATTTCTTCACTGATAGAAATTAAATGAAATTACTTCAAATTATCTTTACACACAGCTAACTGAGGAAAAAAGTGGGATTTTTCTTGGCCTTACTGAAGCTTGATATGTGAAATGTATCAGGCAAAAACAAATGGCAAAAGAGGCATAAAACAAACCCATCTCAATCTGAATTATATGGAAAAGCCATTATTTGCAGCAGCATGAATGTACACTTATTGTTGGTGATAAACCTAATCAAAATCCAGTGTTCTAAAAACAAAAAAAAAAAAAAAAAAAAACACATTTCATTTTCAGCATACCAGAAATGGGATTTAATGCTTTCTACTCCAATGAATGTAGATCTTTTTGTTCTGTTGAATCTCTGCCCTGATTACCTTATACTATAAAAGATCAAATCCCCTGAATGCTACCTCTATTATATTTTAATGGAAATCCTATTCATATATTTTTGAAATGATGGATGCTGCCATGCTAATTTAACTATTGATAGCATGTGCTTTAAATTTCCATTACAACAAAGTGTCAGACCAGGAAAAGCAGTTGGCCTTCCAAGTCTACTCTAAAGTACTGCAGTTACCTTTAACTCAAGAGAAAAAAAAATATCTGATGATGTAAACTAAAGTTTTTTTTCCCCTCACTCACAGAAATGATTATATTAGAAATAACAAACAACAGCTCTGATTCACTGTAATTTTTAAATGACAGACTTTGTGGTTGTATCATTAAATAAAATATAAAAACCAGTATCAAAGCAATGATATTGGTCAGTTAAGGAACTAAGCTCATAAGATTTTAAATGAAAAATAATCTTTCACTGCAGTCTTCAGGCCAGTTCTGTGAAGTCTTCATTGCTTTTCCCTTCATTGGTTTGCATTATTGTTTAGCAATTACTAAAGCTATAAAATTGAGCTGCCCACATAATGCTGGATTGTATTAAATACATACAAAATCTCAGAATTGGAGCCTTAGCTCTTTGTTTAACCCGAAGAATAAGACAAAGCTTAAGTGTTAATGTTAATGTGTTATGTTGCATTAATCTTGCCCATAGATTTAAAGTAAGTTTGACTTGTTTCTGAGGATAGTGATGAAAAAGAAAAACGTTTTGACAGACTTAGGGATGCTTAAAGGTCAAAGAGGGCAATAAGGCAAAGAAAATAACAGAACATATAAACAGATTTTTAAATCCCTGTCCTATTTCAGTCCTCTCCCCTTTGCTAAACAAGCATTTGTTGTAGAACAAAAGAAACATCATGGTAGAATATTAGTGAAATAAAAACAAAGACACAGTCAGAATTTGGTAGGTAGCACTGATCTCATTATTCCTAAACTTCCTTACTGGTTTGCATCTCAAAAATCTAAGATTGAAAATAGAACAGAAAAAGTGTTTATTGAATCCTAATTTCTCCACCCTGTTTTGTTTTTGTTTTTTGTTGTTGTTGTTGTTTTTGTTTTTAACCACTTGCAAAATAATACCTGTCATATGATAAAAAACAATTGAACTTTGCAGCTAATTACATAGCCTAGCAGCTTAATTATTGTATGTAAATACTGCAGATTACTTTAACAAATAATTTATTCCATAACAAATTTATTGAAGATAACCATAATGAGTCTATTTTTACTCTAACTGAAAGATCTCAAATAATTACATTAAAAAAGAACTAAATCCCCATACCCTTTATATCCTTGCTCATCGAAGAACATAATTTTTTTGAATTGTTTCCCACAGATATTAGCATATGAATGATTGTTTGGGAATTTATGTTCTATGAATCGAAGTAAACAAATTAATTAGCAGGACTCCTCAGGTAAATGAGCCAAATTAATAACAACGTTTGTTTTAAGATGAAGCTTGGATTTATTTCTGCTTTGGAGGGCTCCTTCCACAGAAAATTCCATGATAAAAAGCAGAACTCTGGAGACAAAGCAAGAATGCTGATGTTTACCTTAGTGAGGATTTTATCATCATAACCAAAAACCTAGCAAAGTATGCACACATACTTCTTAATGGCCCAGTAAGCATTAGTATTTGGAGACTGCATCTGACTTCCAGATAGAGATTCTGCTGGAAACTACAGAATTATGGAGACTGACAATACTGAAGGGTCAAGTTGCAAAGAGAAAGGGCTCCTATTCCAAACCTGAGAACATTTACGTTTATTCTTAACCTTGCACAAAAGTGACATCTTATTTCATTTCACAACAAATGCATCAGTGACAGCAGCATCTATACTTGTGAAATGAATTAATGGTTATAGAGGAACCTATCCCTCTTTAACAGGTACAACATTAATCTCCAAAGGAAAGCAAGCCCACAAGTTCACCTAAAGGAAGTGTCGAGTATATACAAACTTTCCTGTTCAATTAAAAATCCTTGAATAAAACTAAGCAACTAAGCAATATTTTGCTGCTTAAATCACTGTTGCTAAATAATTTAAACTCCTGGGCTCTACCAGTTGTGCACATCAATTTGACAAAAAGAATAATTTCCACTACAAAAGAAATCAAAACCGCACATATAAGTGAAATCTTTCTCAACCCATAAACATTTGAAATGAAGACTTTCTGAAAAGTTTTATTCTGCTTTTCAATTTAAGTAGAGTTCCCTGTTCCCAAATTAAAAGGAACTTGAAAGCAGTAGAGAGTAAAACAGTATTTCCTACCAAAGAAAATTCTGGATATGTTTCTCCCCCCCCCCCTTAGGTCCTAGTAAAATACAAGTATCATTTTTTAATCACAATCATTCCAATCATCAAAAGCAGAAAATAAATATTTTAAAACTTACTAATTCATCAGGTCTGCTCTCAATATACTTTAAAGTACCACCTGTAAACCTGTGTGTCAAACTGTTTATTCGCCAGTGGTTTTCTGTTTCTATTTTTATGTGGGTATTTGAGGTGGGGTTTTTTTTGTTAGACACACGTTAACACTGCTGAATCAATAATAGATCTCTGGAACTGTGAGTTGGATTACATTCCTTTTCCTTTAGCACCAGAAGTACTATAAACTGATTACAGGTCACTGTGCCAAATTTCGTCCTTCCTTACATCTGTAGAACTTCAACTTACAAAGCTGAAAAATAATTTGTAACTTATTTGTGAATTATGAAACATATAGTGAAATGAAACTAATTAAGTTAAAAAATAAAAAAGAGTCACAACCAGGATGATCTTCCTATATAACATGGAATAAAGACAATATATTTTTACCTGACAGCAAGGTTCAATATCCCAGAAATTATCTTCTCTACGTACATAAGTACTTGAGAACTCACTCAAAAATTGTTTTGTATAAATCATAGATCTCTGATTAAATAGAACTGGTTTTACTTACAAATCATTGCTAGTCCATGAGTTTTTCCCTGTCATGTGCATAAAGTCCAGTTTTAAATCAGATTGACCTAGCAAGCAAGGCAAATTCTGGGTATCCAGAATCAGTATCTATCAGGAAACATTTACTTTGTTCTGTTTGGTTTGTTTTTTTTTTTTTAATACTACAATGGATGGGAAATTAAAAAAAAAAAAAAAACACACACCAGACAAACAAACAATACCACCAAATATTCAAAACTGTGACAGTGTTTTACTTTGTTCTGGTGACTGAAAAATTCCCCAACAGTTGCAATTATGCCTTGAGGATCTAAGACAATCACTTCTTAACTATTGTTTTGTTTCGTGAACTATTTGCAGCTCAAAAAAAAAAAAAAATCAATTTGTAAATATTACATCCTCTCTTCCTTTTAATGAAGTACAGTAGAAATTTTTTTTCCCCTTGCTACATTGTAAATTCCTAATATTTTTAAACATTACAGGCAGATGATAAGCAATGAGGCAGCTTTTCCTACTCATCAAGAATTAATCATAGAAACAATCATCATTAAGATAACATTAGATACAAGACATTTACTACTTGGAATTGTAGGAGGAAGTTTTTCCACACAGAGGATGGTGACACACTGGAACAGGTTGCCCAAGAAGGTTGTGGATGCCCCATCCCTGGAGGCATTCAAGGCCAGACTGGATGTGACTCTGGGCAGCCCGGTCTGGTGGTTGGTGACCCTGCACATAGCAGGGGGTTTGAAACTAGGTGATCATTGTGGTCCTTTTCAACCCAGGCCATTCTATGATTCTGTGATGAATACTTTCATTTTTAGAAGTAAGCTACTCTAATAAGATATTTCTTACTTACTCCACAGAACTGTAGGAGGGGTAGTTGGACTGCAGCACAAGAGTTTAGCTTCATCTTTATCCTTTTTTAGACTATTAAAAATTAATTCCAAATGCAAGTACAGTACCTGGTTCCAAGCATACCATTGTTAGATGGCAATAAAGATCAGGCATTTGCACAAGTAAATACAGTGGAATCACCCTCTGTGTTATCTAGGGGCAATTTTGTTTTTTTTTTTTTGGTTTTTTTTTTTTTTGTTTTGTTTTTTGTTTGTTTGTTTTTTGTTTTTGTTTTTGTTTTTGTTTTTTTTTCCTGTATTTTCTTCCGTGGTACTGTTTTTCTCCATATTATACAAATTTCATAATATGTACTATATTAGATTATATTCTCTACATACAGTATTAAACTTATCCATGTAAATATGTTATTATGTCCAAATTCTGCTCTCTGAAGTGCTATAATTTGACTTTAACTTGTTAATCAGCTAAAATCTTATTTCAAGACAAGTAATAGCCAATGCTACATTTTCATTTTTACTACAGCTTACTTCAATTAATATTCAATGTAAACATACCTTAAATTTCTTGTTCACACTTCCAAAATGCTTGGTTGTGTTTACAGTTGTTATTATATTCTAATCAAACTTTTCATACCATTGGAGAATAAATAAAAAGTGTGATAGTTCATTGCATTCAGCAGTTATTGAAGACTGTAGGAATTTTTCACTTGACAATGAAGTGGAAAATACCATATCTTTGTTGCAGTTTTCACAAAATCAGTTGTTACTAAGCATATTTTTTCAGTGTATAGGCTTAAATTTGATCTGTTACACTGACAAACACAAAGCTATGTTTTCTGTGTGGAGTTAACTAAGAAACATCACAACAGCAGACCCACCTATAATGACTTCATATAATTCTGTGTTGCTTTATCAGATCTTACCTTAAGTTTAGTGAGGAGGAGTTCATGATCTTGTAGCAGTTTTTTTGTTTCATCTTGATTGCTGCCAATTTCTAATAAATTTGGTGTTGATTCAGCCAGCTGAAGTTTCACCCATTTTCCACACTGCAATAAGTAAACCATTACAGGCTTCAGGAAAAAAAACTTTCTTTCCTTAGACTCTCAGTTCACACATACTTTCTGTGGTCATAGGATAACAGCAACCCATAGTCATATATTCAGCATAGAATGAAGACACAGAGGTTAGAATACAAACCTGCCTTCATTTGAAGCAGGTACCAAAACGCTTTAGACTCACCCACTCTGCTGGGACTTTGGTTTTGCCTACAAAAATTAAGACTATCACAATGAACCAAAAAGGGTTATCCAACTCATCTCCCATTTCAGCTGAAGACTGCGTAAATAGTTAAGGAAATTCGTGGAGGAAGGAGGAACAAATATTTTTCTGCAGATGCAGTAACTGTAATCCCAAGTTTTACTTCTGACACACAGATCTAACATAATTTGTGCTGAGCATATGGAGAGATTGCACAAAGAAGCTATGGGAGCAATTAATAGCTGTTGGAACAGGAACCCAAACAGCCAACTCTTACGCTGTCCTGGAGGATGTAGATAGAAAGGAAGCATGACAGCATCCCAAAGCACGACGCTTTCCCTGCTGAGCTGCAGGGAAATGCAATTTAGAGAGGATGGCGGCAAGGAACAAAGCGGTGATGTCAGTGGGGGCTATAGGACACAAGGAGCCTACAGGCAGGAAGGGAAAAACGAACATTTTACAATAAACTTCAGCATCTTTATAGCAAGGCTACTGTCTTGTGGCAGCAGATGGCGATTCCTTGGAAGCGTAAGAGCAGAGGACGCCGCCACAACGAAGTAATCCCATCCTGAATAATCGCTCTTACTCGGTGACAACCTTGGCACATTATCACTTTATTCTGCATTACAAAAAAACTCCAGGGGCTGAGGGCAGGGTACTTAACAAGCCGTCTGGAGCAACAAAGAATCGAACTGCCAAAAAATCCCAGCTTGGATGCAGTACCCAGGCATCCCTCAGGCATCCAGCTTTATTTCACGTGCCAAGTTTTACGCAAGTTGTGGGTGCAGATTCCAGCTCATGAACAGGCCTTCAGGTGCTCAAAAGTAAAGCTGTATACACACACACACACACACACGAACTTCTAAGAGAACACACGGTAATATGAACTCACAATTTTCAAAAATAGCCATTCATTATCAGTTTTAGGCATTAATTTCAAGAAAATTATCCTAAATAGGCATACACAATCTGCATTTGTGGGGTTGGTAGCAATAATCTTACATAACAAGCAACCTTAAAAATAATTCTACTTGCATTTGAGTCTCCTCCAAAGGTAACATTCATGCTTTCTAATACATTTACATGGCACTCTGCAATTGTCTGCGACTCTTTAAGTAGAGGAATTCTTTGCCTCTAATAAAAAAACAAAAACTGTGAACAGAAACAAAGGGAACAATCTCCATTAGATATTAACTAAATTACCCTGCCTTATCATTATATGCTAACTATTCATTAGTGCAAAATATTTAATAGAAGCAACAACCACTGAGTAGGAGAGAGTTTATAAACAGATGTGCCAGCATTTGCTGCCTTACCTTCAACACAGCTATAACAATACTGGCATTCCCAGCCTGAACAGCAACCGAACTGAGGGTTGTTGTAGAGAGCTTCTGCTCCAAACTGGCTTCATTTGACATGGTGTTTCAAAGCAGAACTTCATACATTAAAGCACACTTGGAAACACTCGTACAAAGTCTGCTCTTCATTTCAGAAAGCAACAAGCAGGGTTGCTTGAAGTCATTCAGTGAAAGAGCTCAGCTAACACTGATTACTCTGCCAAAAGGAAAGAACTGGAGGTTAAAAATAGACGGCTCCATTGAGTTTATCATTCTTGAGAGAGCAATTTGACACACCCCTAGTTTGGTAGCATTAAGTTGCCTGTTCTTTTTGTCACCATCTGAAGTGTGAAAGCTTGCTTCCATGAACATCATCCCACACCGAATAACCAAAGGAAAAAGGTTTCTTATATTAAAACATCTAGAAACCATTTTAATACGAAGGCTATACAGATCAAGCTGCTGTTCTGAAGTTTCAAAACATGCAACTGTACAGTCTAAATGTTTGCACCCTACAAGTAAATTTTTTAAAATTGTTTGCTGGTATTCCACTGAGCCAGAGCACTTAAACAGGATGAACATGTGTACATAAGCCAGATGATGAACCAAAACAGACAGCGGAATTTTAATCCAAAATATTTAAATGTTTGGTGTCCATAACAAAAAAGGAAAGTCAGAGCTCTGTGTAAATTCCTAAGAAGTGCTTTATTTTTTTCCTGAGGTTAAAGTAATTCATCTTTGCTTCAACTGAATGTTGGTTCTGCAGTCTTTATTTTTGTCCTACATCAGAGTAAGGAAAACCTCTTAAATAATTTTTAAAGGTTGCACTCCACTTAAGCTTTTTAGTTAGTGAGGGTAAATTAATAAGCACATTTAAATCATAGTGTTGGTTTAGCATATTAAATCTTATGCCAGAAGTAAGGAACATGCCACAAGCAGCCTACAGTATAAGACAGCAGCTGCTAGGTTTCCTTCCACAGAACAGCTGAGAAAGCAACATCAGTGTTTGGATTGGCAGGTCACTCAGGCAACACAAGTCCACCCAATATACTGAATATATAATTCCCCTCTAAGCACCTGCTTGCTTCATTTGCTTAGAAGTGTGTGGCACTCCGACATTTTTTACTAAATTAGATTTGCTAATCGCAGGCTAGAACACACACCAAGGTCTGGAAAAAAATTACAAGGTATTTTGAACTGGAAGAAATATAGGGTAATTGCAGGGAATTTCAACTGATACATCAAAATCTGTTTGTTTTTATTTGTTTGTTCATTGTTCCCCCCCTCCAATTAATGGAAGATTATTGTCTTAATCTTTAAACAATGAATTTGGATCAGGGTATCCAGAACTGAGTTGCAGTAGTTTGTGCTGAACTAAATGGGCTTGGCAAATCAGAACAATTTTCGCATCTTTATGTCAGAACAAAGCTAGGAACCTGCAATCAGCCTTCAAAGGAAGAAATAACATTCAGTTTCCCAAAACTTGTAATATCTCTAAGAGGCTAGAGAATCTCTGCCACTGAAAGGAGCATTATATAGATACTCATGAGACTTATGGGTATTCATGTTTGAAATGTGGCATTAAAAAAATGTGTAAAATTTGATTAGCCACACAAAAATTAGAAATGAAGTCTTAACAGCTAAAACTGAATAGAGACTTCTATTTTGGACTAAATAGAAAGTAGGTCCCTTATATAAAAATCCCTAAATATGTCAGACATCTCAAAAAAAAAAAATTCATAAGACAGAAACTTTGAGTTTTACACACTGTGTGCAGGACTAAGAACAACTAGAACATGCATATTGGAAAAATTGATTGGGAAAAAACATCCTAACCTCTAATTAGCTTCATAAGAAGAACTGCAAGCCAATTTCAGTATTACATTGAAGTGTGTCATTGTTTCATTTTCAGATAAGCACACTTGAACAGTGTATTTTGGTGGTACAAGTTGGGCCATTCCCTTGTCTCATAATAGTCAAGAGTCTTTTTTCACTCAGGTTAAATGAGGAAGCCTGTTTTGTAGTAATGACAGCTGGAAGTCACAGATAAATATCTCTCAAGAAGCAGATCATAATCAAATTTGGCAACAGAGACAAATGATTCAAAATATCTAGTAAATGCGTAGACATTCTATTGATTTGGCTCAAGCTATGCATGCAAGATAGACATGGGATTAGTGTATAATGCAGAGAAAACAAGGAATCTGAAAGGATCCTATAGCACAATTGTAAGAGAAAACATTGAGAAGTTTGACAGTGCATTACAATGCACTTCAGCTGTACCCAGGGAAACAAAATTTAACAAGCACACCTTTCTCAGTCTTGTATATTTACCTGCTGTCTGTTTCTTCAAAGCAAACAAAAATCCTTCTTGAAGCCAAAAATCAAGCAGTTTATCTGTACTAGAAGAGAGAAATCTTTTCCCTTTGCTACTGCTGTGCCTTCAAAGACAAGAAGGACAACAAACTGAAACATCCACCAGCTGTCCACAAATAACAATGAAACTGAACAACGGGACTAATAAAAATATCTCAAGAACACAGGGGGGGCAAGAGAAGTCTGTAGTGTAAACAATGTCAGGTATTAACTGTAACAACTGCGTATAAAAAGAATTGGAAAGATTAATATGATAAAACTCATTTCATTTTCACCATGGAGTGAGTCTTAGCAGCCTTTTTGCTTGCGTGGGAAAGGAATCCCTACTCATAGTTTGACCTATGTGCAAAGCAAAGTGACCATTCTTTCCTGGAGATAAATTGCATCTTAGAGCCTTGGAGCTGCCAAAATGCCTTTGGAAAAGTTCACTCCCTCAAGTCTCGGATTATGAGGTCCTTTATCTGGTTTGTACGTGTAATGAGGTCTTCTTTCCTTGTTTCATGCCTGAGATGTGTATGCAGAAAAGGAAACAAATAAGGGAAGGAAGCATCTCTCCAAATCAGTGGGTTTAGTGAGGCTCTCTACAAGGGGCACATAAACACTTCTTCCCTCTGCAGCCCCACCTGGACAAGGCACAAAGACATCAAGTCTCCAGAAGCCTATGGTTGCAGCCTTTCGCTGGCCCCTACCATCGTACCTTTTTTGTGGGCTGCATTTTGAGGTATATTCGACTCTATCAGGAGAGCAAAGAGATCAGATAGCTCACTAACCTGTTGTTCAGGCTCCAAGAGCAGCAGCAGAAAGAGAATATTTTATTAAACAAGATTAGTGTTTTCCCTCACAAATGCATGTAAGCAAATGCAGCAGGACTTTTGTTAGTAAATTCCCTGAGAACATTTGAAATTCCTTCCTGATGCAGTGTGTTAACATAGTGCAGTACACACACTGCACCAAATACAGATGCGAGGTAGTTTGTTTTCTCCCTGTGAAAAAGGAAGATTAAGGTGTAAATCGAAACATAGGTCTAGTGTGAAAGCAGGTACGAGCTGTCCTACTAATAAGGTAGATCACTATAACAATCTTGCCCTGTTGTGGATTATATTTACAACTTGGCTGTATTAAAAAACTACTTCTGTATGTTTTACAGTGTTTATATACACAAATATTGATGGCTTCAATAAAAACATCACTTAAAAATCACAGATTGCTCAAAAAGACATAAGTGTAATTGTGTTCTACGAATCATTGTTTAAACATCTGTTTAACCTCTTCAAAAGTAGTCAGGAGGTAAAGACACCAAGATCAGAGTGAGCCATTCCCTTTAACAAGACACTGATTAAACAGATAATAATCATGCTAACCATTCAAAAACATTCAAGCCATATTGTTTCTATTGTTAGGAAGAGTCGATTTAAACAGAAGCAAAGTTTAGAACAAAAGAAAAGCCTGTTACCAATATCACATCAACTTAGAAAAAGGGATGTTTTATCCAGAAGTTAAATTCAACAGTATAGTTGGATTTCAAGCATTAAAGAACGACAAGGCTTTAGGTTTTTAGGTTTTTTTTTAAGTCATTTATCAGTGGAGTTATAAATAGCAGTGCTTTGTTTTGTTTTAAAGAGATAATTCCATCTCATGCAACTCTGCTACTTGAAGGTTCACACCGCTGAACATTCCTGTGTACATTCTGATCATGTACCTCCCATTCCAGCCCATGGCACAAGAAGCACTCAATTGGTCCCAGTTGGCCCTCTCACGAAAGTGAGAACTGTGTGACCTACTTAAGAGAGGTAAACAAGTTGGAAGCACTGACATTTCCTCCCTACCCCTTTGCTTACTTTAACTGGAGCTGGGTTGTTATACAGATATGTGCTCGCTGCTGACACCCGATGGAGCTGAGGTGTGACTACAGCACATGAGAACTAGCCATTTCCCTGCGCTAACCACAACCCTTCGGGACCTACAAAGGACAGCACATTACATTTCTGAATTTAAGCATTATCTATAATAAAAACCCTTCTCCTCTCACCCTTTCACACTCTTTCAATGGAATTGCTGATGGACTAGTACACTCAGAATCATTGTGAGCCATCCACAGCAAAATCTCCCACTGCCATATATCAGCAGGAGTGGGCAATCCAATCCTCATTCCAGGCCAGTGCACATACCAGAGTGGGGAGCAGAAGTCATCCCACCGAAAACCTTTTGAATGAGTGCATGCCTATTCTGCTGGATATCTTTGGGGAAAAAAAAAAAAACTGTGTGTGATTCTGGAACTCGTTTTTATACTATGATCTACCAGAGGGTCTGGGAAACAGTGCCGTCTGATGAGAGTATCTCAACCTTTGGACAGCATCACTGTTCCCATGTCTTACAGCGGTTTCCATACTTTCCACTAGAAAGATATAGTTTCTTCTAAGAGTTGGCCACTGTTCCATAGGATTTGGCTGCTGAAATGCCATCTCCACCTGACCTCTGCCATGCAAGTGGGGATGACAGCCTGAGGCTGTTTCCTGCTAAGGGAGAAACTGACAGGAAAAGCAGAGGTTAAAAGGAGCTAGCTGGCTTGCCTTGCCTAGATCTGCCATGAAATAGCATAGGGGAATGAAAGCTTGAGGACGGTTCTTAAAGAAAGACACAGCTGTAGAGAGAGGTCTCAGGTCAAGGCCCTAAAGGAATCACTTTCAAAGGCATAGCAGCCTATCCTGTCAAACCAGAGGCTTCATTTTTCCACAGTTCTGTACCCAGTACTATGTTACCATCACAAACCTCTGTTTCACACAGAGACATAGTAGGGAAGAAGAAACAGAAACCATGGTGTCAGTGTGTCCTTGCTGAATCTGGCTCTTAATTGCAGGGGAAAAGCACACTGAAGGATATGCATTCTTTAGAGTTTCCCTTCATTGTCACCCCAGGACACAAAAGCCTACCTCAGACCTGCATTCACATGACAGTCTCTTCAGGCACTTCATACAGGGCACATAGCTGCAATACTGTGCCCAAGGTACTCAGGATGCTCCTAAAGTAACGCCTCCTATTTATTTCCATGGAAATTACAACAGATACAAAGAACACAGTAACACTCCTTGATAGAGCAAACTCATCTACAAAACATTCTTCAACATTCATTCAACATTCTTTCACCATTAAAGAATAAGACTAAAATCTGCACCACTAGAGGTGACACACAGTTTGTTACCATTGCTGGAACCCACCACCACACTATGTTTACATCCACTGTTTGGTCTCTGTAAACATTCAGCAAGTGTTGATGAATGTCAATGGGTGCCATTTTCCTCCAAATGGAAGAATTCAGTGATACCTTTGCTTCATAGGTACTTCCATGTCAGATGCCATTTGGTCAGACTGTCCCTTTGCTGCCATCTGTCACACACAACACAACACAATGGAACATTGGTAGGAAGATCCAACCTCTACTGCCATATCACCAACATGTGCCTCTAACATTAGGGGCCAAAATAATGAAATAGGAGGCAGTACTTTTGGAGCAGCCCTTGAACAATCACATTGCTTCAAACTTTCAAAAATTTCTCCACCATCCCTTTGTTATATGGAAATCTTTTTGAGAGGCAGAGATAGATAATGCACCTGGCTGATGCAGCAGAATCTGCAGGAACTGCATTTTAGAATCGGGCTTGCTGCATTCTAGGCACAAAAATAGCATGCATAACTACCTCATAAGCTGCACAGATTTTTCTACATGTGATTTGACATTTAGCAAATACTCTGTAATTAAATCCCTTTCTCTGAGTTATTCTCTCACTGTGCTAATGTTTCTTCTGTTGGCAGGAGATTTGATTAACTGTATTCAGAGAATGAGCTCAATCTTCCCGAACTTCCTTACAGCCCACCTGTTTGACACCATATGATTCACATAAATATTTTCATTGCAAATTACTCTTCAATTCACCAACTGGTTTCACCACACCTCCTTGGCTTTCCCCTCCTTTCTTTTTGCTGAGTACTGCTCTTCAGATCTCACTGCTGCATGTGGGGGAAAAAACATTACCTCAGCATCCTAGGATGAACATGATTTGAACGGTACTTTTTATATCCTATGTGTGTGTAAGATTTCCATGACTATAACATCCCACTCCCAACCATTATAAGGTTCACTTCCACCAGGCTATGAAACAGGGATGCAGCTGTCACCCCCCCCCAGCACAGGCACCCACACACATTCAGCACTGACAGCAGCAGCCATTTCATCCAGTTCTGCTTGGGAACCATGAAGCCTTTAAAATGCTCACTGGATAACTTGAGAGACAACAGTTCAGTGGCAGATGCATAGACACATCTGTAAGTCCCAGTAGACAAAACAATAGCTGGAGAAAGGGTCACAGCAAATGATACCAATTGAACTCCTTGTAATTCATGTTTCTCTCACCTGCCTGAGCAAAAACCCTTGCATCTTCGTGAGAGGTAATGCAGCATGAAATGATGTCTACAAATAGCTGCAACTTAACAAATTGGCCACGTATGAGAAGTAGAAACAAAAAAACCTTATAAGGCTCATTGTAAGCACATGGCTCACCATAGCCTTTTGACACCATTTCAAGCAAAGCATTAATAAAAACTTGGTTACGGCAGAGTGCCTTCCTGCATTTCTTTGTATAGATTTGTCTTGGAGAGAAGGAAGGCCATGCTCTGAGAAGCAGTGAACGATACAAAGCAGACAGTGTGGCATCACATTCACATCATCACTACAGATAAGTGGAGTAGCAGTCAGATGTGTTAAATACATGGTACAATCTTTACCCGCTGAGACTAGCTCACAACTATCGTCTCACAAAGGCATGCAGAGCAACATAAGTGTTCAGAAAGAGAACAGCTTACACTTCGTACCAGTTTAGAATATGGCTTGTTCCCAAGTCCCTGAAAGCCAGGCCCATATCACCACCACGATTCTAATAAATATCAAGTAACCATGCCCTGTGTTTGTGAAAGTGCTAAAGACACCATGAAAACTCTTTTATAGCAGACAAAAAAACCCTTGACCATGGAATATTAAGAGATGCTTATCACTTGACTGTTGCTTTAAAAAAAAAAAAA